GGGTTTAAGAACACAAAATATACAATAATGACACGAAACTGTCGAATTATCAATTACCTAACCTTCAAATTCAAAATTGCCTGTGTGTGAACCTTCCTCGCATTCAACCAATCACGTGCAAGGTCAATCTGGTGACAAATTTAAAATACTCCTCCTGGTTTAAAAACAGAGTATAGTAAAAATATGTTTGTCATTAATTTTTAATGGGTCGTTTATGTTGTTAATAAATTGATAATATTTTGTGAGGCATAATATCAAATGTCAATAGGGTTAGAACTTAGAACCCTTAATGTTAAGTAATGAATAAGAGGTATAACAATGAGAAAGAATACAAAGTATATTAATAAATCTGTTTAAAAAGGCTAGACAAATTTCTTCCTCGTAGTCCAATCTGTTATGTTAAGTTTTGCAAATATCATTTTCATTTTGCCCTCTCTCTTCTGTTCTAGATTCCAAATGCTGCTGTTACAATAACATCGTTAATGGGGACGATACCAGCCACTACAACTACTTCCACTTTTCTTCTCTAATCATCCCTGATGAGGTCTCTGTTTCATACAATAATATTGAGTGTGCAGCTTACAGCAATAGATGCTTGACATAAAGCTTGGCTAAATTGCTATAATTATTACACACCGTTTGAATCTGTTCGTAAAAGTGACTATGTACAGGTTGGTATACAATAGATGCTACGGTGATCTGTATCTACGATTAACCTTAATTAATTGTGCGCGCTTGAGGAGCGTCTCAACATGAATATGGAAACATTCGTCTATGAGGAATTTCATTCATGTTCTCACCAAAGGTAAATTCGATATTATTTTGGGTGTCCACTTATCCCTAGTTTTGATTCATTTAAAAGCCGTTAATAATCCTATCGTATCTTTTGTGTCGTAGATCTGCTTTGATCTGCTTTTTTTAAACATGACAGTCAATGGTACTCCGATTATCACTAACATCATCAATTCAGAGATCGAGTATTTATTTATTTATAAATACAGCTAACAGGCAACAAAGGCCCAAATACAAGCTGCAAACAGTATACTTAAATATAAACAAAACAATCTGTGCTGTTTAAGAAGAAAAAAAAATAACATAAAACTAACATATACTCGAAGAACTCACGCTCATGTGTATAAAGCCGAACAACAAAAATAAAAGAATATAAACATAATATAAACATAATAAAAATAAAGAGTATGCGCAGAACGCATCTTCTATGCATTGAAATGATTCAATCCATACAATGCAATATGTTTCATCAATTTATGGTATGACTAAGCATAATATTCACATTTGCAGCTTTGTTACTAACAAACCTGAGATGTTCGTGGAAGGAGATTCTATGATCTGAAGTGATGCCTAGGTATTTAATGGTCCTGCTGTCACAATTTCCGTCTCTGCCACTGAGAAACATCTTCTCATAACCCAATTAATGTTTCTGTGAACATCTGTTCTGCCTCACACAACTAGTACTTGTTTAAAAAAGGATTTCTATATATGTACATAAAGAGAGGACTCTACAGCCTTTGTTGCATCGTTATTTCAATCACCATTTTCTCTCCTCTTGCTATTCTTACTCCCCAGTGGCTCTGTCTTTCATTGAATTTCTGATTTCTTCCATCCATGTCTTCACCGATCTCTTTTCCTTATCTGTTTCGGAAAACAGTTTATTACTTTCCATGTATCATCTCTTATTTGCTTGGCGTGTCCATATCAGTTGTCTGGCCTCCATTCTATCCGTTGTAGTGCAGATTCTATTTATGATCTCTTCATTATGAATATGTTCTAGACGTGATGTTTTGTTCGCTTGTAACTTTATTTCTCTATATGTATTATTCACTCCTATATACTCCCCTTATATAGGGAACTAATGTATACCAAATTCCAGTCTTGTGGAATGTTTTGTCCATGTGTGAAGCATTTATTAAAAATATCTGCCAGGGCTTTCATTATAACATGAGGCCCGTGCTATCTATACCTCGTCTATACGTTCTTTGAATTCTGACCTCACATCTGTAAGCAGTTGTCCATAATGTTCTCGTCATTCTTCTTCCACTATTAGACTGATACTTCCAGACTCTTTTCTTTCATTCTTCAGATTTTTGACTAGCTTGCTATTATTTTGTTAATGTTATATTGTACATAATAATTAATAAATAAGTTAGTAAGCGCAATATATCTTTTAATTTTCCATCAAGATAGTAAAAGAAACTATTGCAAATATATTTTTTGAACTAACAACATGATTAACATTAAAAACCAATTCTCATTGGAAATAACTGGTATTGAATGTGAAGATGACAACTTAATCGGTAACACTTATATTTTTTATCTTTAATAAATTTATTTATAAATTTCGACATGTAATCAGATCTTCGCTGATTACAACACATATAAATAGGAAGCATTTTCGCCTGGTAGTTAATAGTTGTCTACCTCAAAAAAGACGATGTGGAAGGTTTTTGCTTTCTTACTCCTTTGCGTCTGCGGCGGTAAGAATATTAATATATTTTTATTATTTATTCATTTACTAATTAACGTATTTTAAAATAACTTGTTTAGCGTATGCCCGCGTTTCGGCCGGAGACATTAGATACTTTTTATGGAATGGACGTGCCAATAGGGAAGAATTAAGAATTAATCAATATGGAAATAACATCGACAGAAACGCACCCGTTAAAATTCTTATTCACGGTTGGACCGAAAGTATTGACTCTTTCTGGTATGGTGGTGCTAGAACCGCGTATGTAGGAACTGGTGCTAATGTGATTGCTATTGATTGGTCCAGACATGCCCAATTAACTTACCCAACTGCAGTTGGTCGTCTTTCTGACATTGGAGAATTTATCGCTCAATTTATCAACGGATTAGTAAATAGTCAAGGAATTTCTATCAATGACGTTCATTTGGTTGGCCACTCTTTGGGTGCCCATCTTTCTGGATTTACTGGTAATCTAATTAAATATACATTTTAAAAAGATAGATATTTATTATTTTTTCTGTTGATTCATAATGCAGGTAAAGCTCTTAGGAATAATTTTAGAACCACTCTTGGTAGAATTAGTGGTTTAGACCCAGCAGGTCCAAGTTTCACCACCTCCCTCAGTAGGAATCGTTTAGATTCATCTGATGCTGCTAGAGTTGATACAATCCTCACGGATGCCGGTTTAAGTGGTTTGGGCATTAACCGCTCTTTGGGACACGTTAACTTTTGGCCAAACGGTGGTTCGGCTGTTCAACCAGGATGCCTTTATTGTAATACAATTAAAAAAGCTTATTTCCAACACTCGTAATTCTATGTAATTTTAGATCCATGCAGTCACAACAGAGCACCAAGATTCTTTAACGAAGGCATCACCTCGAGAAGATTCGTTGCTAGACGTTGTGGTAGTTACTCTAATTACAATCTTGGACTCTGCAGACTTAACCCACAGAATCTGTTGGGTGAATTTACTGATTTTTCAACTACTGGTGATTTCTACTTGTCTACTAGACGTACTTCTCCGTTCGCTCAAGGTTAGAATGTAATTATTTACCCAAAAAAAAAGGTTTTTTAAATATATGCATGAAAGCAAGAATTATTGTTGTTTTTATTGATACCTTTAACATTAAAATACTTTCTGTAATACTTAATGAATTATAAAGTATACATAGCAAATGGTGTTCTAGAATTAGTATTTAAATGAAAATCTCCTCTTAAGCTTTGATTAACGTTTTCACCCATAACAGTCCTGGCGTTGTTGTTGCATCTTCCGTTGTTGAAATCGGATCTGCTGTTACATTGGACAGTGATAAATCCGTTACTAACGACTGATTCGAAGAAGAAAAGTGGGGCACGGTTGTGGCTACAACCTAAATTTCAATAATTTAATTTAATAAGATTCATCTAATAAGATTAAAATGCTTACCAATAATGATACATCCGTTTTGTCTTGATCCACCATTGGGATAATAATCAATATGTCCAATTGATCTAGCAATACCGGCTAAATTGTCAGTATGAATATTATCAACAAACCAAGCATCATCGGGGCTTAATCTTCTGCTCGGATCTCTATTTTCAAAGGCCGGCCCAGCAGGATCTAACCCAGTAATTCTGCCAACTAACTCTCCTCTAACTGCTAAAATTCTTTGTCCAACAAATCCGAAAAGATGAGCACCCAAAGAGTGCCCAATTAAATGGAATCTAGTCAACGGAATTCCGGTTACAGAAGAAAACTCCATCAATTTATCGGCAACGTGATTAGCAACAGCTTCCAATCTGCTTATAGCGGTGCTATAGAGTCCTCCAGCATGACGTGACCAATCGATGGCTATTATGGTAGCACCACCCCTTCTAAGATAATTATCTTTCGTTGGCTCATACCAACTAGAATCAACGTTATCAATCCAACCGTGCGATAAAACTTTCACTTCATAATTTTGATTAACACCCAAATTATCTAATTGACCAGAACGGATTTGAAAGAATCTTACTCTATCGTTGGTCATAAAATATTGCATATCATCCGCATTGACATTTGCGTAAGCTTTAAAAAAGAAAAGAAGAAAGTTTGTGATGATTATAATGAATTTATACTCTAGAAAAAATTGGTCAAACAGAATGATGAAGGGATCTTCGCTGGTTTATGGTAGGCGGAGGCGGTTTGAGCATACCTTAACGGTAAGATTAGTATAAATAAATTTATACTTACCCGAAGCTACGATTGCTGAAGCAAGAAACAAATAGCACCACATTTTGTTACATTGAACTAAAATTTTGTATTTTCCCATTTATATAGGATATTTTTAAGCCATGCTTAAGTTACTTCTTTAACATAATCCGTCTTATTTTAAAGAATTAACATAGATAAGTTAATTCTTTTTATTGTATTTTGCCATTAATCTGAAAAGTCTGATAAAAACTGGTGGTTTTATTTAAATACTTTGTTTTTACAAATTTAAATGAACAAAGACGAATTAGATCAAATTAGAAAATACTACGCTAACTTAATATAATTAAATAAAGTTAATTTATAGCGAAAGGACTTGAGTAATTAGTTTTTAAGTAAAAGTTTCCTCTAACGTTTCTATCAATATTCTCACCCATAATAGCAACATCATTACTATCGCAATCCCCATTCTCAAATTTGAGGTAATTATCACAAGAAACCCCAAGAAATACTTCACTGTTAATACTTTCTATAAAATAATCTCGAGCTCTATTATGACTGCAAGAAACTGCAAAAAACCAATAAAAAAATATTTTTTTTAAATGATAAGATTTCAAATTTACTCTCAAATATTCCACATCCAAGTTGATTTGATCCACCATTTGGATAAAAATCAGCATGACCTAATGACCCGTCATAACCCAAACTTCCCGAATCTGTATGAATTATATCCACAAATAAAGCGTCATCAATGCTTAATCTTTGATTTGGCGGAGATTTTTGAAATTTCGGTCCAGCAGGATCTAACCCAGTAATTCTTCCGATCAACTCTTTTTGTAATAATTTAATACGTTGCCCTGCGTAACCGCAAATATGAGCCCCCAAAGAATGACCAATTAAATGGATTTGCGAATAATTAACGTTTAAATTAACATTTAACGATTCTATAAAATCGGCTAAGTAATAACCGATTTCTTCAACTACATCGATAGAAGCCGAATAGCGATTTTTTGCTGGTTTTGCCCAATCGATGCCGAAAATATTGTCGAAACCGATGTTGTGATATTCTTCAACGAAATTCGAAAATATTACCGAATTTATATCATCTGACCAACCGTGAACGTAAATTTTAATTTCTTGGTCGTGAGTACAAGTTAATAAATCCGTAGTGTTTAATTCGACTTCTATGTAATTGCTTTCTAAAGTAACGTGATAAAATTTTACATCTTCTTGTAAATTACCACCGTTAGCAGTAAAGCACTTGTTGAATACTGCAATTTTTTTTTGGTTTAAATTTAAAGGTGATTTCAATAAAACTACTTACGGAATAAAATAAACAGCAGATCCATCGTTTTTACGCGATTATTAGGAGTTAACATTAATAACTTTCTTGTAATCTAAGTATGACACACTGGAATAACTGTCAAATTCTGATATTTAAATGTCGCCCTCTATCGGTTGTAATTATAATAAAATAAAAGTGTTATTGAATAATATTTATTACTTAAAAAATTCAAAGTTATGAAAATTATATGTTTAAAAACAAATTAATTTCAATATTAATTATTAAATAGTTTATAATTATTTTATTTGAGTTGGCACAATGTTTGTAACAAAGAAACTATGACGCCTCAAGCGGAGACAATTTCAATTTATGTATTATAAATAATGATGTAAATAGTGAATGTTGATTTTAAATAATTTTATTCGAAATCTATAAATTGTATTTCATACATGTTAATTCAAAATTTAACCATCGTGCTGCATTTCAATCGCAAATAGTGCCATCTACTTTTCCAAATTGATGTTTGACAGTTATGACATAACCTCAATTTACAAAAATCACAGTTATAAAGTGCTATAAGATGTTTAGGGTAAGTTTCGTAAATTCCTACTTCAGTTTGTGGTGGTTATTCTTGGTGAAATGTGCCACAAATAACTTGTTCTGTCAGGATGTCTTGTTCAAGAAGGACTGAAAAAATAACAGGATGTGTTATAATATAATATAATAAAACATGTAGACCAGTACGAATACCTTGGGGTAGTTACAAACGAGGAAAGTTGGCAGAGGAAAAATATTTTTAGACACAACTCGAAGACTGGTAGCAGCCGAGATGATGTTTTGGAGAAGATGCTGTAGCATAACCATGCTGAACCAAGTTGAAAATGAGAAAATAAGAAGAAGATTGACGGCAGAAAACTCAGTAATAGATACTATAAATGAGAAGCAACTAAAATTGTATGGATATCTACGCCGAATGAATAAAGAGAGATTCCCACTTAAGGTTTGGAACTGGGTGCCAGCAGAAAGAAAGAAAAGATGTAGGCCTAGGAAAAAATGGATCCAGAATATCAATGTGGAGATGAAGAGGAGAGGACTGGGTGAAGATGATTGGAATGGTAAGGGCCGCTGGTGATTAGGATGCGAGAAGCAGCAATAAAAATAGCTGTAAATACTCGTCAAATAGACATAAAATGTGTTGTCTTAATTTCACCTTGTTTTTTTATTCACTTATATCGGCAAAAAACACATGGCGAAGACAGTTTTTAAGATTTCCACCACACAGCGAATACCATAAAAAATGAATTTTCTGTACTCATCATCAATTTATCTTGTGCAGGATTATATTTTCGGTCTTTTTTTGTAATAAAACCACAAACCTTATTATTTAATTATTTTTTATTATTTTATATGCTTTAAACTGTAAAAGATTGCATGAAACAAAAATTATTGAACTTTATTCATTTAAAGTGTGCCAATTGCGAAAGGCGCCTCTTTATTAGTGGAAAGGTAGAAAGTTCCTCTTAAAGAAGTGTCAACATTTTCACCCATAACAGTACGTGGGTTGCTGTCGCAGTTTCCATTGTTGAAGTCTTTTTCACTAGAGCATTGGACAGTTACGAATCCGTTGCTGTTGATGCTTTCATAGAAGTATTTGGGAGCACGGTTATGGCTGCAACCAACTGAAAAAATTTTTTTAGTACTAAATTCTAAAAGACCGATTAATTCTTACCTGCCAAAATTCCACAGCCATTTTGTCTGGAAACTCCACCATTAGGGTAATAATCAACATCGCCGATAACTTCATCAAGACCCAAATTACCACCATCGGTATGCATGACATCAACGAAATCGGCATCACCAACAGCTAAACGGCTGTCAGCATCCTTCTTTTCCCAGGATGGTCCAGCTGGATCTAAACCGGTGATTCTTCCGATACGTTTTCCACTAGTTGCCAAGACGTATTTACCGGCGAATCCAGAAATGTGAGCGCCCAAAGAGTGTCCGATCAAATGAATTTGAGACAATGGGACGCCATAGGTATTGTGCAAGTACAAGACTAATTTTCCAATTATTTCTCCAACGGGTTGAGATGCTTTTACAGCTGATGAATAAAGACCATTGGCGTGGGTACCCCAGTCAACACCAATAACATTGGTCATTCCACGGCGGACGTATTCGGCTTTGGCGTCAACATACCAGTCGGAATCGATGCTATCAACCCAACCATGGCAGATGATTTTAACTTGTTTTTGAGGGTTGATGTCTAAAGTTCCAGTTCCGGTTGAGATTTGTTCATAACTAAGTTTGCTATTGGTGAGGTAAAATTTCACGTCCTCATCTTTAACAGTTTTTCCCCAAGCAACGGCAGCTATTAATTAAACAACTAATAAAAACAATTATTTAAAAACTAATTGATATCTTACCGAGTGCCACAAAGAATACTACACGATTCATGATGATCGTTTGCAATATTATGTCTGCACAATAAGCTGTTGTTGGAATGTTATGATTCCTCCAGCAAACTCACCCGGTTTATATACTATGTGGCACAGTTTTTTTCATTTAATTTGCTTATCTCAACTAACATTAATAATAAGGAGACAGTTTGCGTAATACCATTCTTTTGTACTACATTTTTCTATTTATTTTATAAATGACATCAAACTAAAATCTTAATCCCGTGCACTCGAAAATATTAATTAATCAATTCAAATAATACATAATTAATAAAAATGAACGCCTTCATAACAAAAGCGTTTTAATAACAATGGTGTTGCGTTTTGAACTACTTCAAAGCACCAATTTGTCATAAATTGACAATAATTTTCGAAAATGCAATTTAATTCACTTCAATATTGACTTTGTAATTAATTCTACGAAAATTTGTGGAGATTCATAGAAATTTGAAGCAAAATTAATAAAATGGGAATTTTAAGAAAATGACATTGTTGTATAAATGTTGTGAATGATAAAGATTCTTAGATTCTTTTTATATAGCTATTAAAACGATTGTATTTGATTGAAATAGATACAGATATGTTATATATTTATGATTTTCAAGAATTTATTTGCAATCAATGAAACAACAAACAAACAAAAATAAATGTGGTACATAACAAGGACGTCTATCAAAAGTCTGTCATTAGAGTTTGTTATGTGCTTCACTATAACATATAATAACTTCTTCTAGATTCTTTACTTCCTCTAATCTTGCGGCATTACCTCCGGAAAAGATAAGAACGATTGATAAATAAAAAATGCAAATAGAAATTCAATTTTTTAGATATTTTTTTTTTTGTTTTTATCTGATTAAGATACTTATAATAGTAGTTACCTATAATATAATAGGTAATTAATAAAAACTATCTTTCAAATATTTGTTTATCTTAAATAACCTAACAATAAGACAATTTATCATTACAACAAAAAATTAATACTGGATTAAAAAATTATCCTTTTCCATATGGTGGTTTAGAATTAGTATTTAAGAAAAAATCTCCTCTCGTTTCTCGATTACATCCAAATCCCATGTAAGCCCTTTCATTGTTATGACAAAATCCCAAAGTGTACCAAATATAAGTAACACATTTTCTTGCAACGAAACTATCAGATTTTAAGCTTTCAATAAAATAGTCTGGTGCTAATCGATGACTACATCCAACTAAAAATTTTTTAAAAATGTTAAAACGTAATCTTGTTATTATATGTCAAAATAATAACCATCTACTACGTCGCAACTGGTTTGCAAAGCCCCCCCGTTAGGATAAAAATCCGCATGACCTATCGATAAGCTAATTCCTAGAAAATCCGTATCTGTGTGTATGACGTCGACGAAGTGAGCATCGTCTTTATAAAGTTTAGCGTTTGATAATAATGAATGAAACCCGGGACCTGCTGGATCTAAACCAGTGATTCGTCCGATTTTCTCACCTTGAGATTCTATTATCGATTTTCCTATAAAAAATCCAAAATTGTAACCATTTAATTTTTTAATTATAATATTTACCTACGTATCCGGCGATATGAGCACCCAAAGAATGCCCTATTATATGCACCTTCCCTAAATCAATACTATACTTTTTAGATACATCTAAAATTTCCTTAGATAATTTTTCTGCTACATTCGAAGCTGCAACAATCGCATCTATGTAACCATCATCTGCTAAATCTTTCCAGTCAACGGCAATGACAGAAAAATTTTTCTTTTGAAATCCATCAATCATGTGGGAATACCAATCCGACTCACTTGAACCGTTCAATCCGTGACAAATTATTTTTAAACCGTGGTATATTTTTAAATCGTTTTTTTGTTGGGGAAAATTGTAATAATTAAATTTTACTGGAGCTTTTGAACTTAAAACTATCGTAAAACCAAGAAGTATAACTATAATTATTACTCGAAGAGAGAACATTTTAATTACAACGATTACGAGAGACTGTTTTGTATTAAACAAGTTAAAATGTTATGATTGAGGTGAACTTTGACTTTGATTTAAACGCAATTTAAAATAATTGTGTAAATATTATAAAAAAATGATAATTTAAGTTTCTGTCGTAATTGGAAATTACAGTTTTAGAATAATAAACATATAAATAGCTGGGATTCCCAAGTTTGAATATAGTTCTTAAACATTAACACTAATGATATGGAGTTGTTGCTGTAAAAGTCTAACTTTAATTTTTTTCGAATTTTAATGGGTCCCAATAATAAGTTTTTATGACAATCATTTTGAAAACAGCAAAAAAAATTATTAGTAATGTTGTTTTCAATAACAAAGTAACCTTACAAAAAATTTTAAGAAATCATACAAACATGACCAAATATAATTTCGCAAAGTACTTGATTGATAATAATGAAGAAACGGAATAAATTAAAAATTCTATTTGAACACACAATATACTCTCACTTGTAATAGAAACAGATCCGAAAACAGAATGAATAGTGGTGTAAGATACCACCTCCTCCTGCTAAATATTGAGGGATGATAACTATAATATGACTTCCATGCTGGTACGAGGATAGTTGACAGAATACCTCAAATATGGTAACACGTAAGCCATGTTGTATCCTTCTTCAGATTAGACAACGCAAGCTATTAAGTAGCTTGGAATTCCTACGAAGATGCAGAGAGAAGAAGGTAACGCAAACTTTCCTCAAAGTACGAGAAAGAATTCACAAAACTTTTAAAGATCTGCAGCAAATAAGTGAGAGGTTACTACGACTCCACCTTTCACTTTCCAATTCTATGGCAAGAGAAGACTAGGACAAAATAGACAGAATAACCATGGAGAAGGCTGAACGTGAATACCAAAAAAATCGGGACAAGTAAATTAAGAAGTTCGAATCGTTAGACTACCGCTCCTACAAGAAGAAGAACAAAGACTTGCTAATCAAAATAGCCGTTATCAATCGATCTAGCGTCACATTAACACAGGAGGAAACTGTGTCTTGTCTAGTGTTAGTTCTAGTGATAATGCTACTGTTAGTTCTAGTGAAAATGCTACTATTAGTTCTAGTGATAATGCTACTGTTAGTTCTAGTTTTAGTTTTTATGTTCTTAAGTCATTACATTTTTGGGTAGTAAGGTTATGTCAATGTTAAATTGTTTCAAAAATGTCAAACTATAACAAAAGCGAATAAAACTTTAAAATAAATTTCGAAAATTATGAAAAACTAACCTTACCCAATATTCTTTTCCGGGGTGATTGACAGCCATAAACAAAACTAACCTTATTCAATTTTTTTTTTCGTATTGATTAACAGGTGGAAACAAAACTGACCTATCCTAACATTCCTTCACGCTATAATAGGGGGTTCAAAAGAAAACTGACCTATCATAATATTCCTGCATGCTATAATTGGGGTTTCAAAAGAAAACTGACCTATTCTAACATTCCTTCACGCTGTATTTAGGCTTTCTTCACGCTATAATTGAGGTTTCAAAAGAAAATTGACCAACCCTAACATTCTAGATATTATGTATCTTATCTTTTGCAAATAGCATAGTCTTTCGTAGATATTAGATGACATTTAGTCTTTTGTAAACAGTATCTAATTTTCCAAAAGTGATAGTCTTTTGGAAGCAGTATTTAGTCTTTTTCAAGCACAATTTAGTTTTTGGCAAGCAGCATCCGTTCTTCTACAAACAATATTTAGTTTCTGCAATCTATATTCATTCTTCTACGAGTAATACTTAGTCCCCAGCAAGCAGTACCTACTCCTTTACATGTATTCAGTTTTCTGCGAGCAATGTGTAGTCTTTTTCAAGCAGTATCTAGTCTTTTGCTAGCAATGTCTAGTATTTTGCAAGTTGTATTCAGTTTGCTACGAATAATATTTAGTCCTTAACAAGCTGTATCAAAACTTCTACAAGTCTTTAGTCTTCTGCAAACAAGATCTGGTATTTTACAAGCTATATTTGGTCTTCTACAAGTAATATTAGTAGTATACTTCACGCTATAATTGGAGGTCCAACAGAAAACTGACCTATCCTAATATTCGGTTATTATATATTATTATTATATTCGGTTGAAGTGGATTGCGACAATTGTAAAGATTCAGAGGATACTATCTTTTTAACGTAGTACATTACAGTGTTTGCGCCAGCATGTATTTAACAATTTAGATTGTATCACGCAAGTAACATTGGCGATTATGTCTTTAACGAAGTAGATTGTAATGCCTTTGCAGCAAAGAACCTCGGTTACTGTTTCTTTGATAAAGTTGAATAATGGTGGTTGTTCCACCGCAGTAAGCAAATTCAATTACTATCTCTTTAGCGAAGTAGATTGCCTCTTGGCTACTATTTCTTTATGAATTTAGTTAATAGTGCCTATTTTTTGACGAAGTACATAGCATCTTGGCTATTATATTTGTTTTGGCTATTTTATTTATGTCTTTAACGGAATAATGTCTTATTTATTTCTTTTACGTTGCACCACATATGCTAGATCTAATTTCATGCCAGTTCGATGAACGTTTCCTAATCCAAGATTGCTTCCTAAATGAACTATAACCACTTGAAGATGATTACAGTAAGTTTTGGAACATTTTGCAAAACTGCGTTATTTCCTAAAGTGTTTTCTTTAAAGATTATAACTTTGATTAATGTGTAATTTGGAATAGTACTTTAAAGTACTTACTCACGTCGTTTATTTAAATGTGTTATATTTAATGACCTGCGTTTTAGCAATTATTTCCTGTAACAATAATGTTAATAAATGTGTTTCTGTGAAAAACACAAAATTTGCAAAAAGCGTTACAGAAATATTAATTTTTATTTACATCAAGGTTAAAAATGTTATCTAATATAGATAAGTAACAAGGAAGTGTGAGAAAACGAGGATGTGAATATAAAAAAAAATTAATTTAATGAAAAGAAGTATTTATATATGCAATTTGAAATTATTTATTCATTTTGAAATAAGTTTATTATCCTTGTGCATATGGTGGATTACCATTTGTAGATAAATAATAATCCCCAGAAGCTGAAGTTGAACATCTATCTCCCATAAGAGCAACAGAGTTTCCATTACATAATCCCAAAGCATAATTTAACCATGAGTCACATCTCCTAGATAGGAAACCGCTACTATTGATGCTTTCTATAAATAACCAAGGTGCTCTTGTATGACTACATACAACTAAAAAAAAGTTTATAAAATAAAAATTGTTGATGAAAAAATAAGGGAAAAGTTACGATTAAGAATGTTTAAACAATTTGGTTGTAATGCACCACCGTTTGGATAAAAATCAGCTGTACCAACTGAGTATCCAATCCCTCCAGTTCCAGCCATGGTGTGTATAACATCCACAAAATCAGCATCTGATGGTGTCATAACGGTTCTCCCAAATATGTTTAATGTTAAATCGGTTCCTGGATCTAAGCCGGTTATTCGAGCAAAATTTGTACCTACGACTTGTCTTACTAATCTTCCTATAAAATTTTTATTAAAAATGTATTCAAAATACTATTCATTAATATTTTTTACCTGCATATCCACCAATATGAGCACCTAATGAATGTCCAATAAAGTGAATGTTTTCCAAAGGAAACTCAAACGTTTCTTGAATAGCAATGATATAAGTTCCAATTAGATTTCCAACTAAATTAATCGAACTAACAACTTCAGCAGATGAAGCTAGTTCGCCCCAATCAACAGCGATCGCTTGATATCCTTTATTTAAATAAGCACTGATCATTGGAGTGTACCAATCTACGTTAATATTTGCGTCAGCACCATGACATATAATTTTTAATGGTCTTGTATTATCAATGTTAGCAGCTGCTATGCCAATCGCCTCTAATTGGACCACCGCAGTAGTTGGCGACGAATAGTAATAAAATTTCACTTGGCTTTGTGCCAAAGCACTTCCTAGATTATGGGTAACAAATTTAAGTAACTATATAAATTCTAAGTATGTTTTACTTACCACTATATAAAGTTACCAAAACATAAAGTAAGATCATTTTGGAAATTTCTAAAAATATTCTTTGATGCCTAAAAATGTTTTAAGCAAAAACTGAAATGTTCCATATCTTCCTGGGTATATAATGAGATTTATCTTTCATTTTTATGGTTTAATTAGCTTAGTAAATATTTAAATTTAATTTGGAGGTTTATTTAAAATAAAATAAAGTTGAAAAATAAATAAACAGGTATGACGTAAGTAATAGATAAAAAATTAAATTACCTGAATTAACTAAATTAGAGAACAATGTTTTCTTTATAATTCCTAAACAAAACTACATCTACGTTCTTCCATTAACAAGTTATCAAGTATTTATAAACCACTAAATGTATGAGATCATAATTAATCTATAAAGAAATCCCCTTTTTCTGCGGTAAATTATCACAAAAACGTTACTCATTTTACATCGATATTTATTTTTTATAAATATTCAAAATCATAAGCTACATTTTACGCATTTATTAATTATTTTTTAATCTTAAATTTAAATATGATGTGAAATATGTGGTGTGGGTGCTTCCTCACTAGGTAAAGTGACCATGACAACTTCTTCGATAGCTTCAATACTTTGCGACATCCTTTCGCTCATTCTCTGAGTAAATCTTCTTTCCAAAACTCTTCTCGGGCAAAAAAATCGTGTCGCCGAATTTTGCGATAACATAAAATCGATTTCTTTTCGAATTTTCGGATGGGAAAACGCATACACATACGGATCGAGACAGCTCGCCATTTTACAAAAAAGAGCTGGAGCTAAAGAAACAGCCGGAGTTATTAATTCCGATTCTCCTGAAATTCCCAATAAAGCAACGGTGGCGTAAGGAGTCCAAGCAACAAACCATAACAAAACCACCAATAAAACAGTTACGGCTAATTTCATTTCTTGTTTTAATTTCACTTCTTTTTTCATGTGAATATAAGTTTCTTTCGTTGATAAATTCTTGGTGATTACTTTCCTCGATCTTGCCACCACCCAAATAATGTTAACGTATGAAAATGTAATTATTATAAACGGGACGAGCCAGGCAGCGACGAAATAGGAAAGAATAAAAATTTTTATGTCGGATCTTGGAGTGATATAATCAAAACTACAACTAATAAAATACGCTTCCGGGACGTAACTCCCAAATCCAAGGTCTAAAACTGGAATAATACTAAATACGATGCCGTAAATCCACGATAACCCGACTAGAGGGTAAATGTGGGCTTTATTTATTAACTTTCTCAAAGGAAATCTTATTACGTAGAATCTATCGTAGGATATAGCTGCTAATAAACATATCGAAACTGTTCCACTTAAACCACCCATAAATCCATATAATTTACAACCTTAAAAAAATATTTTTTAATATTTTTGTGTAAATAGTATTATGTAATTATAATTAAAAATGTTGGTCTGAGTTAATTAAGAAGTTCATTTTGGAAAAGAATTTGTCATATTTTTATTTGAAATTAAACGAACGTTATAATTCTCTTAAAGATACACTTAAATGGTATCATTACAGTTTAAAGGAGTTTTAGATAAGAATTGAAATAAAATTTAATGACGTTCGGTTTGAAATTCTAAATTGATTGGATCGTGGCTCTGTTATTGAGAGATTCAGAATTTCAAGAATAACAATTTTCATAAAGATATATTTATTTTCTGCTTTTATATAGATTTGTTTATTTATGTTTTTACTGCTTAATTACAAGATAATTAGATTAGATAGATAGTTGTTTGTGGAGACCTAATCCAAATCCAATTATTTTATAAATTTTCGCACAATTTATTTAATTGAATCACGTTTTGTTCGATTCAGATATTCTTATTGGGGTCTTTGGAGCTTCCAACGAGGCATTGAATGAACTGATTGAGTTCGTTTAAGATTCCGCTGTTGTTGCAATTAAATTACCATTCATTTTCCTTCTGCAATTATTGCTTCATATGTCTCATACATATATGCGTTTTTATAATATTGAAGTTGGCAAAACTTTAAACTGCAAGAAAATGTCTGCAATACACTGATTAAACATTAAATTGCAAAAAATGTTTTCAATTAGACTGCTCAACTTCCAGATTTTGAGAAAATGTATTATATTTTATCATATTAGCAAAACTTAAAATAGCAATAAAATGTTTGGAATAGCATTGTTTAATTCTAAATTGCAAGAAATTGTCTGCAATTTCTCACTCTAGCGAAAATTAATGCTACAAAAAACGTATGAAATTACATCGAAATAATTTAAATTACAAAAAAATGTTTACATCTTACCCTGTGATCAAATTTGTAATTGCAAAAAAAGTTTGAAAAAAATGTATTCTGGAAAACTCTGAACTGCAAGAAAATACCTAGAATTACACTACCCAAATTCGAAAGCATAAGAAATTGTCTGGTTTCACTGGCCAAACTTTACGTTGCAGACAAATGTCTAGAAGTACACTGACCAAACTCCAGATTTAGAGAAAGAGTTTGGAATCACAGTGACAAATTTCTAAATTCTTTGAATATGTCAGCAGTTACACCGATTCAACTTGATATTTGAAGAAATAGTAACAACTCTAACAACGTGTCTTGAATTACCTTGGAAAACCCTGCACGATAAAAATTTATAGAATTACACTGATTAAAATCTGCAATTATATTGGCAAAATTTTAAATTACAAAAAAATGTCTGGAATTACACTGGCTAAACTCCAAATAGCAATGAGTTGAAGAAAATATCTGCAGTTACTTTGGCTAAACTACAGATTTCATGAAAAAGTCTGCAATTACACAACAAATATTGCATTGTAAGAAAATGCATAATATTATTCTGATCAACTATAAGAACATATCTAAAATTACAATTGAATACTCGAAACTGCATGAATATGTCTAGAATTACACAGATAAATTAAAAATTGTAAGAAAATGGTTGATTATACTGACCAAACCTTGAATTACAATAAAATGTCTGTAATTATATTGGTAATACTCTAAATTTAAAGAAAATGTCTACAATAACACTGGCCAAACTCTAAGCAGCAAAAAATACTTACAATGTCGTTAAACTGCAAGAAAATGTTTAGAACTACATTGGCATAAAGCTCTAAATTGCAAGTGTTCTCCAACTACACCAATAGAACTCTATATTACTAAAATAAATAAACTGGAATTACACTTTTCAAACTTTAAACTGCAAGGAGATATGAGAAATTACACTGCCCAACTGTAAAAACATACCTGGAATATTTAATTAAACTCTAACTTGCAACAATGTCTACAATAACGCTGCCCTATTCTAAACTTTAAGACCATGTTTGCAATTATACTGGTTATAGGTAATTAAGTATAGGTAATTACTTTGGATTCGAAGAAAAGTCTGGAATCATAGTGGCCAAAGGTTAACAAATATTTGCAACAAAATATTTAGAATTACGTTGGAAACTATAAGAATATGTTAGGAATATATATTAAAACCTCTAATTTGCTAAAAAAATGTCTAGATTTACGTCAATAATATTCTAAATCGCTAGAAAATTGCTACGATTAACTGATCAAACTCTAAATCACCAGAAAAAGTCTGCAATTATACTGGTTAAACCACTAAAAATCTAAGTGTTCACAGGCCAAACCTTAACTATAAGAATATCTCTACAATCACACAGTTTAGACTCTAAATCGCAAAAGATATATGCATATGCACTAATCAAATTTCAGATTTACTGAAAATGTTTAAAATTCGACTGGACAACTCATATCAGCAATTATACTGGCCAAACTCTAGACTTGATAAATAACATCTGAAATTATACTAGCCAAAGTTTAAACTGCAAGAAAATGATGGGAATTACACTGGACAAACTCTAAATTGCAAGAAAATATCTACATCTTACCCTGGTCGAACTTTATATCGGAAGAAAATGTTTCAAATCATACTAGCCAACTCCAAGAACAAACCTGGAATTACGATATAAACCTCTAAATTGCAATAAAATGTCTACAATTACAGTTCCCCACTATAAATTCTAAGAAGACGTCTGTAATTGCACTGGTTAATTGCACCATCTGAAAGAAAATTCTTGAAATGGGACTGGGAAAATTCTAAATTTCAAAAAAAATGGTTGCAATTAACTGACCAACCTCTCTTAGAACATGTTAAAAATGAGCCTAAAAAACTCTACAGTGCAAGAAAATGTCAAGATTTACACTAGTAATATTCTAAATTACATTTTTACAATATTGATGTTATTCTGCCAAAACACAAAATTCCAAAAAAGTCTCTGATTACATTGGACAAACTTTAAACCGCAAGAAAGTGGCTGTAATTAACTGGCCACAGTCTAAATTGCAGGAAAGTGGCTGCAATTAACTGGCCAAAGTGCAAATAGCAATCAAATTTTATCAATGTCACTGGGTAAACATTAAACTACAAGCAAATTCTTCACATTCTATATTTCATGAAGATGACTGCAATTATAGAAGTCAAACGCCAGATTTAATGAAAAAGTATCATATTACACTTTAAACTACAAGGATATGTTTGTAATTACTCTGTCTAAACTCTAAAGTACTGAAAAGTGACTCCAAAGATCATAAAAAAATCAAGAATTATACAACATTTATTTCAGATTCCAGATGGCTGGAATCACACTACATAGATTATAGGTTGAACATTCCGAGCACTACTAGACTCTAGATTTCAAGAAAAAGTCTGAATTGACCTGAATTGAAGGAAAATTAAAAGACAGTCATTGCTTGCAAATACTAATTTTTTAGACGCCAAGCATAATATTATTGAATACAAGATTTACAAAGAAACATTCAAAAAAAAACAGAAAATGGAAATAACTGGTAATGAATCTTAATGCAAACAACTAAATCTAAAATAATCCTTTAAATCTTTTGTTTTCCAAACTGAACATCCTGTAACAACCAACTTTTTGAATCATCCTGTATTTTAACATTTTTAATAACATATTTTTTACAATTTACAAGATAAATTGTTTTTATATTAATCTTTGACATTAAAATTTTTCGTTTCATTGAGAATAGTAATAATTAATTTTTTTAAGATTTTAGTATGCTATAAACTGTTTATCCCAATAAAAGTATGTTTTTGTACTTATTTAAAATGAATTTTGTTATCTAATTAGTAACAATATAACTATATGTATATGATAATAACTAATTTCCATTCCACACAAAATTACACGTAAGAAATCTAAACACAACGTCGAATTTTTAAATACCATTTTAATGAAGCCATTCAATTCAAGGTTTATAACTGACTAATTCCTACATTTAGTTCCAGTTAATTGAACAAAAACACACAACAATAAATCTTTCCTAATTTGTATTACCTGTTCTTCCTATAGCCGGTCCATAATTAAAACAATTATATAGCAATAAAGGTATCATAGCCATCATTAAAAGATCACTGAAAGCCAGGTTCATAATAAGTGTGTTAGCTGGTGTTCGCAACGCCGCACATCTAAAAAGATTTTTATCAGTGATGAAATAAACAAATTGTAATTTAAGTTAATTTAGCAATAATTGCAATCGAAAGTTAAATGTTTTATAAACATACTGACCTATAAAATATACCGATAACAGTAAGGTTACCAAATACTCCGATAATCATAACAACCAAATAAACTCCGGCTAAAATATAATACACGATTCTCGGAGGAGGTTCGAATTGCATCCAGTGCGGGTTCATCTCATTGATGTAGTCGACGGTGAGGAAACAACATTTCAACCAATCGTCCACGGGATACGTCGCATTGAAACGTTGAAGCGCATTTTCATTATTAATACTAGTACTATTACTGTTATTTTTAATCGAGTTCATTAACAACATTTTTATGTGGACCGCCTCCAAAAATGAAAATCGTCAAGTTTCAGTTTCTTATTTTAACCGCGACTTAAAATAAGTTTTTTTCTATTTCTCTTTCAGTTTGTTAAAACTGAAGGAGAAAACGTGAAAGTTATAAAAGAGAGTGTTGAGGCATCTTGGAGCACTGCACTGACGGAAGAGAATGCACTGGCCACAGATGAATTTGGAATATATCGGTAGAACAGCGCATGCTGTCGTTTCACCGTAATTATTTTGAGTGACTGAAAACTGGTGAATATTCAGGACGAAGTATCGTCGGTTGGGGAAAATGGTAACCAAGCAACCAAATTATGTCCTGTTCTAACCAATTAGTTACTTCCAAGAAGAGCGATTTAGTTTATGATACGGCACGTATTAAATTATAGTAACGAGGAAGCTACGCTTTGTAATTTCTTTTTTATAATCAGGTTATAACCTGAAGATGTGGTACTAACAATAAGTGAGTACGAAACTTGTTGAAAAATGCATTTTTTTTAAATAATTGAGAAGTGGTTATTGAGAGAAGTGGTTATTGAGTCACATAGAAGTTTCATGCTTTTTAGGATTAATTATGTCCTCCAAGAAAAGCAATTTGTTCTTTAAAAACTTCCCAATTAAATTATTAGATTTATTTATTATAAATACATTGATTACTCTTTCATCACTATCTGTATCATAATTAACTGTATCTACAGTACTGTTCGTATTTTTTAGTCTTTGAGGATGTTATTATATATGTTATATATTATTTCGGGAAATGTAATCACTATAAAATGTTCACATCTTCCTTCAATGTTGGTCAAAGTGAGATCTTGGAAAGAAAACGTTGTTTTTACAAATGTTCAATTGTACATAGATCATGGCTACAGTGAACGACCCATAAAATACCCAGGCGACATTGTATGGTGTACACACGATGTTCTTTCTAAACCTGAAAGATCGTTCTGCAAAAGTTTAGAAGTCTAAACAAAGAAACAAGAAAAAATTAAATCTACTCAACTTACAATGATAAGACCTTAAGAAACAAAAACGACTATAAATTTATCAAGACTGCAATAGAAGCCCATAGGGTATTTCAAACGGATTCACTAAACACTATTAATCCTAGGTAAAACTTAGGAAGTTACTTAATTCCTAGGTCGTTAGTGGTAGTTAGGTGCCTTTCCTCCTAAAAGGACACAGCGTTACAAAACCTCTAGAGAGAGGAGGCCAGAGGTCGATTTGAGCTGTAGCGCCGTTTGTTACAAACTTCGGCCATCTAAATAATCCGCAAAAACCGACTGGACCTGGAGAGGCTTTTTGTGTTGTGACACTGCTTTAGCAAGATTCGCATTTCTCGCCAAACGCTGAATAGCTGTTATGTAATTTCGAGACTAGGTGGCACGAAATCTTAAAAATTAAATTTGTGGGGTGTTGCTTGAATTGTCAACATTGACTGTTTATAAGCTGTTTATATTAACATCAAAGATCCTTCTGAATACCGCATATTAGAGGGCTACCTCGATCGCAATAGTAACGCTCCACAGATGAAGAAAGGTCTTTGGTAGCTTAAAGCCACAAATAATCCGGGAAAGTCTACAGATTAATGGAACGGGTAGAGATATGATAGAAGTAGTCAGGAGCCTCTACGCTAATACTGTTAAGTAGATAAGAACGAACAACCACAATTCTGAGGAGTTAGAAACTAAAAAAGCAGTAAGACAAGGAGAAGTGACTCAGCACTCGCTGCTATTTGTTGTCACAATGGATGTAATTATAGCGTGGGGTGTTATCGAATGCAACCGATGTGGTTTGAACTATGTGTTTTTGCTGATGATGTGGGACTGTGTGCTTAGGGAAACCTACAATATTACTTGGAATGTTGGAATACTGAACCTACAAAATGCGAATTACCTAAAAAAAAAATGTGATAACTCTGCAGGTAGAAGGACCTATTATAGAGCAGGCGGACAAATACAAATATCTAAGGTTCGTAATAAGCTTAAAGGCACCCTGGATGACGAACTGAGCAGTGGAATAAGGGCAACGCGTAAAGTATTCCAATCCTACAGAAGATCCTTTATAATTACTTTAAAATTACCAGAAATACAAAAATGGTGGTTTGCAGAACAATATATATTGTTCTAACTTGATTCATGGCTGTGAAAACTGGATTATGACAAAAAGACAGAAGATCCGAACATAAAGGATGGAAAAGTAATATTCGAAGTAGTCCTTAGGGTGGCCAGAACTGATAAATTAAACACGACCCCATTTAAAAAATAGTGGAGGATATTAACCTGTGATGGTATGGGCATATGATAAGGATGAAGGACAATATACATGTAAAAGGATGTTGCAAGCCACGACGGAAAGTAGAAATAAGAGATGAAGACACCGAGTCAAGTGGAACGATATCGTGAGAGAGATCATGGCAACTAACAGCAAATTCTGAACTAAGTCAATGATGTTGGTAGCTAATACAGAGTTGAATAGAGAACTCCAGGGGACAACCTTAATATTTATGGGCATAAAAAGAATTGATTATGATGATGATGATGATGTTTAATACTCAGTCAGATGTCTAGTTCCGATTTGTACTTATTTTTGTAATGTTTCATGACATCATCAGAGTATATTCAAGTACGGATTTACTTCAGCTGCGTTCTAGCAAAAACTATAGTAAATGTAGTTTAGCAAAAACTGGTATGATTTGCAGTTTTCATAAAAATAGGGAAAAATCGAAAAATCATAAACTGAGAGAGTCTGATAGGCACAGTTGAGTTGCTTACTAGAGTGATGAAACATATTTCCATCATTTGGGTTGTGCTTACAAGCACAATCTGTGGTATCGGAATGAAAGCAACCCAACAAATAGCCAGCAGAATCATCTAGAGATAATACAAGAGTATAGTTTCGAGAATGTCTGATTTCAATAGGACGTAGTGACACCATATAGCTTGAGCAACAAAGTAAGTTTTGGTGGAAATTCAAAATGTCAGTGAATGTTAACATTTTTATCATGTTAAAGGTCACGAATGAGCAACGTTTGTATAATATTAAAAATTGTTGCCACAATTCTGAGTCGGTGGTTGTAAGTTTAAGAACGCTGATCCAGGACCGCCTTTACTGTTAGATGTTGTTGTACCAATAAGGCAATGCATTGGGTACAAAAAATACTCGATATAAAGTTCAGAATAAGCCAAATTAGTCGATTTCACGTAATTCGGGGGAATTGGGAATTCAAACCACATTTTTCTTGGCTTACACCCACGAAATCAAATTAAAATTGATCAATCATTTAATGCGCTAAAGTTTTTTAGATTGGGCTAAAGATTGAAAAAGAACCCTGGATTTCATCGAAAGCTCATTTTTGGTTTAATTACTTTGTTATCAAACATAATATACGTGATTGGACAGTCACAAGCCCATGTGTGCTTTAAAAGACTCCATTATAACCACAAAACGTGACCGTGTGGTGTAGATTTCAGCCGGAAGTGTGATTGCAATGTTACGATCAATGGAGTTCGCTATTGTGCCATGTTAGATGATTTTGGCCAGAATTGGGTAGACCTGACATCAGTGATATGTGCTTCCAATATCATACCTCACAGCTTAGCAAATAATTGATCTATTGTAGAAGAAGTTCAGTAATTTCGAGAGTTGGTCCACCTCGTCTATATGATTTAACGCCATTAGATTTCATTTTGTGGATAACGTAAAGTCTTTGGTTTATCATCTTCAAAACTAAGGATACTTTTACCACACCCTGTTTAAGCTACCTTAGATATGACTGTAAGATTTCTTTTATGAATGCTATATTCTTGATAATAAAAGCCAAAAAATCACTAAAAAATGACATAAAACTTTTTTAATTGTGCAAAACAGAATTTAAAGAAAAGTTCTACTTCAAATTTTGAAGTATAGTTACATTATCAAAACTGCTAAATCTAAACTTAAACGTTATCTACATCATTGTTGAAACGAAATAAATTTTAAATCGATAAAAAATCAAGATCAAGGTCATGTTTTAATCTCAAAAATACGGATTAAGAGGATTAAGATTTGGTTTTATCATTTGCAATATCATTTTTTATTTTAACTTTTAAACTTCTGATTTATTATATTTTTATGTTTATGATGTGTTTGTACACGATAATATAATTAATATAATTTGCGAACAATAGTCGCGATGAGCGTACAAATAATATATACCAATTCTAGAAATTCAAACGACGATCTAATTTGGCCATTAATACGTAAATAGCCATAAATCAAAAAAGGGTGATAATAGCAAAACCATAAATTAATAAATTAACTCAGATTAATTTGTCGTTATAAAAACATTATTTTTTTGAAATCGTTAGTATGAAAATAAAAATGTTCAAGTTAACTATCGTTACATTGTTCCTTTTATTGGGAATTACCTTTGGCGATGAAAATGTGAAGTTTATTTATTATTCCCGATCGGGAGCAGCGTCCGTACAACTTCAAACCATCGATATTAACACCGCTGATATCGACGCTGGAAAAAATGTAAAAATTATTTGTCATGGTGCTTTCACAGACAGTAATGCAGATTGGTATAATCCGATGATCAATGCTTATTTGGATAAAGGATATCAAGTTATTGCCATTGATTGGGGGAAATATGCTAAAAATATATTGCAATTCGTTAGTAAATCTGATCATGTAGGAAACTTAGTTGGTGAAATGATTGTAAATATACACAAGACTAAAGGAGTTGACTTGAGTAACGTTCATTTGATTGGTCATTCTATGGGGGCTCATGTTTCCGGATATGCAGGTATGTTAATAAAATGTCGAAAATGCGTTTAAAATAATTTCTCTTTATTTTAGCACGTTTTGTTTTTAGCCAAACTTCCTCACGTGTTGGCAGAATAACCTCTTTAGATGGTGCTTCAAAAACTGTTATTCTTGGAAAAACCGCTTTATCTCCATCAGATGCGGACTTTGTCGATTCTATCCATACAAGTTTTACCGATAAATACGGCTCGGTTTCTTTCTTCGTAAACGGTGCTGTAGATCAACCCGGATGCGGTTCTTTAGAAAGTATAAATTATACAACTAAAATCTTTAGTATCTCATTAATTTAATTAATTTTTTTAAAGTTGATTGTGGTCATAATAGAGCTCCAACTTACTACGTTGAAAGTATAAACAGCAACGGATTCGTAGCTGCAAAATGCGAAAATTGGTCGACTTTTACATCCGGATCTTGCGATGGAAACGAAAAAGTTATTATGGGGGCTTATACTCCTTCCTCATCTTCTGGGGATTATTATTTACGTACCAACAGCCAGTCTCCATTTGCTTTGGGTTAAAAAAATATTCTTTTTAAAATAACAAAATAACAACATGGTATATATATAAGTATGTAGATTTATTTAAAAACAAAGTAAATGTAATAACAAATACAAAAATAATAGTCTGCTTGTTTTTGTTTTGATTAATTTGTATAAATTTTATGTATAAACGTTGTAATGCCGTAAAATCTCCAGTAAAATTGGTTAGAAAATTGCTTAAATCTCATGAATGGAAGCACACACGCAAATTCTCTCAAGGGAAACGTAACAATTTCGACTCTCTGATGTATATTAACTTACGTAAAAGATAATACACGATAAAATCTTTATGAACACTTTTAAAATTATCTTTTTATGAGTATTTAACATGATAAATCAAAATTGTAATCTATTAATTTTAGGTAGTAGTAAAATTCGAGAAAGAAAAGTGGATTAAATACGTTCAAAATTGTATAGATGGATTATATACATTAAGAGGGATTAAATTAATTCTGGTTCAATGAGAATTTATATATTTATTCATTTATATATTATTAAATCAATTTGGCAATATTAATACACAAAACATGGAGTGTTATTGATATTAAGTTGTTATTTCCATATCATTTAATCTATTTCCCAACCTTTCTACCTTCTACTAGTGGGTATTGTCCACAAATCTTTTGCATTCTATTCTGTTAGTGGCCAGCTCTCTTGCTTCAAGTAAACTATTGATTGCTTTATTCTCAAAAGAAAACAAATAATTACTGCGTTGTCTCATGACGCAAGTTCATTCAAATTTCACTCGGAAAAAATGAATTTATTAAGCCAAAAAGAAAAAAATTATTATGGTTTTAATTGTTAGTGATAACTACATTTGTTGAAGGTCGTTGTTACCTGTCTAATACATGATATAATCATCAATGCCTGTTTTTCTTGTCCTGAGCCATCTGATTTCGCTCACACCAATAATGTTTATGTAAAATCTTTTATACTGTCTGCTTAAGCCAATATTCCCATAGCATCGATACAAAATTGAGTAACGTCTAATGCAGAGCTCCGGTTACAAGCAACCTTAGTTAAACTTGACTCAGGTCCATTACTACCATCGTTTAGTTAAATTTATCTGGTAGATAAACCCATCTACTAGCCAATCAGAGCGCGTGAAATAGCCGTATCCATAGTAATAATCCCATAGATAGCTTAACCAGAAGATGGTAGTAACGAGCCTCAGAGGCTGACTTTGCTTAATTATGAAGCTACGAAGTCGCTTACGGTCGAAGCGCCAAAATTAATGTTACGTCAATTCAAAACTGTCAATTCTCACTACAGCATCTCGAACGCAGCTATACTAATAACAATTATTGTACGATAAACCAGGGTTGGATTGATATTTATTTTATTTATTTATTTATTTATTTATAATTTATGGGTACAGAAACAGGACAAACCCAAATGATCTGTACCACGAAAAAGATTTACAATAAAAAAAAGAAAACGTGTACCAAGGAAAAATGAATAAAGAAAAAATCAAAATTATCAAAATTAAGGCGAGCAATTAAAAATAAAATTAAACTTAAACTAAAAACACCGGAATTCAGATATTATATATATACAAAAAAAAAGATAAAACAAAATAAAACAATAATAATAATACAATAAAGCAAAAAAGCCAAAAAGTAAAATAAAATAAAACAATGCCTAATAGCAATAGTAACGGCGAAATTAAACATTATACAAAAACAGAACCAACGAGCTACCAAAACGAAAGAGGCAATTCGCTGACTGCATTAAAAAGTAAGCGCCTAAACGTAGAAAATGAATGCTGAAACAAATCAATATCGAGCTTATCAGCCTGACGAGCCATTCGCAACATAGGGGAGTTTCGAAAAGCATTGGTGCGCGGAATAGGCGTACAGAACAAGAAATTAAAACGAAGAAGACGGGGAGGAACATGAATATTGACCGAATTCAAAAGAACTGTGGAATCACACATATTGTGTAAAACCTTGTAGAAGAATAATGTGTCGTTACACAGGCGACGTTGTCGAAGGGGCATTAACCGAAAAGATCTGCAAGACGAATGATAATTAATATAAGGTATGGAAGATTTAAAGTTTAGATATTTCAAAAATCTAGATTGAATTTTTTCAATTCGGTCAATATAAATAAGGTATTGGGGATTCCAAACTACAGTGCAAAAATTAAGAATACTGTAAACATATGCGAAATATAAATTTTTAATCGCGTCAACGCTTACAAAGGAAGAGGTGGATCTCATAATGAAACCGAGCATACGCCAAGCCTTATTAACAGTAGTGTCAATGTGCTGTGCGTAGAGAAGCTTGGGATCGAGAGTCACTCCAAGGTCTCTAATAAAGGAAACGCGTGTTAAGTTTACGCCAGCGATGTTGTAATCGTAATGAACAGTATTCTTCCTTCTCGAAAAAGAAATAACATTACATTTAGACAGATTTAGGGTCAAGTGGTTTTTAGTACAAAAGTCAGAAATCCTGAGAAGGTCAGTCTGCAGTCTAGAGCAGTCCAACGGAGAGGAGATACGCAGATAAAGCTTGAGATCATCTGCGTACATTAGACATTGACAATGTTTCACAACCTTGAAAATATCGTTAACATAAAGATTAAATAGCAAGGGTCCGAGGTGGCTACCCTGAGGGACACCCGAGGGAACTGATATAGGGTCAGAGCAATATCCGTTAACAGAATATGGTGTTAATAGTAACGCCTCGGCTTAAATAAGCAATGTAAACCTACATAATAACAACCCAAAATTAGTAAACATGCTCTGTATTGTACTTATACTCAGTATTTATACTCTGATTAAGTCGATCTAATATGTGCAAAACAGGATTGACTTGATATGGTATTAATTGTAGCGCCTCGGCCGCAAGCAACCTCGGCTTAATTGAGCAAAATCATACATTTTCATTCTACATTTAGCTGAGGTTGCGAGCTACCAAATCTTCACCTCCAAGCTCCTGACCTTCTCAAATCTTCCTCCACATCATCCATTCGTCTTTTTCTCAGTTTGCCCTTTGGTCATCAACCCACTGATCTGCAATCTCCAACCTCACTTTGTTGTCTAATCATCACTCATTCGTTCCACGTACTCCATTCATCCAAGTCTCCAACTTTTAATGAACCTGACAATATAAGCACCATCTCTCAATTGGCTCTCCTTCCGTCAAATGTCCTGTGTGACACTAAAATTGTGCGTTTCACAAGTTTCATCATGATAACATGATTTGTAAGCCATAAAATATGATTTTCTTTGGTACAATTTATATTTTTTTCTATAATACTCCCAAATTGTTCTAAAGTCAACCGAAGTAACGCTCCATTAAATTTTGTTACCGTCTTATGAAATTGATTAATGTAAAACTGACATTTCGTTATTCAAAACGAGATAATTCAGTTTTTGGTTTTATATTTACACACAAATAAGTGATACAAAATAAAATAAAAGTTTCTTAACTTCTATTAACTGATTACAGAAAATGTTAGTAGAAATCAGAAAAACGCCATAAGTTTCTTAAAACTTTGAGAAGCGTAACACTCAACTCTCTGTTACTAAGGAATTTAGATTTACGATCGATCATCGAGTCCATCAAACCAGAACACAATTCCAGAGAAAACGTGCATTTGACTAAATTACACCAAATCTAGTATTAACGAGTGTGATTTAAACAAATGGTGAATTCTAAAGCAGTATGATACCTAATGATGAATCACCATCCTAAAAAAAGCAAGAGCAATAACTACATTTTGAAGTTTCTGAAACTATTACAAAGGCATTCAAATTGATTTTGATAGATTAAGTCATGTACAGGTCATAGAGTTTGCACACAAGTATTGGTTTTAAATGTTTAATATGCTCGGTTATAAACAATTTTTCTGTCAAATCGGGAATAATACATGGTATGATATAAAACAATAAAGTAATGTTCAAATTTCATTTATTATTTAATATAATTCATTTACATAGTTAAGTTCAATATTATTTCAAAGTTCATTATTTTTTTTAACCCATTGCATAAGGAGGTTGGCTATTAGTACGCAAATAGAAATCTCCCGAAGCAGAAGATGGAACATTTTCTCCCATAACAACTTGTTCGTTTCCATTACAAGATCCTGATGTAAAACTGGACCAACTTCCACATTGCGTAGCTACGAATCCATTGCTGTTAATGGTTTCGGTGAAATAAGGTGGAGCTCTATTATGGCTACAATCAACTAAAAGAAAAGACATTTTAAAATAATTTTTTTTAAATATTAATATTAAAATTCATACTTGAAAGTGAACTGCATCCAGGTTGATCTTCAGCTCCATTTACAAAGAAAGAGACTGATCCGAATTTATCTTTATAACTTGTATGGATGCAGTCGACAAAGTCTGCATCTGAAGAGGATAAGGGAGTTTTACCAATTAAAATCGATGTTCCAGCACCGTCTAATGAAGTTATTCGGGCAATACGTGAATTAGTTGTACTAATAACTTTACGACCTAAAATAGCAAGAAATAATGTTTTTATTTCATTAAATTTTTTGTTGTTTAAATTACCTGCATATCCAGCAACATGAGCTCCCATGGAATGACCAATAATATGAACTTTATTAAAATTAATTCCTTTAGTACTTTGTAAATTAGCAATCATTTCTCCAACAAGATTTCCAACATGATCAGATTTACTAACGAACTGTAATAAATTTTTAGCATATTTCCCCCAATCGATAGCAATAACTTGGTATCCCTTTCCCAAATAAGCATTAATCATTGGACTATACCAATCTGCATTACTGTCTGTGAAAGCACCATGAATAATAACTTTAACATTTTTCCCTGCGTTAATGTCCACAGTGGAAATATCGACGGTTTGAAGCTGGACGGTTGGAGCTCCTGCTCCGGAATAATAAATAAATTTCACGTTTTCATCACCTAAGCTTATTCCCAAAAATAGGGATAACACAACGATTGTTAACTTAAACATTTTGATATTGGTACTGACTTATTGCATAAAATGGGATGTATTTATATCAACGAATTAATCTGATTTATTAATTTATGATGTTTTAGGGAACAAATTTTATGACTTTATACGTTAGAATGCAATTAATAATGAGTAATATAATTATTTACACAAAAATAAATTAAATGCGTCTTATATTTACGACGAACCGCTTTAACAATTACTGAACTTTTAGAAACAAAAAAAGATGTTTCAACTAGAAAAGTTTTACTGTAGCTTACTTTGAAGTTAAATTAAATTTAAACTGAAGATTTTATGATGTCTGCTGTAAAATCAATGATACCAGATATGGGAAAAATACAAACACTGCCTTAAAGCATACAGTGTGTTAATTAATTATAATTTAGCAGGAGATTTTTGTTCAATCAAAATATAACTAAAAATTTGCATTGCGATGAAATAAAGTAAAAGCACAAAAAAATCACGCGAAACGATCGACATGATGAAATTACGTGTAAAATACAATGAAAAGCGTGAAGCGCAAGAGTAAAGCAACAAGTTAATTTCTATATTTAACCTAAAATTTGAAATGTGTAAATTCAAAATTTAAATCTAAAAACAGTCAAAAAAGTTAAAACTAAAAACACACCAAAAACAAAGAGCAATTTTGTACTTTTTTACTGGTTTATTAAGAAGCTGGTTATTAAGATAAAACGAACAGACATTACAAGTGTAATGTCTGAACTTCTAATGTCCGTTCGTTTTATCTTTATCTCAAATTTTAATGTGTTACTATTTAAAATTTTAATCATCTGTAGACAAAACTTTAATTTATAATGTATATCCGTCATTGATTTGTGACAGAAAGTATTGGAAATTCTACAATTGTTGAAAGTGCACGTGCGTTTTTTAAACTCTGGTTTATTAAATTAACGACGCTTCTGAAGATGAAACTTGTCAAGCCGAATTTAAGAATAAACCAGTAAAAAGGTACAAAATCAATTAATTTATATTTTCTTCGATTACATTTATAATACTGGTAAAATGGATTACACAATCAACATTGATCATTTTTATAAAAGTCGAAAATCAAAGAATAAATGGTGCTAATAGATCAGTTTTGAAATTAACTGTGGATTCCTGAGTGGAGATGTGAAACATTTCTAAGAATAAACGTATGTGGTAATTGTCTTCTTTATCTCATATTGCAGTTTCATCAAATTTGAAAACATGACCTGTGTTAATACTGTGTTTGTGCTAAGGCACAACCTCCTATTGAATTTCTAACATCGCTTTTATGTTTGCTTAATCTTCTCTTCTACCATTAACAAGTTTGGCCTATGTAAATACTGTTACAATTACCACAAGGGACGTTAGACTGATAATCTGTAGGAATTTTACTTTTTAAATTAGAAAAAATTGAATCCAACTTGAAGGGATAATATTCTCTTATTTTTAATTCTGATTAATTTGATGATTTCTGAACACTTTTATCAGTTTATCTGTTAACTCCGGTATGTAAGTGATTTTTTTGTAGGTTATTAATTTAAAGAGTCTTGTGACTGAAGGTCAACACGATTCCTATTAGGAGTTACATTAAACAATAATTTATTTAACAATTTACTACTATTCGTGCAAAAAGTCAAGGCCCCTCACTTTAGAGATCGATATCTTCGCAACCGCTCGATAAAAAAAATTGCGACAAAGTTTGTTGTAATCACTGAACATTTCTACGTAACATATGTTAATTTGAAAATTTTCGGATCCACGATTTTCTTTTTATCGCGAGTTAAATGAAAAAAGTAGTCGATTTTTTACCGGTACAGGCAACTTTGTCAACTTTGCGATTTTTTTTCTCGAAAACTATAGTACGAAAAAATTTGAATTTTGAACAGGTGGTAGCCTGATGTGTTCTTAATGAGTGGCATATTTTATTTTTTCGATATTCCATACAGTTTTGCGGAAAATTACGGTTTAGTAAGACGTCGTTATGTCGAAAACGGCTGGGTGGATTTCCTCGCGGATTTGACCAAAATATGTCAAATAGTATCGGTTGTCGAATTCCGTTATCAGTTTTTCAAAATTAGATCTCCCTAATTTTTTATGAGCGATTTAATGGAATCACATATTAAAGAGAAACAGAAATAAATCAAATAGTTTTGGAGAAAAAAAATCGCAAAGTAGACAAAGTTGCTGGCACTCTCAAAAATCGGGTACTTTTTTCACTTAACTCGCGATAAAAGAAAAACCGCGGACCTGAAAATTTCCAAATTAAAATGTTATACGCAAAAATGTTCACTGATTACAATAAACTTAAAAACTATAAAAGATATCGATCTCTAAAGTGAGGGGCCTTGACTTTTTGCACGGATAGTAGGGTATGAGTTATCTACAAAAATTTCTTTTCTTTAACTTATTTAAATTGGTTTGGATCAGTTGTGGTTCCGAAATATTGACAATTCTATGTTTTATATTCCAAACTGTATTAATTTTATACTTAACTCTGTGAAATTAATTAAAATGAATATATCTGCCTGAGAAAGTTGGTTTATTATATCAGTCAAGTATTAATTGATTGTTAGGACGTCTTATAATTTTGGTATCTAAAAAAGGTACAAAACTTTTTTTTTTCACATTCTTTAGTAATTTTTATATGATTGTCAAAACTAATGAAAATGTTAAGGACCCTATCCTCAAAACCATGAGGTATAGATAAAATAATATCGTCGACATACTTTTTTATGAATGGTAACTCAAATTCTAATGTAGGAATTATTTTCTGTAAATATTAGTTAATATAATATTAGTTTATTAAATATTATTGATTAATTCCACCACGTTATGTATCACTCGACTAAGTGACAAATGACCAATGTTGAGAAAAACGGGATTTTTGTTTTCACATCTCTAAAAATATAAGACTTCTCAGAATAAACAGACTCAAAGTATTGAAAATTGTTTCGTGTCTGTCTATTTTTATCACAGAACACTGATGGCGGCTATCACAAGATTATACAGGATGTTTCTGTAAGTTGTGGTATAAATTTAATCACAAATACTAGAGTCAAAATGATGAGTCAATAATATAGTTTGATTTTGTACTTTTAAACTGGTTTTTAGTTTATATAGAATTTAAGTCTAATTAGTTTCGGCCCTTAGCCATCTTCGGAGACTCTACAAATAAATTAACATCTCTCATCTTATCCATTTTACAAACAAGTCTCTTAATATTTCTTTTGTTAAAAAAAATCACATATCAATGTCGAAATCAAATTATTGATTACTAATTTACAATATTAAAGTTTAAAAAATTGTAAAATGAAATTAGGGACGAAGTGTTACAAATTTACAGGTTAAAATTTAAGAACGCAGTTTTTTAACAAAAGAAATATTAAGAGACTTGGGAAAAAATCAAGAATCATCACACGTTAAAAATAAAAAGAAAGTGCGGAAAAGTGACTAACACTAGATTAACTTCAGTTATAAAACTTCTATTATATGATAACTAACTTCAAGTTTAAAATGTCAACCTAAAGGTCAACCTCAATTTGCTCAACTTTTTTGTTTTTTGAGATAAGTGCGTCATGTTTGGACTCATTTCAAAAGTTTTTTAATAAAGAATACATCATGAAAGAACATCATGAAATTGTCCATTTGTCTATTATATGATATCTAACTTCAAACTTTAAAATGTCAACCTCAATTTTGACATATTTGTAATCTTCATTAAAAATCATTAAAAAATTCATTAACAATCATTAAAAATAAATTAAAAAGTATGATGTAAATCGGACTTGAAATCGTATAACGTGATTGGCGGTTAGCTTTATCCTTCAAAACAAATGGTAGTTTAGGTCTTTCGGTATTCTGCATTTTTTCTAAGATAAATTACACCTTTACCTACCACAAAGCATGAAAATCTCTAAAAAACGATAAAATGTCACTTAATCAAGTGATGTATAACGCGGTCCAATTATCGTATCCGACATCATCATTGCAAATATGCAACCAATATCACAGTATTGGTGTTGCAATACCCAAATCGCGTAAACGACAAAGTTTACGGTCAGTACAAGAAAGTTAATGGTAAAAGATCATGGAGTAAAGAAGACTAGCAGTACTTTGAAAGCCGATATTCATAAAACCAAGTAACGGAAAAAAAGATACCTGGCAAAAACCTTTACTTCAAATGAAGAGATCAAAAATCACCTAGATCAGTTTTTTTGGCAGCAAAACACTAAAATGTTAGGGTACCTTTACGTTGGAGCTGCGATTAACGATAATAGCGACGATACTAACAAAACAACGAAATTGTTGCCATAGTTTTATATGCAGGTGTTTATATTGGAACAAAAGCTGCGATAAACAATAAGAGCTGCGCAAAATTCATTTCTATGATGCTGTTTATAGTGGAGCGTTGATAATAGTGACAATCTCTGCTTTTTAGGTGCCGTTTTCATAATATAATAAATACCAAACGGTATACGTTTGGAGAATTTCATTACTTTTATCAACACTTAAGGCAACACCCTGCAAAATTCATGGAATATACATCACTGTACCCCATGTTATCATAGGTAGAAGCCTTTCCACTTCTCCCTAATCTATTGAAACCTTATAGAAAACAATAAATTGATAAAAATAAAGACTACTTTAATGCTATATTATCAAGAGCATGAAGAACTGTTGAATGTGCTTTTGAAATACTGTATACTAAGTGGAGAATTCTAGGAACAGCGATACAAACATTTACAGGTGTAGCTGATGATATTGTTCAGTGTATCTGTTTGCTACATAATATTGTCATTGATAGAGAAAGCATTGACCATCACGTTCAAGAAACAAGCACAACCAAAGCAGAAATATCACCCCAAGTAATACTGGAAGACCAAAAGAATCTGCTGAAAATATTTTAAACGTATCTTTGTCGCAATCTAATTTAAATAGTATTACTATTAGAGATATAGAATTATACATTTTTCTGTATAAATTTCCTATTAATGCCGACCATCAGGTGTGAATAGCAAAGAAAATAGGGAATACAATTAGCGTCGCTCTTATAGTTAGTCGGCTGTCAAACTTGTGACATTTTAACATATTTGTCATAGTTTATAAAACTATGACAACAATATCGTTGTTTTGCTAGTATCATCGCTATTATTGTTTATCACAGCACCAACGTAAACGCACCCTTACGAACGTGGATTCATGCTATTGCCAGAAAGATGGCAAAAGGTATTTGACCAGAATGAACAATATATAATTTAAAAAAATGTTTATTCACTATAAGAAAATTGTCTTTCATTTTCATAAATAACAAACGAAATTACTCTACGAGCAACTTAATAATTAGGTAGATGTCGTAGATCTGATCTAAAAGTATCACTTCATGGACTGAGTCAGTAGAACCAGCATTTTCATAGAGTAAAGTGTAGATGTTTAAATCACGTTTTGTATATTTCACTTTCATTATGAAGTTATCACTTGAAAAGTGAAAACAATATTATCAAGCATTTTAATAAATTGTTACGATTCTTAGAAGTACCTCATTCCGGCAATATCTACTTACAAACAATTTAAGTGAAGCTTGTCTAAAACAAAATAAATAGAATCAAACTCAATCTTAAAGATTGTTAATTACATTTCTTAGTACTCTTACAGTGATCAACACGTTTTATATAAACAATTCTTAATAAATACAAATCTTATCAACATTTCAAAGGTTATATTTTTCATATAATTTATCAAAGGAATTTGCGTTAGTATTTACAGTTAAATTCTCGAAAGGAGATTGCAGTCAATAGTAAGGTGTTTCCACATGAACATACTAAAGTAGCTGAAATACTTTAAATTGTTAAAGAAAATTTGCAAAGCAACAAGTAATTTTTCATAGTTCTCCAAGCAACCTCGTTTTTGTGTGTGAAATTTTAAAAGACTCCTAAGAAATGAAGTATTATAAGTTTCTATTTATTTTACTTTGTTTCCAATTCTACATATCCACATCAAAATGTATATATTAAAATAAATTAATGTTAAAATATGATTGTATCAATTAAACATAAATTTTTAGCAATGACCGTAACGTGTTATTACGCGAGTTGGGCCGTTTACAGACCAGGGATTGGAAAATACGACATTGATGATTTAGATCCAACAATTTGTACCCATTTAATTTATAGTTTTGTGGGGATTAATTCAAACGGAACTATTCGACTTCAAGATCCTGAATTAGATATTGGAAAAGGTAACATTTTCGTTCACTTTTTTCTTTTATATTAATTTAAATTGTTTTAGGTGCTTTATATAAATTTAATGCAATAAAAACTCGCAATCCGAAATTAAAAACTTTAGTAGCTATCGGTGGTTGGACTGAATCCCCAGAGCGTTTTTCTAAAGTTGCCTCCGATCCACAATTACGAAAAGTTCTTGTTGAAGACGTAGTAAAGTTTTTGAAAACTTACGGTTTTGATGGTTTAGATTTTGATTGGGAGTATCCCACAGCTCGAGGAGGGGTAAAAGAAGACAAAGAAAATTTTTCTATTCTCTTAAAAGAATTAAAAGATGAATTTGTTAAGCATCAATTTATGTTAACGGCTGCCGTTGCTGCTATTCCTAAACAAGTCAAGCAATCTTATGATATACCAGAAATTTCGAAATATTTGGACGCGATTCATGTTATGACTTACGATTTACACAGTGCTTTTGATAACGTAACTGGAGAAAATTCACCACTTTTTTCGTCAATTGAAGAAAGAGATAAAACAAGAAATGTCGTAAGATTTTTAATTTTTGCTTAAATAACAATTTTTAATTAACACAATAAATTCCAGGATTCTTGTATACAATATTGGATAGAAAATGGAGCTCCAAAACACAAAATTGTACTTGGAATGGGGTCTTACGGAATTTCATACACAGTATCAAAAGATTTAAAATCATTTAAAGTTGGTGTACCAGCTTTAGGACCTGGAAATCCTGGATTTTACACAAATCAAAGTGGAATGCTTGCATATTATGAAGTATTAATAAAAATAATCTTATTTGTTTTATTTTTAATCGTATTCTTTTGTAGATATGTAATAAAACGAAGCGAAATGAATGGACTGTATCTCGAGATCATGCACAAAAAGTCCCTTATGCTTATGGAGATGGTCAATGGGTTGGATATGATGATACTTTCTCAGTTAAACAGAAGGTAATATTCTATTAAAATCTCCAAGTATTTCTTAAATTATTTAGTTCGTTCTTGAATTTTCGTTAATTAAAATTTTTATTTAAGATGAAATATGCTAATAGACATAAATTAAATGGAGTAATGGTGTGGACTATTGATACTGATGATTTTCGTGGAATTTGTCAAACCAAAAAGTATCCACTTTTAAGTGTAATGAGAAAATACAGCAAACCGAAAAAGATTATACAAAAGAAAAGGAAATACAAAGGTAAAATTAAAAGTTGCATTAAAAACGCTTGTAAACGTCGGTTTAATAGTTAATGAATAAATAATAATTAAAACGTATTTTGTGTGTTTTTAATAAATCCTATATAATATTGCACTTGTAACACTATAAGCCAAAAATTAAAGCCAATGGAGAATTGGACTGCGTTATACATCACTTGACTAAGCGACATTTTATCGGTTTTAGAGATTATCATGCTGTCTGATAGGTAAAGGTGTAACTTATCTTAGAAAAAATGTAGAATACCGAAAGACCAAAAATACTATTTGTTTTAAAGGATTTCAAGTCCGATTGCATCATACGTCTAAGAACCGACTTAGATACGACACTTAGATACACCAAGAAATTCTACAATAGAAAGTGTCGTTTTCTAGATGTTAGTATAAAATTAAAAGTTTATGTCTTTTATTTTATATAGAATTTAAGTCTAACTAGTTTCGGCCCTTGGCCATCTTCAGAAATTCTACAAATAGATTAACATCTCTCATTTATCCATTTTACAAACGACAGCGATAGGTAGTGCTAGTTAGCATAAGATATCACTATGTTGCATATTTTTATTGCACTAAAACTAGAACTAACACAAGACCTAGAAATAGAATAATTCGTGTTTAGAAGTCTTGAGAGACGTGGGACTAAATCCGAATGTTTCTCTAGTGGCAGTGGTAGATAGCGCTAGTTACCATAAGATATTACTATGTTGTACATTTTTATTGAACTAAAACTAGAATGAGAACTAGAAACATTCGGGTTTAGTCGTGAAAAAAGTATCAGTTGTCAATGTCAACTTTAATTTTATTAGTATATTCGTAATCTTCATAAAATAACCTTTAAAGTGAGTCCAAACTTGACGCATACATCTCAAAAAATCAAAACTTCGAACTTTTAATTTTGACATATTTGTCAACTTCATAAAAAAATCCTTTAAAATGAGTCCAAACTCGACATATTTAACATTAATATTAATGAAAATACAACCACTTCCGGTTTCAAACGTCAACGTCAATTTTGACATATTTGTCATCTTCATTAAAAAACCTTTAAAATGACTCCAAAGATAATTTATCTCAAAAAACAAAAAAGTTAGAATAAAAGCTTTAACCCCTACGTTAGTAACAATGAAGATAGAAATTTAATTTTTAAATGTTAATACCAACCTTAATTCTTTATTTTTTTTTATTATATTTTTGTTTTTGTGACAAATATTAAGATATTTTATAAAAATTAAGAATATGTCAAAATGACATTGACATTTCAAACAGGAAGTAGCTTATATTGGAATTAAACATATCATGTTTGGAGTCATTTTAAAGGATTTTTCACGACGATTACAAATATGTCAAAATTGACATTGAAATTCTTAACCGGAAGTTGACCATAACTTCATTAATATTGAAGATAAATATGTCGTGTTTGTACTCATTTTAAAAGATTTTTAATGAAGATTACAAATATGTCAAAACTGAGGTTGACATTGTAAACCTGAAGTTAGTTATCATATAATAAAAGTTTTATAACTGAAGTTAATCTAGTGTTAGTCACTTTTCCGCACTTTCCTTTTACTTTTAACGTGTTTTTTGGGTCATTTCACATTAATTAAAAAAAATCGTCGATTTTTAAGCCAAATAATGATTCTTGAATTTTTCCCAAATTTCTTAATATTTCTTTTGTTAAAAAAGAGCGTTCTTAAATTTTAACCTGTAATCTTGTAACACTTCGTCCTTAATTTCATTTTACAACTTTTTAAACTTTAATTTTGTAAATTAGTAACTAATAATCTGATTTCGACTTTGATACCTTATCTTTTATAACAAAACAAAAAGAAATATTAAAAAACTTGTTTGTAAAATGGATAAGATCAGAGATGTTAATCTATTTGTACTTAGAGTCTCTTTACAGAAACATCCTATACAGGCTGTATCTGAATGACTGCAACAAACTTCGACGGGTGATTCTTTAGGCAATTTTAAGGGTACTTTGATATATAAACCATGGGCGACTTCAGCTGCCCTAAGGAGCTACACCCTATATGTTTAACTCATAACAGGGCACGTTTTGACCCTATTTGTACTTTCAACCTACCTTTTTCCTACCCTTTTCAAGTAATGCATAACGCGGTCCAATTATTCTGTCACATATTGACTCATCCTCCTTGAAAATCTAAAATTTCAATATTCATATAGATTTCTAACACTAATCTTCCGTTGTTGAAGCAATATCCTTTATAATATTATGTTATAATATATACAGGTGATTCACATAAGAACCGACACAGCGCAGGGACATGTAGAGGACAATAAATTAAGATGATTTAACGTAATTTATCTCTATACTAAGTTGTACACCTGAGGAGTTATAGGCCTTCAAAGTTGGCTCTTAAATTTTTAAATGTTCAATATCTTCGTAATACATTAAGCTAGAAAAACCAAATTTGGTATACATAATGAGTGTACCAAGAGCATTAATTGGTAGCAAATTGGACTCAATTGAGGCATTTCAAACAATTGATTAAGGGTGATGGTACCCTAAATATTGACAGATTTTTTTAACCTTTAGGCAGATTTAATACATTTCTATTTTATTGTGTCTTCAAACGACAATGTTTTTTAAAAAATATTAAGAGTAAAAAAAGTTTTAGAATTAAATTCCACATGAAATGAGGTAATAATGTATTAAATCCATCAAAAGGTTAAACAAATCATTTTAAAAATTTAAGACCCAACTTTGAAGGCCTATAACTCCTCAGGGGTACAACTTAGTATAGAGATAAGATACGTTAAATCATCATAATTTATTGTTCTCTAGATGTCCCATTGCATTGAACAGTACAGAAAAACTATCTAACAATAGGAGATAATTATTTTGATATGAGTGAAGAATCAACTATTTCCTGCTTTAAATAATTCTCCAGCATCATTCGCAATTTTCCAAAAAGCTCTTGACTATTATATAAGATTTGTAAATATTGTTTGAATATTGCAAAGAATTAAACATTCCGGATATCATTCACCTGCCAGAAGACTCAAATTCTTTCAGCAACCGCGATTTCTTAATAACTTGTAGATTTGAAATTCCATTTGGGGTAGTTTTTCTATTTTGTTAATTGTATTATTATGTTAATTACGCCGTTAAAGTGTTTTAATACCTTTAAAATGTGATATCAGCCATTCTAGGTTATGTTGACATAACCTTACTTATTATTTAGCAAAAACTGTGATATAACTCAAAATAAAGTATAGTCTAGGATTTTTCTATAAAATTCGAACACTCACATCAATATTTCATAATCACATTAATATTTCTGTTTTAAAATTTACATCCTGTTTATGTTTTTAACAACATAACCTCAACCAATATAAAAGCAAATTTTGTAATGGATAAATCAATTATAAAACTATCATCTCCAACGTTAGAGACCGTAAATAACGTTATAGACCAAGGAAATGAAATTTATAAAATGTACAGCAAAATAATAGATTCTTATGTTTTGGTATGTACACAGAAAGTTAATCGAAAGATCAAAACTGAATATATCATAGGATTTTTTTACATGTTCTCATTGGAATAGATTACCTTCATCGTGGAGACTATTTTTTAAAACTATATCACCTAAAGATCTAGCTTACATCCTTGATTATGATGAAAAATTGCTGTGGTAAAAAGAAAAGTAGAATTGATGTCTTCTAATACTCTTAAATATCTTTTGATTGTAGCTCTAAAATTCCGCCCTTATCATTATTGTGTCTAAAGAATTTAATGATTTATTTAAGTATTCCAAGATTGCACCAAAGAAGCATGACACATGATGCTACAAGTAACTTTAAACAAATCAAACTGAAGGATTGGTGTGAAATTGATAAAAACAAGGTGATGAAACTGTTTTGGAAGAATGTTAAGATGAAAAAACAACATGAATTGTCTGAATTTGCTGAGGTAATTGTCTGTATAATCATATAAATAAATAAAAGGAATGGTTTTATCATTGTAGTATACTTATCAAATGGCTCTGAAAAGCAATTGCAATATTGTGGTGGATGTAGGGGCTGGTTTAGGGCATTTATGTCGTTTATTATGTTATGGATATAATTTGAGGGTGGTTGGAATTGAAGCCCAAGATGAATTAGTGCTTCAAGCAAGGTTAGCCCAGATTTGACAGCTTAGATTTAATAATTAATTTTTCTTCTACAGAAAACTAAATGAAGGCTTTGAACGTTTAGCATCCAAATACGCCCCCAATTTTAAAGACAAACATCCCCACACTCCTCACAATTTGAAATTGACTATAAAAGAAGACATGTGCCCACAAGAACTTTCAAAGGTAATATAATGCTTAACTGTAGGTATCTATTATCAGATTATATTTATATTTCAGTTACTTCAGTCAATATTAAACATATCGAGTGCAGATTTATCATTTGGAATAGTCGGACTTCATCCTTGCGGCGATTTAGGTCCAATTCTACTAAACATATATAAAAACAGTCCAAATGTTCGTTTTGTAAACGTGGTCGGTTGTTGTTATATGAAATTATCCTCAGGCTTGTCTCTTTCTTCGCCGCATTTCTCCCCAGTAAACATAAATAGTCGTTTTGAATTATCATATCACGCAAGGGAAATCGCTTGTCACGCCATTGAAGCGTATATGGAGAAATTGCAATCCGAAAAATACTGGGAGTTAAAAGTTCACTCATATAGAGCTACATTAGAGAAAATTTTAAATGAGAAATATCCGCAATTCCGCTATAAAGCTTTAGCGAGTGTTAAATATACCGAAGATATGACATTTGCTGAGTAAATCAATTTATTACTTTATATTTCGTTAATAAAATAAAAATGTGTTTTTGTAGGTATTGTGAGAAAGCTTTAAAAAAGTTACCTTTAAGATTATCACATGATGATGTATACTCTGATGAAATTTTGGAGTGTCTTAGTCAATGGAGGCATGTAATGACGTTTTATACTGTAAGATTGATGTTTGCCCCAATTATTGAAACTTTGATCATATTGGATAGATATCTTCATATATTACCAGGTATATAAGAATAATTACACCAGAAAAATCTTTTTTTTGCATCAAACGTCTAAATTAAATCTAATCCTTAGTAATTACACCATGTCTATAATATCATATATTAATATAATTTTTAATTTGCTTCAGTTGGCCATAGCTTCATCGACACTATATTTGATCCAAATGTGTCCCCACGAAATTTTGTTGTAACTGGATTAAAGAAATAAAATTAATTACAACCAAGTTGCATTTCATTTTATGCCTTGAAAATAAACTTCCCGATTTTTACATTACATTTCTACACAGTCATTTCGGTCGAGATATTGCACAATTTCCGAAGACTTTTATAGCCACATAAATACCAAGTTAGGAATTAATTTGGTGTGCCTGAAGTAAACTTAGAACATGGATTTTGTGATATAACTTAGTTAAGCTGAGTTCGCTTACGACAAAGCGAATATGACTTTGTTAGAAACTTTATGTATAAATTATATCTGAAGTTGATATGGTATGGTCAAAGTAATGTTAATAACCGTGTAATAGACTATTTAAAAAAGTAACAAACTTGAACTTTCTCATACACAATCTGAACGATAAAGCACATTATTGTTGAAAGACATCAAGGACTGTTTGTATACAATTCTTTAAATAGACCACATAAACGATGTCTATAATATTAAAGAAATTTATTATTTCTACTTTTATCTGCATGGTTTACTTCATAGCTGCAATACATAGCGATAAGGTAAAAAGCGCAGAAAAGTAAGAAAAATAATTTTGATAAAGGTTGCTTAAAAAAAATTAGGATTCACCTATAAATGATGAAACAACAACGTCTATTGAAAAAAATAAAACATCGGAAAATGAAGAAGAACAAAGAATGTTCGGTGATGCATTTACGGTTAGTGTTCCTTCTTTATTAACTGATATAATAGGATTTCTATTATCTATTCTAGGTAACTAAGAGTATAGTAAATGCTGTCGCCAAGGTCGCTCATGCTGTAATAGATGCAGTTGGAGATGTGTTAGAACCGGATTGCGAAGATTAATATTCTGTGTGTCCAATGTTAAGTCTACTTGGTCTGTACTAGATTCAGTAAATAAATTTATAATAATTTTTGGAATTGATTTCTCATGGCTTGTCCCAAGTATTCAAATTTTCTGCGTTTCACATGATTTCTAGCACTCACTCTTCAAAAATTGAAGAAACTGGTTTTAGAAAGTTTTGATAAAATAAAAATTTTTCAATTGGCTAAGCCAATTCACTCAATAGTAGCAAAATATATCTGAGATTACTTGACATAGTCATAAACTTTTAGCAAAAATTTGTTTAGGGTTCAAAAGTTTGAAATCTAAGTTTTGCAAAAAGTAAGTACCTAATATAAAATTTATGCCAACGATCACTTCTAGTTACTAACTAGTCCTATAGATGTTTTTGCTTGTTGCTACTTATTTTGTTTCCTTTATGTGACTCAACATTTGATGGAAATGATGAAGAAGCAATTTTGAGAACTTTCTTTAGGCATAAAAAGAAAAATTGTTACGTATTGCCGTGAAGTTGACTTCACAAAAACAAACATACTAAATCTTCAGCTTCTTACGAAGAATCTTATAAACCTTCAAATTAAAAAAATCGTCCAAATGAAGTATAATGCGATAAAAAATGAATGGTGGATACACCTCTATTCTGAAAGTGCTGTGTAAGCTAGAGCTGATATGATTTATATTTTTCTGCGTAGATTTCCTGTTGACTGTTTTGAAGAGTTACGTTATTTGTTACTGCTTGTTTAATTTCCTCTTCCAATTCAATTACTGATCGAGAAGATGAAGAAAAAAATTGTTGAACTTTCTTTAGGAATGAAAGAGTAAGAATGTTACGTCTTGAATTTTGTCTTGTCTTCTTCACTTGGGAAGCTGATGTACCATCAATAATCATATTATTAATATTATAAGGATATTTAATACATGAGCATATTATTTTAAATCTAAATGACATAGCTTCAGATTAAATCCAACAAAGTTTGAAAGCGAGAAGATGATATAATAAATTAAACAATTGTTAGCGATGGGTTTTTAATGCTCGTAATGAATAGTTAAATTTTATTAGAAATTCTTGGACTGTGACAAAAATCATCTCATTTTGTACAAGAAATGCAGTATGACAAATAATGAGACTACCTTATGACGATATCCATTCTGTAGCTAATGAACCTCGTGACTTTTTTGTAGTGGATTCAATGAGTCTCCTTGTCAAATTCCAGTATTTACAGGTATTTGCTTAGCGAGTTTCCCATGTATTCGTACTTGTTTGCTGTTTTCCAAATAAATGTTTTTAATGATTCCAACAATATTTGCTGGTATTCCGCGGCAGCAGATTTATGACATCCTAAAGAACTAAAATCTGATCTTGTCATAAGCTTTAAGTAAATCAATGAAACATAAAAATGCGGGTTTCTTATATATATATATCGACTTTTCTACGACTTGACCTTCCTGCCTTAAAGCCTTGTTCTTTGGTCGGTATTGGAATCGAATTAATTTTGATTCCATTCTAAGGTTGGTAACTTTTGTTCTGTTAAGATTTTGTTTATCAGTAATGTATTACATTTTGTATGCATCAGTGGTCCTTGTTATTAAACGTTCTCCTCCATATTTTAATAACTCATTTGGGATTTCGTCTTGACTTGGTGATATTCAAGTTTTCAGTTTTCTTAACATTTCTCCACATTTTCTGGTGTTATTGTAATGTGGTCTTTAAACGCTTCTGTTAAATATTTTATCCAAGTATTTTCCTCTATTTGGTTTGTTTCTATCAATTCGTTTCCCTCTTTTCTCTGTTGTCTGACAAGTTTCCACATTTGCTTCTGTAAGTCATAAAAAATCTATTTAAGCCTATAGAATGTGATACAGATAGTGAGAAGTGGATATTGAAGAATATTACATGGATGCAAGCGATTTTGTCTTTTTGGTGATGATGTTTCTGGATCGTCGGAGGGCGTTCTTACAATGATATATGAGTTGATGCATTTTTTTTTAAAACAACACATTTCGAATAAAAGAATTTTGAGAATATCTAGAAACACTGCTTGCCTTTAGAGTCATATCAACTTCGACTAACGCCTTGTATTTTTTACAAACTGACACTTAACCCGAATATCATTTCATTTTTTCTGTACACGTAAATTTTGATAATTTGAAGACCTTATCTGATAAGTATTTGTGCCATCTACGCGTAAATTATTGAATCCTCAGAAGTAGTTTTCTATAACACAAAAATAATCAAATTGTTGGATGCAATGACGTAGTTTCCTTGGCGCAGGGCCACAATCTCCGTAAGAATATTCCCAAAAAGAGGCTAATAATAGAATGTGGCCCATTTAGATTTAGAAAACGTTAGTTAAACTTGTGCTGTCCACTTTTTGCTGTTCTTTGATGCTATTCGCAGTAATAAAATACTTCTTGAAAAATTTTAAATATATTTATATTCATCCTTAAGGTGAAGTATATTTTTTATTCATAAGCAACGATCATCACAAATTTCAAGCTTATTATATACTATCTTTATTTTTTTCATAGAAAAATGGTAAATTATTCTTGTGAAATTTGTAAAAAACCTTCACAACAAAATTGCGGACAATGCGGTTTGGTTTATTACTGTTCAAAAGAGCATCAAATTTTAGATTGGAAGAAATCGCATAAAAAAAATTGCCTAAACTTTAAAATCGAATCAAACGATCGTTTAGGCCGTTTTATCACAGCCACGAGGAGTATTCACGTAGGGGAAGCGATTGTGAAGAAAAAACCGATTGTTTTAGCTCCAAAAACAATCTCTCAAATCTTATGTTTGGGCTGCCATAAAACCCTCAGTAATAAAATCGAATTTTCTTGTACTAAATGTTCGTGGCCTTTATGCAGTTCTAAATGCGAGGAATCCAAACACCATCAAGAAGAATGCAAAATTTTTTCTAAACAAAAATATAGACCCACCTTAAAAGATGGAGAAAAACAAACTTGTTACGCAATTATCGGTCCGTTAAGAGTTTTGTTGTTGAAAACAACCGATAAGTATCAACACATCATTTCTATGCAAGATCATTTGGAGAAACAAAAAAATTCGCAAGTTTACTCAATTTTAAAACAAACTTTAGTACCGGAAATAATAACAAAATTAAAAATCAACACCGATGAAAACGAAATATTAAAAATTTGTTCAATTTTCGACACCAATTCGTTTCAAGTTAGAGACTCAAAAGGTTTGATTAACATCCGAGGACTTTATCCGACGGTTTCTTTAATTTCGCACGATTGTAAATCGAATACACGTCACGTTTTTATCGGGGAAGATTTGGAAATTTGTTTTAGTGCCACATTTCCTATCGGAAAAAATGAACTGATCACAACAACTTACACACAAACTTTATGGGGGACTTTAGCGCGAAGAGAGCATTTAATATCGTCGAAAAATTTCGAATGTAATTGCCAAAGATGTTCGGATCCCACCGAATTTGGTACTTACGTCGGTTCCATTTATTGTTCCATGTGCAGACAACACAATAAATCAAATTGTTGCCCGAAAATGATTAGTACTGATCCTTTAGATGCGAGTGCCCCGTGGGAATGCGAACAATGCTCAAGAAGTATGAATGCCAAGCAGTATTCGTACGGAAATGAGACTTTAAAAAACGAAATTTTGAGATTAGATAAAAAAAATCCGAAAAAATTTGAAGAATTTTTAGAAAAATATAAAGACATTCTTCATCCTACTAATTCACATGTATTGGAAGTAAAGTATGCTTTAAGCCAAATGCATGGAAATATGGATGGGTTTTTATTAACAGGTAGGTGATTTTTTTTTAAATATATCTCTTGGCTTAATTTATTTTTTTCTTCGAGAAAATGTTTATAGATTTAGGCGATGATTTACTTATTGGTAAGTTAATATATTTCTTGATTGAAAAAATAATAAACACTGGTGATATGTGACATCGAAACAGTGTTTTGATATTATTTTATTTTAAAAGAAAATCGCATGTAAATTCTATTATTGCCTGTTAAAATTGTTGGGACTATTCAGGTTGAGGAATGTGGCAAAAAACACTCAATTCAACATAAACTGATTATTCTAAAATCAATATGCACTAAATAACCATTTTTGTGTGCACAAATTTCTTGGAACAGCACGTATATGAAAAATACTTACAATTTTTGTGCCATAAATAATAACGATATCCTACTAATTTTTCAGTAAACTTCTTTTTCAGTACTCAGGAAAAAAATGGATGTGTTCTTCCATCTTGATATAATAACATATAAAATAATACAACAAAATAATTAAAAAAAATATTAATCGGTGTTTCTTTTTAAGATCTAACAGAAGAACAAATTCAAAGAAAAATCGATGTATGTAAAGAACTATTAGAAATCGCTGACGTTCTTGAACCGGGATTTTCAAGATTTCGCGGTTCTTTATTGTACGATCTTCACGCAGCTATGGTTTTCAAGACAAAGTCGGATTACACCCAAGGAAAGATTACTTTAGAAACAGCTAATGTACCAATTCATAATTTTTGTTTTATTTTATTTTAAACTTTTGATTTTTTTTGATTTAAGGAGGTTATGTTAGAAGCCGTTAACATCTTGCAAGAATCCGCGAAGATTTTAATCGTTGAACCTGATATGTCGGAAATTTTACGAAATAGATTGGAACATTTATCTAATTTCCTTTCATTAGATTAAAATAAATAATTTTCGTCTTTAGAAATAAGACTTTTATTTATTAATGAAAGCAAATTCAACAAAAATTGAATGCTTATCAGGATGAAGATGTACTACTATAAATGCCAAAAGTCAAGATCCCTCAAGTTAGAGCTCGATATCTTCGTAAAATAATACTACTGCTTATCATAATCAAACACAACTGCCGCCAACCAGTTCTAATCACCCATATTGCTATCATCTATAACCCCATTCAACTCTCCTTTACCTTCTCTCTCGCTCTTCCTCCTGACCTCCTCTCTCCTCAAAGATATACAAGATCTCCTGCTGCAAGGTGTCCTCACTCACCCCATACACATCCCGTTCATCTCCATCAATCGACACTTTCTCAAATATACATTGAATGGACTATGTCCCATCATCAGATGAATGTCCTTACTGGACATGGCCACCCCGCTTATCCATCCATCTTTTATAAACTTATATACCCCTCTATACTGACTGTTCTTTATATTTTTGTCTAGGAAAAGTAATAATATATATAGTCCGCGTCAAAAGTTACCCACCTCCTGTCTAATTTGAACTGGTACCAGGTATCGGCATGAGTCAAAATACATCGATTTATATTTTTTATTAGCCATAATCCCGGAAAAGAATATTGGATAAGGTTAGTTTTCTTTTGAAATATCAATCATTCTGGGAGAGAGAGTTAGATAAAGTCAGTTTTCTTTTGAAATGTCAATCATTCCAGGAAAGAATGTTGGGTAACGTTAGTTTTGTTTATCAGGATCTCAAGTAAAAAATAGTGTGATCGTTGTGGAATGCCAGATAGATTTTCAACAACAACAATGCGCTTTCTCTTTTCACGCCTATCGTAACTACTGTAGATAGTCGTTCAATTAGTTTCAATTGCAGAAAACCAAGATATATAGGCTACCTTACATTTCGTTCAGTTCACCAATTACAGTTTAAAATCTAACTTCTAACATATCGAACGACCAGAGGAACTAATATTGGACTGCAGTAAATGGAGGCAAGTTACAAAGTCAGCGAAGACCCACCCCGGGTTGTAATGTTACATAGAAAGAAGGATACAAAAAAAAATGGCAACACAATCTTTGCCTTAATTATGATGAAAAAGTAAGATTATGTGCCGCAATCGGCACCGCGACTTAATTATCAGAAATCATAATTTCTTTCTGATCATTATGTCGTGGTTCCTTGTGACCGAGGCGATGCGGTATGATAAACAGTTTCAGGTAGACATGATATTTATCACTGAGCCTTGGCCGCAAGCAACCTCAGCTTAATTACTCAGAAGATCTACAACTTTACCTAATGAAGTCTAGGCCACTTGCGGCCGAAGTGCTGCGATATGATAACCAGTTGCAGATTAATATAATCTTAATTACTGAATCTCGGATGCAAGCGTTCTCGAGTTAATTAGTCAAAAAATTTCCGTGATAATAATAATAATAATACTTTATTGTGTTACTAAGCTGCTGCTCTTACACTCGTCCAAATAAATACATTTTCAATACATTTTCTTATTTAATAAATACACTAGCATAAACAAAAACCAAGAGCGTATGGTGGTTACAATTCGATCCCTGCATTTAGGAACATTTTGCACAGAGTAAAATGTTTTCTGACACAAAATCTTTTTTAAGCTACCTTTAAAAATCTCCCTATTAGACTCTCCTATTAATTCACTCGGCAGCTTGTTAAGTACCACTCGAGACAAGTACGCTGTGTTTAGGATAAACGACAGTAATTGTTATATATTTTATCCTTATTCCTAGTATCATGGTCATGAATATCGGAAAATGTCTCCTGTTATCAAAAGCATACAGAGCGCATTCGAGAATAAAAAGTGAGGGTAGAGTTAAAATCTTTAATCTATTAAAAACATCTCTGCAGTCTTCTGTGTACCCAAGACCCCCACTACGTACTCAAAGCTGCATCAATAACTGTGTTTTTATCAAGATGATATTTTCCCAAAATGTTATTTATTCCGGTTATTATTATGACAAAATCGCGCTTATCGAAAGAGTCAGTAAGAGTACATACATCAGATACAACATGGTGTCTGATCATTTTTATGCTAAAATATTTGGACTAATAAAAAATATAAATCGACATGTTTTGACTCATAACGATATCTCAAACCGTTTTGAAATTAGACAGGAGGGGAGTAATTTTGACACACTTTTAACACTGTATAAATTGTTATTATTTTACCTACATATAAAAATAAAGACGCGACGTCCAGTCTATATAGAACACACAAAACACTAACAAATTAAGGAAACAAAACTTTAAAACACTACTAATAGGATCTGACGTTTGAGGACATGTTGGTTTTATTTGGATGTTGTGGATACAAAAACATGTCACAAAACGACCACTCACAGACCAAGAATGGTGGTTGATATATAAAGTCAGGAGTTAAATCCTATATTATAGCATCAGAATTTTATTTACTGTAGAAAAACAGTTCAACCCATGGTCAAAATTATTAGATGCCATAAGTCATATTGATCAAGCCAGCAGTGAATGTGTGAACAATTGAAAGATGAAACTGTTGATGAAAGTTTTATCTGAAACATTTTTTGATAAAATTGAGTTATTAGATTTTAATGCTTCACCTGGTATATCTACTATCAGATTCCTAATTCTCAGTTATAACTGATAACTCTGTATAATAAGCAAGGTTACCTTCACATTGTTAGCTGTCACCATCAAAAGAATAACAGGAATAAATAAAGGAAAAAAATAAAAGAATATTTTTTATAAATACATTTGTAATGAATATCTTTTTCTCCACCATCACTCATTAGATACTAATAAATCTAAATTGTCATTTGTAATTGCAGAGTTTAAAAATGTTTGTTCCCCCCCTCTAATAGATAAACAGTGTAACTTGTCTACATTTTTCTCTTTCATAACAGAACTTTTTTCCCATTTATTACTACCACAATTTTTACAATTCGCAATTGGAACAAACGTCAATACAACAACCCTATTTTTGCAGTTTTTACACATGAAGAATCGTTTAACCGCGTCAAAAACTTTTAACGGATGCTTATCAGCCTTGCATTTATCAGAAGCTGAAAAATTTGTGTATTTGCATTGTAAACACCGAACAGCCTTACAATTCATCTTATATGTCTGACTCATTTTTTCCTCCATCTGTTCTTTCGCTTCTAATTTTTTAAAATACTTTTCTTGTAAGTCATTTTCTGCTTGTTCAAGTAATTCCATATGTTTGGATGTAGCAGCCATTAATTTTTTATACCTATCCGAGATAAATTCATTCTTTGGCTTTTTAGATGAGCTATCAAGTGTTTCATCATCTTCTTGAAAAGGTCTTTTTAACCCAGATCCTTTTGTACTCATTGGATTTTGTTTTGGTAATAATCCGGTTTTTTGCACATATTTAATGGCGTTAATTTTTGCTATATCTTTGCGCCTTTGTGAAATTGGTACATTTAAATCAACTTTATTAAAATTATTTAATGTAGGTTTGCAAGATAATAAATCCTTTGATTCAGGTTTATTTGGTGTGGATTTTGACAATTTATCTAATAATTCTAAATCTTTAGCTCTTTGTTTATGTGATACATCAATAGTAACAGCGAGACGCTTCTGACAAATTTCAGCCACTTTTTGATTTAAACCTGATCCTTCACCTGATAATTGTTTTAATCTTTTTTCATCATTAATCAATAACTTTTGACTTTGCTTTGCTTGTGTTGAAGTATATAATTTACCAGCATAAAAAACTTGATTTTTCCCTAACACTTTGTTCCTAAGAGCTGTTAAACCTCGCCCAGCAAAATTGGATTGCAACTCTGATCTTTGACTACTTTTTTGATACTCTTTTTTCACATGATATATGCAATACTCACAATGATTATTGTTTACAAAAGCTGTACATTTAGAGCCATCATTTTTTGTACTTTTACATGTTCCTAAATCCTTTGAATTCCCAAGAATCATCATATGTTGTGGATTACTAATACTTAATGAAGCCTACAAATTAAAATTCAAAAACATAATGATGTGAAAGCAAAAAATATCTTACCTCTTCTTTGGAATTAGATTTTTTTTCTAAAACTGCTGGATTTAACACAGCAATAACTGTCCCAACACAACTTTTCCAAAGCTCTTTATGAGCATTACCAAATAAGAATAAAGAAACCGTTTTTAAATCGAATTGTAAATCACTCACAGTCCAAATTGAATACTGAGACCCTTTTTGATTGACTTTTGGTGGTGATTTAGCCACAATAACACCGCCAAACACCCAATCTTGCGCTTTAACATCACCGAGCAAAAACGTTTTTAATTTAGCCATTGTTAAAATTACTTTATTCTCCATTCTTTCACTAAATAATTGGCTTGATACTAAAGGTTTTGAAACGCGAACTCCAAAAAATGATACAAGATGTGAATTGTCTTTAATTGTTGCACTAACATTGCTTAAATTCGGTTTTGAATCCACTTTATTATTTTTACACCATGTTGAAGATAAGGAAGGTTTTGATGTTTTAAAAAAACTAGTGGTTGTTATTACACTTTTTTCGTGTTCGTCTTCTAATAAGTCTTTAAAATTAATTATTTCATTATCTATATTTTCTTTTAACTCGATTTTATCTGAATTTTCAAATAAATCAATTTCTTTTAGTTCTTTTGGTTGTGTTGGTTGAGTCTCTGGAGCTGGAGTAACTTGTTCTTTTTCCAAAAATTCTGACCCAATCAATAATAAACTTTCCAAATTTTCACACATTTTTGCTTTTATTTATTTATAATTTGATTCATAAGCACGATAAGCACAAAAGATACAAAAACAACACCTAACAAGTTAAGTTAAAATAGTTTGTTGTTGAAGGTTCGATTAAACAGTGATCGCTTCAATTTTAACTCAACATAAGGGGTATTTTAATTACCTCTTAACTGATTTTTAAGTAAATTTTAAATCTTCTTGATGTAACGTAACTTTTTTTTCTATTAAATTTTATTAATAATGTGTAATTACTTTATAAACAATTAAAGTAATTTGGTTAAATAGAACATTGCTTTTAAAACGCGCGAAATCGTAATGTGTCAAATTCTTGGAAGCGTTCGATTCAGTGGTATGAGTCACAAATATTATACTTTAAAACTTAAATTATTTTTAATTATTATTGCAAATAAAATGTTTTACAACATTTACTTTGATGTGATAATTGTTTTTGCTTTATCATACAACAAACTTGAAATGTTTTATGATTATAATAAATCGAACACCTCTACTTGCCTTGTCAAATGTGGTCGAATGTCAATAATAAAAATTGAGGTTAGACTTCTAAATTATTTTAAATATATTAATTGCAAAGAATGGAGGGAAAAGAGTCATTTGGCATGGATATTAAAACACCTATAAATGTTACATTGAGCGCATTTTATAAAAGGTTAATAAATCTATTAATTTATAGATGTAAGAAATTAATCTAACATTGTTTGTAGAAGTTTTGCATTTCACACCATTAAAGACCGTATCCCGATCATTTTAACAGAAACTATTGATTCGTTGATTAGAAATAAAAATGATATATTGAAGTTTTATGGTTTGGATGGTATTGAAGAGCTAAAATTAATAATTGGAGAAATATCTAAGCTAAAGTATGAGATACAAACCAATAAACCTATTTTAAAAATTGAAGGAACTACAGATGCGGCTCTTTACAATCAATTTTTAGAGGAACAAATGATAAAAATCCAAGAACCAACTCCGTTCAATGCTCAATGGTTACATTTGGAATGTTATGTTTATCGCAGATTAATGGCTGCTATTCAAAAAACGTATTTTCGATAAAGAAGGGTGTTAGTGTTAATTTATAATTAATTTATATTTGTAGGAAAATTATTCCGGATTTAGATCCCTTTATTTGGAAAAAAGAGGAATCTTTTGCAAAATCCTTAGAATTACACATTCAATTGGGAAATATGGTAGATAAAGTTTTAAATGATACAGAATGTGATCTGCAAAAGGAATTCACTAAATTATTAAAGGTAAAAATCCAAATGAAACAAAATCTTTATTATTATTGGTCTCTGCTTTTAACATGTATCCATTTTTAGTTAAATTTATGGGGTAATAAATGCGATTTATCAATTACTTATGGTGTAGTTAGAGAAGAAGATAGCCATGTTGACAATCTTGAGAAATTAAATACTAAACTGCTGTCTGACGCCTCTGAAGACATATGGAATGCAATTTCTACTTCAACAGAAGAGGATTCTTCAATTGTTGGTAAATATTAAAGTAGCCAATATAAAGTGATATCAAATTTTGATCCCAAAATGATATGCGACCTATAAGATCTTTTGTAACTTTAGCCCTCCAAAAGTTTAGGGCAAATGTAGGTCCTTAATGAACCTTAGTATTGCTCCAAGGTCTTGTTCCTTAATGATGGTAGGTGTCAAAAGAGCTTTACCAAAAATTTTATGTCTTAGGCGGCCTCTGGCAAACGCAATTGCACAGTATATGTTCAGCCGTTTTTGACTAATGTGGAAGAGGTGGTATTTTAGGAGCGTATGGCCGGTCAGGAAACCTGAAAGCGTCCTTAGATTAAGACCTGAGGTTTCCCAACTGTTGATTACTTGTTTTAGGTGACTTCTTTGTAGTTTACAACTGGGTTGGGGTCCAATGAAGGCCTTTTTTCGCTGCCTCTTTGGCCAGCTTGTACGCCTTCTAATTGCCCTCAATGTCTCTGTGACCTGGAACCCACCATAGAGTAACATCATTGCCTCTAACAATTTAATGCGGTCCAGTAATACCCATGCCTACTCTGAATACAATTGTCTTTGAAGCATCAGTGTACCAGGCTCTTCTGGGCTCTTCTTTTTACTTAAAATCCACCCTTCGTCCAATCAACCCATCTCTGCTTCTAAATATGACCTTATACTGGTCGAAATTGTATCCTGTCGATATAAGGTCCGTTTTAATTTCAATCACGAGGTTTAAACAGTGAAGAGCATTGTGGGCTAACTTTGCATCCGTAGTTACATGTAAGATATAAGTGATTATAAAGTATTTTCTGTATTATAACATAAACAAAACTACTATTCTTTTTTCTATAATCATTTTTACTCACCAGCAATTTCCATAGATAAATTGTATTCATGAATAGCATTACTAAAACTGCCCATTTTTGTATGGATAGATCCCAATAAACAATAATTTCTTTGTAACTATTCATGAAGATCGTAATTTTTCGATATTGTAACACTTTTCATAACCAATTCTAAAGCCTCATTAAAATTATTTAAAGATTCTTGAACAATTCCTAACTTAGCAAAAAGACGACTCATCATATAAGTATAAAAGTAAAAAAGAAATATTTTTTTAAGAATTAATTACTCGTATTTGTTTGATTTTACCTTTCACAAACTCCCAAGCTTTTCATAAAAATCTTATAAGCAAAATGTAAAGGCGTTTTTTTATCGTGATTTGTATCTTTTAAGTAACTGATTAAATAAGTGTGCCCAATAGTAGCAAAAGCTGTCTGTTCCAATTTATTTTTTTCTTGTTTAGAGATTTGTAAATGTATCTGTTGGTGTTCTAAAGCTTTTTCAAATTTTCTTATATTGAGATAAGCCTCTCCAATCATTCTATAACATATACCATAATCAATCAGTTTATTTAAGGCTTTATTTTGTCTAGCAGCTTGTTTAAATTCATCGATTGCTTCTTCATAACGTTCTTCTTTAAAATAGAACTGTGCCAAATTTAGTACAGCCGATATGGTATTGCTGGGATTGTTTTCATTTAAAACGTTTTTACGTTTTATTAACTCTTAAAAATAAAGATTATAACAACAATTTCCTGAATTAATATGCAAAAGATAACACTTACTTTGCTCTTCAGACATGGGTCCTTGAGGATTTCGAGATGTATTCTGAGGTTACCCTGCATCAGCTTGAGTGAAGAGCATATTTTCAGTAATAAGGCCTGCCTCCTTTTGTATACCGGGTGTCCCTCAGAAGTGGCTCACCCCCATATTTTTTTTATTATTAGTGGTATAAGAAAACCACCAAGAATGCATAATTAGGCCGTTAAAACGGATTATTACGACATGAAAAACTTCTCTTTGTACTTCCGGTTATACCGGATGTGAGTACTAATTTCGCTATTTTTTTAAATCTATAATTTTTTTTTCTTGAGTTGGGTAGACAGCATAATTTCACATAACTTTTACTTGAAAAAATTTTCACGATCGCTTATAATTCTTGAAAAAAAAAATATTTTTGTTATTTTTAACGTTTTAGTACCTTCGGAAAATGTATTACAACTTTTGACGCACGTCTCTCGAGCTGTGATCACTGCTATACTTTAGTCAGTGGTTCTTTTTTAATAATGGGTTAATAATAATAATTTTTAATATTTGGGTAATACAATTTGTAACTAGATTTATTTTCTAATGCCTCACGAGACCTTACAGGTGTATTATACACCTCATTTTTCATTTTGCCCCATAAAAAGGAATCTAAAGGTGTGAGGCTCTAAAGGTGATCTGAAAGGTTTTAACCAAAATAAAGTAAACAATCCAAATTATAATGTACAATGGACATTGTACATTGTAAGTTACTATCAGCTACAGAACATTTAGTTTAAAATGAGGTAAAAATTAAAAGAGCTCTTTCTCAGTTTTCTAATAAATATACTTAGTACCGGTTTCGATAATTACTTATCATCATCAGCTAAATAGTCAAATAAAAATAAAAGTCACAATATAAAATGATTTAAAAACTAAAATAACGAGAAATAAAGATATAAAGTGGACGACACTGAACAACACTACAGGTTAAAATGGACTACTCCATTTCAGACTAATAGTGATTATGGATTTACTAGAATAGAACATTTAGTGTAAAAGCACAAAACATAAAAGATCAAAAATAATTGAATTAAACTTAATTGTTTGATCGCGTTTTTCTTTTAAAATTAATTTAATATAACTGTTAATTGACATCATTATTAAAAAAGAACCACTGACTAAAGCATAGCAGTTTTTCAAGTAAAAGTTATGTGAAATTATGCTGTCTACCCAACTGAAGAAAAAAAAATTATAGATTTTAAAAAACAGCGAAATTAGTACTCACTTCCGGTATAACCGGAAGTACAAAAAGAATGATTTCATGTCGTAATAATCCATTTTAACGGCCTAATTATGCATTCCAAATGGTTTTCTTATATCACTAATAATAAAAAAAAAATATGGGGGTGGTTCTTAGGGACACCTGGTATACAGGGGGGATGTTTTTAAATTGATGCGAAAGATTTCAAGGATGATTTTTCAGCAAAAATTAAGTGGGGTCTTTCATATAACTTTTTGTTCTAAACCACTTCCCCGCCGAGATAGAGCCCTCTAAAGTTAGGGTAAAAAATTTGTTTTTATTTAGAGAACTTTTTAATGCGTCTACATTTTTCTATTTAAAAATTTTATTTAAATAGAGGGATTTAATACGCAACTTCTTAGTCTCTTAACGTTTTTTCCTAAAATCGTTAGTTTGACCATAAAAAAATAAAATAATACTGAGACCCATTTGACATAAATTCATATTCATAAAGGTTGTTTGGATCGATGCTGAGCTCATTGCTTTTGCACCAAGTGCTGGTTGTGTTTATGAGTCTAAAAAATATGTTGACATTGTAATGAAGTTGTTTTACTCCTTATATCTTATTCAATTTTATTGCGAAATAACATATTGTAATTATTCTTGTTTTACTTATATTTCAGATATCGTTTTAGATAACACTGGGTATGAATTTTTCTGCGATTTGTGTTTAGCGGATTTCTTAGTAGAAAAGAAATTCGCAGAAACCATTCGTTTTTACGTCAAAAGCTTTCCGTGGTTCATCTCGGACGTGACGAGGCCGGATATCGATTGTATGTTGCGGCAATTACAATCAAATAAAAACGCCACCTTAAGGAAGTTAGCAGACCGTTGGTTAAACTATATACAAGCAGGTGTTTGGACGTTGGAAAGTTCCGATTTTTGGACGCTACCTTACACCTATAAAGAAATGCGCCGAATCGATCCAGATTTATATCGAAAATTATCCGAGGCAAAGCTAGTCATTTTTAAAGGAGATCTTAACTATCGGAAATTACTTGGAGAAAAAAATTGGCTTTATACAACTCCATTTCCGGACGCCTTAGACGGATTTTACCCAACTAAACTTTGTGCTTTAAGGACTTTAAAAGCGGATTTAGTATGTGGCTTAAATCCGGGTGTTGCTGAGGAAGCAGAAGAAACTGATAAAAATTGGCTAATTGATGGCAAATTTGGTGTTATTCAGTTTTCCAATCTTATTGAGAAAATTTAATTAAAAAATGTGATTTCATTGTTACTTTAGATCTCGTCTTTTATTACCTTTATCTTCTTATAATAAAAAATAACAAAATTAAATCTTTTAAAATGTAATTTACTTAAAAAAAATATTTACAATAATAACTTTAATCATTTTAAACCGTATTACCAGTGGCAAAAGCATTAGGTTGTGGCGCTGTTTGTTTAGTAACCATATTAACAGCACTACTTAAAAGTTGTTTCCTTAAAAAATCGCTAGTAACACTACTAATACTTTCTTTAGCTCCAACTTTGCACTTAACATATCCATACAAATTGGCCCCATTTAAAATCAAAGCTATTACAACCAATAATAGCCACTTTAATTTTAAACCAAAGAGTGCAACCAAAAAGAACACCGACCATAACAGTGGTGTTAAGATCAAGGCCATCCAAAAAATGCTTGACTCCCTATCGTTTATCCTATTCTGCATCTGGCCCTGAAAGTGGGCCAAATAATTTATTCGAAAAACTTCAAATAAAAAAAAAAATGAACCTTTCTACTTTCAAAAACCCAATGTGATACTCCATCATCATCCACATAATTCCACCATCTCAATCCAACCATTAATCTACCTGTAATGTTTTTAACAGTCCAAAAATCCATCGATAATAATAAAACAACCACTACAAAACTGGTGATGAAACTATCGCTAAACCAGCCACAAAGCATATATGTTACAACTGCGGCTCCTCGAAACGCTAAATGGAATAATGTAACGTAAGGATGCCTAAAAATTAAGTAAATAAATATTTTTTTTAGGTTAGATTTCTTTTATTACGCTAGATTCCCCTTGGCAGGTGCTAAATCTTCCTCACCAAATTCCATGGTGTCCTCATCTAATAGAGGCATCTGAAACGTTAAATTTATTTAAATGTAAGAGAAAACATGGAAAATTTGGAATTCCTACACTTGCTGATGCCATTGTTGACAATTTAAGGCTGTCAATAACAAATTAACAATAACATTTAACTTCAAATCATTTTTATTTATTAATTACACTGAAATAATTAAATTGAACAATTTAATACCTTTTATTTAACAGAAACTGTTGATGGATACCTAAATATTGATAATAGTAACACGTAGAATAGTCACGAAATTTTTTTGTTAGTGACTGTTCTTAAAATTAAAATTTATTTGTTTAATATAAAATGTAAAAATGTTATTTTTTTTATTTAGGTATCATATTAATATAAGATGTTTAATTAATTAAGTTTTAATAATAATTTTAATTTTTAGTCAAAAGTGAAGTTACTGATTAATCAATTTGGTTCTCATTCATCTGTCATTTTATATCATTAATTTCCCGCTTTTAAATAAAGTTTCTGGATATTCTTTTAATTATTTACTAAGTTAAAGTTATTTAATTTTTTATGTTATTTCATTATTTGAAATTATTTTTTATCCTAATGCTCTGCAAAAATAATCTTTAATTATTAAAATACACATTGTTATTTTGGAAAAAATCATGGAAGAGCAAAGTAAGTGTTATCTTTTACATATTAATTTAGAAAATTGTTGATTATAATCTTTATTTTTCAGAGTTAATAAAACGTAAAAAGAAGGTTTTAAATGAAAACAATCCCAGCAATACCATATCGGCTATACTAAATTTGGCACAGTTCTATTTTAAAGAAGAACGTTATGAAGAAGCAATCGATGAATTTAAACAAGCTGCTAGACAGAATAAAGCTTTAAATAAACTGATTGATTATGGTATATGTCATAGAATGATTGGGGAGGCTTATCTCAATATAAGAAAATTTGAAAAAGCTTTAGAACACCAACAGATTCATTTACAAATCTCTAAACAAGAAAAAAATAAATTGGAAGAACAGAGAGCTCTTGCTACTATTGGACATACTTATTTAACCAGTTACTTAGAAGGTACAAATCATGATAACAAAACGCCTTTACATTTTGCTTATAAGATTTTTATGAAAAGCTTGGGAGTTTGTGAAAGGTAAAATTAAACAAATACAAGTAATTAATTCTTGAGAAAAACATTTCTTTTTTACTTTTATAGTTTAACAGATATAAGTAAAAGGGAACACATGGATATGATGAGTCGTCTTTTTGCTAATTTAGGAATTGTTCAGGAATCTTTAATTAATTTTGATAAGGCTTTAGAATTGGTTATGAAAAGTGTTACAATATCGAAAAATTATGATCTTCATGAACAGTTACAAAGAAATCACTGTTTATTGGGATCTATTTATACAAAAATGGGCAGTTTTAGTAATGCTATTCATGAATATAATTTATCTATGGAAATTGCTGGTGAGTAAGAAGGATTATAGAAAAAAGAGTTGTAGTTTTGTATATGTTATAATATAGAAAATGCTTTATAATCACTTATAAGTAACTATCTATGCGAAGTTAGCCCATAATTATAACAGGTGTCCCAATAAGGGTATGGACCGGCTGTATCTCGATAATGGTAAGGCCTAGAAGTTTGGAAAAAACTTACTTTCTCACTGCGTACTATATCTAATATAATTATTCATGAGTTTATACCTTCCCAGTCAGTTATTTGGGATTTTTGCGGAATTCAAAATCGGTTTTTAATTATAATAATAATAATTAAGAAATAAGACATTAACAAATTAACAACAAAAAAGAAATAGCACATGCTATAAAACAAATATAACTCACATAAACACTCCTACACACTATTATTGTTAGTTAGTTTATACATCCTCTGCATGGGGGTGTTGGCTAAAATATTGGATCTACAATTCCTCAGATAAAACGCATTGGTACTGGGTGTAGTACGCGTAGGCATCGAGAAAATGATCCGCGACAACAACCAACCACAATCCAATTCACCTTGCACTACCTTCTATAAAAACTTGATACACTGGTCATCTCTTCTTACATCCAGTGCAGTAAAGTTGTGACGTTGCAGTAGAGATGCGTAATCCGTTCCACGATCCAGGTATGATCCGTCCAAGTGTAGAGACAAATATTTGAGAAATCTCCTCTGAATTCTTTCCAATATAAGGCTATGACACACATATGGTGACCAAATTACAGACCCATATTTCAATTTGGACAATACAAAGATCACAAACAGGGACATGTACACACCAATGTCAGAAAAGACATTGCCACAGAAGATGCAATATCTTCAATGTACGGTACAAAACACAGTTGGCGATTAAAAGTAATTCCCAGATCTTTGATTCTAGATAATTTCGCAAAAAGAACATCTTCTATATAATAAGAAGATGGAGACAGCTTACTACTTGATGTAGAGTGTATATCAACCATGTTGTAAGCAGAGACACCAGTATATACTCTAGAGCAGCGAATCGCAATTATTGGGTCGCGAAGGGTATTATATTTAATAATAGATTTAACTTCTTATGGGTCACATTAAGATTTTATTGTTATTTTTGGGTCGCTACTTAAAAATGTTTGCGGAACGCTGCTCTAGTGAATTGATCTGCAAAAGCATTAACTATTTTTTTGATACGCATTTTGACAGGAAGTCGAGAGGTCGTTGTTTTCTGTCTTATATAACTCAAAAAGTTATGGGGATCAGAATTAAGCGATTGTTCAGCACTAATAGTAAAGGAAGTATACACATCAGTGATTTTCTGTTTAGTCAAACACCTCAGTCTTTTATATTCCATTGAATAGAAAGCACTATTGCTTCTCCTCCACTTCCTCCTATAATACTCTTTCAACTTTAATAGCCGCTTCATTTCTGGGGTATACCAAATAAGGTGTGAGGATCTAGCGCACCATCTCTTAGGAACAAATAAATCCAAAATCTCATACCACTTTGTATAGAAAGCTCGCAGTATAAGTTGACTCTTCGAAAATTATAGCGACCACCCAAAGACGAAAAGTTCGGCAAACCATCATTTGCTGTCAGTAAATTCATTGTAATATCTAAGGCGGGAATGATACTGATCCTCTAAGATCAAACCGATGATCAGTATTTTGTGAGAACCAAATCCAATAGATGATTGTCACAGTTTAATATATGATTGAGTTGACGAAGATCCAGAAAATCACAAAAATTACGAAATAACTCCGTTTTTCCACATTTGGTTGATATGTCAGGTGCCTTAATATATTCAGGCAAATTAAAATCACCAAGGATAAGGACAGGATAATTCAAAACTTTACATTTTAAGGCGTCCAAGAAACACAGCAAATCAGGTTGCGGATTATCAGGAGTTATGTACAACACTACAATATATAAGGTCACTGACCATAAAGAACACTTGCAAATCAACACATCGACAAGTGGTACTAAAGACTGAATATCTGTAGAATCAAAAAATGCGGTACATGTAAAATCCTATCTAATTGGGGGTTAACTTCGCATAGGTCATGTAACCTACATTGATGTCTGTTACATACGAGGTGTGTAAATTAAGTAATGACACTGGAGCGTCAGGTGACCATATGATACGCCTGCAGTACTAGTTTGAACTCGCTAAAGTCATTTGGTTGTCCGTAGCGATTTGTTTCGTGAAACTGTTTCTTGTAGTGCGTTTTAAAAATTTCGAACAACTGTCTGCCATCACGTTTTGATTCAGACTTGCACACAGTGCAACAGAAACTGACAGTGTTTTGTTAAGGGCCCAGGTTTTTCGATGGTTTAAGGAAGAGAGTTGATTAAAGATGAACCACGAAGCGGAAGGCGTTCATCTTCAAGAACCGATGAAAATGTCGACAGAATCCGGGATCTTATGCATTCATCAGATTTTGACCAATGAATTGGGGAGGAGAAAAATCTGCACAAAATTGGTTCCGAAAAACCTTTCGCGGCAGGAGGAAAAGGTGCCTTGACTTTTTGGAATGGATTGAAGATGATGCCCATTTTCTGGAAAGTGTCATTACTGGAGATGAGTCTTGGGTGTTTGAGTACGAGCCGAAAACCAAGCACCAGAGCATGGAGTGGCACCTCTTCAAGACCTAACAAAGCAAGAATGAGCAAGTCGAAGATCAAATGTATGGTGGTTTGTTTTTTTCAATATCCAACACTTTTACCGACAGGTTCATGAAAAACTTCGAAAAAGGGTCATTCGTGTGGTGCGAAACATCAAGAACAACTAGTTGTAGCATCACGATAATGCGACTTGTCACATAACAATTTCAATAAACGAGTTTTTGGCCAATAAAAACATTCCTGTGGCTCCTCAGCCCCCTTATTCGTCTGACTTGAGTCTTTGTGACTTTTTCCTTGTCCCGAGGTTGCAAAATCACCTCAAAATTAACTCATTTTGAGACATTCAAACGGCTGTAACCGACCAACTGAAGGATATACCAGTATTGGAGTTCCAGCACTGCTAAGAGGATTGGAAGAACCGTCTCCAGCGCAGTGTGGCTTCAAAAGGAAGTTATTTGGAGAGAGATAATATTGAGTTGTAATTCTATTCAAATAAAAAAATTGAAAAATCAGTCTCATTACTTAATTTACACACTTTGTACATTGTTTTGTCAAAATGTGATCAAAGATTAACATTTAGTAGGATTAAGAAATTTTTAATGTATCTTATCTAATATTAATTTAATTTATTTTTTTAAGGGCGACTACCAGATAAAATAAAATTAATATCATCAGCTTTGTTATCAAAATCGGATTTATTGGTAAAATTAGGCGATTATCACGGTGCAAAAACGGCCCTTTTAAAAGCGTACAAACTAAAAAATCCATCAGAATACACCAAGGACTTAATCGAACGTAATTTAAAAACGGTCGTTGCGATGTGTTACACAGAAGAAAAACTTTCAACAACCGCAGATACCGATCATGAATCCCGTAAGAAATTGTACGAAAAAATGGGTGATGGATCAAGTGCTTTAAATTGTTACTCAAAAGCGATAGAGTATTACGAAAAAATGTTGGATTCGGCAATTAAAAACGGCGACACAGGAAAAAATTTAAGTCCCGCTTATGTGAGTTTAGCTCAAACTTATCTTGATAACAAACAATATGATTTAGCCATTGAATATTTCGAAAAAGATTTTAACGCAAATCAATTGGATACAAAAGAAGCAACTAACAGTTTATTTAGTATTATTGAAGCGATGAAAGAGGCGGGAAAAGATTACCAAGAAATTGAAATGATTTTTCAACAGGCTAAAGATTTAACTACCCGCGCCAATAATTTACATTTACACGGGAGAGTTTTATCCCGACAAAAAACATTTATTGAAAAAAATTACGACTTTTTAACCACCGAACAAATACAAAAACAACTCGACGATTTAAATTATGAATCATCAGATGACGATGAAAGTTGTGATTCGCCTCAAACGCCAGCGATTGGTGATGAAATCGATTTAAATAATATAACAGACATTTCCGATGATGATGACGATACTAAACAAAAAGAAAAAGAATCTAGATCGATTCGTAAACGTACAAAAGCGTTTACCATCAAACGTAATAATAAGGGAGAAACTCAACTACACACAGCGTGCATTCAAGGAAATTTAGTATTAGTGGAACGACTTTTGGATCAAGGACACGCTGTTAACGTTCGAGATAACTGTGGTTGGTTACCGATACACGAAGCTTGTATTAACGGTCATTTAGAAATTGTTGAACGCTTAATTCAAAAAGGGGCCGCGATAAATGATCGTGGCGGAACTTTATGCAATGGGATAACCCCGCTACATGATGCCGCTTCAAACGGACATTTACAAATTATCCAATTATTATTAGATAAAGGAGCGAATGTTGTTTCAAAAACCGATGAGGGTGAGACACCGTTTCATTTTTTAAAACGATGGAAAAGCGATCACGAGATAACAACGAGAGAAGAAAACGATATCTTTGAGCGAATTTTTAACCGGATGGAACAAGTTTTAGAAAAATGCGGTCAAATAGACTCAATTGAAATTGAAAAAAATAATTCTGAAGAATTAAAATCTTATAGTAATCATCGTTTAGGAACTTTACGTCGATCCCATTCAATGATTATTGAAAGTAGCGAAGACACCGAGTCTTCTAACCAATCAGAAAATGAGTTAATTAACGTTAAATTTCAATATAAAGAGGTTATGAATAATTTGAGAAATCGCCCAAGAGAAAATACGTTTCACTCAATTAATAATAAATCTACAAAAAGATCTGCTTTATTAACAAGCGATGATGTAGACGATGATTGGTTAGAAGATGATTTAGGAAATTGTTCGATTAAAAAACGAAAAATCAATTCAATTTGTTCGACGACGAATATTCGCAGAAGTTACGATAAAGAGAATCGAAGCTCCGACGGAGAAATGAATTCTTTAGATATTCCTTCGGTTTCTAGACTTTCCAGCCCGCTTCCGAAAACAAATCAAGTAATTAAAAGAAAACGTCAAGTTTCGTTGATTTCATCGGGGTTTACTCGAAAAAGAAGCGATAGTTCGATAAGTTCATCTTCGTCACCTAAAAAGTCACAAACGAGGAATAGTTTTATGGAAAATAGCATTTCAGATAAGGATGAAAATAATTTTCAGGGTGATACCTCAATTAAAAGAAATTCCCCGAGGAGTAGCCAAAATGAACAAACCGTTTTTGTCGATATAAGAATTTTGGATAAATTATATAGAGTTCCTGTGATTTACTCGGAAATTAATACTTTAACTATTCAATGGTTAGCAGAGGAGGCATCAAAACGATATAGCAGGTTAAAAAAAATATATAAATTTAATAAAATTTAGAAAACGACGCGTAAGCTTTTACAAAATCATTTATTAATTTAATTAGACAAATGATTATGAATTAAAAGGATATTTTTTGTAATAGGTTCGCGTCTTGTTCTAATTTTTATTTTCAAACGTTAAAAAGGATGATAAATAGCTCAATGTTAACGTTTAATTGATTTATTTAGCATTATTAGGTTTGGAAGCGATAAGCTAGGTAAATTAATCTAAGTTTTAAGGAACTTGAAGAATAATGTTCTTGTAGTTTATATTTATTTCAACAAGAAATCATATTTTTTTTCTGCTTCTACTGTTTGTAGATAATTTGTAGATATTTATTTTAATTGATATAGGATCCTATGGGAAAGAAAGCGAAATACTTTAAAGATCTGCAATTTACCAAACTATCAGCTATGAGGATATTATTTGCGTGTTAAATCTTTGCTTGGAATCACTCTGGTACCTCTTCCTCATGTTATTGTTGATGAAGCTTTTAGATTTTTGCGTCCTTATATCTCAAGAATAAATACAACCACTAAAATAAATTTTAATTATCATGACTATCAAAATCTTTCTTGAATCTATAGTTGACATTATAATGGCATTGCCTACAGAAATAAATGCAAAATGAATTAGATATATGTTCAAAAATTTCTTCAACTACAGAGAATAAAGTGTTATATGACAACTAAAAGTCATTAAACAAGCACAATTTTGAAAAATTAGTTAATATGATATTAATATGAAAAATATAGTAACAAATACATTATTTTAATACGTCTGAACATTCTCCCCCGCCTTGAAAGGATTCATTACAACATCCTTCAAAGGTAGTGGACAGATATCAGATATATTCCATTCTCCATAACTGTTACAACCCTTTTCTGTTGTCGTTGCCAGGATGGAACTTGATAATTCGTCCAAATTTAAGAATTAAGAATTTAATTGTTTTACCAATATGGTCTCTATGTCACTTCTCTCTTTGTTGATGAGTCGTTTCAATTTTTCGTAATTTTCGAAGTTAGTTTGATATATTATGTGATGTATCTGCCTCAGGAATAGCACTCACTGGACGACTAATCAAAAAGTGGAAAGTTAAGGGTTGAATATCATTTGAATCGGTTGAGAAGGGATATAAAGGTCTAGAATTTAAGATCCATTCTATTTGACACAATAAAGTTGAAAATTCTGGATGTCGTTTAAATAATTTTATTGCTGCTTCATGTAGACCTCCAAAATATGAAGCCCGAGGAGGCATGAACTTCCAAGATATTGAATTCATCGCTAAGAATCCATTTATTAGGTCATCATTGAAACGTTGTAAGCACTTTGTACCTTCTTTCAATTCTTTATCAGCTTTTTGTTGTAGCAGACCACGTCTGGAAAGAAATCGTTTCAAACAATTGAAAAAGGTCTTGCATGTTAAATCAGAAAACAAACGTTCATTTTTAGTATTTGCCTGCCACAGTACTTTATTTCTTTAATCTCAAAAGGTCCAGTAAAATGTAGGGAAGTGAATTGAAAGGGTAATGTTATTGCCGTTCTGGGTTCGGGTTGATCTCCCATCTTTACTATATTTATTAGAATATTTTAGCATACAATACAATTTTTTAATAAACTTCTAACCGTATTTCTTTCAGATATTGGCCAAAAAGATTGTCAACTTACAGCTAAAGTAGCTGAAGTGAACTCTTTGCAGCATTTCCACAAAAATGTTTTCAACACCTGAATTATGTGTGATGCTTTAACACTACACACTTTGGATTTCAAGTACTTCCAGAAAACGAAGTTACTGAAAGACCAGAGTTCTTTCGGCCATTTGATATTTCTAAACCATGAAAACTCGTGCAGTGCGGCTTGTAACCTTATCATACAGCAGAACGTGTCATCAATCATACGTAGTGTTGTGTTAGGCATAGTTATAGCACTTTTTCTCACATTTTCAAAGAAGTATCAACCAACAATTGCGGTTTATCGTGAAGATAATCATGATAAACTGCTTGTTTCTGTCAGACCGATGTTGAAAGTTTTGTTTGCTTGTTGGAGATTCGAATCTCCATTAATAATTCGTTGGAAAGTCTGAGAGAACGATAATCTCAGTCATAGTCTTGTGAACATTATACAGATGGAAATGACGGTCTTCTCATGAAGTCTATGGAACGGTTCGATCTAAAAAATGCCTCTTCCTCGCTAGTCATGTACGCATAGTTTAAACTTTACCGCGTTTTTTCTTGTTTATTGAACAAGTATTAACAATGTAATTCGTGTCAGAAATAGAACTGTTGTTTTTAGTTTTAAATTCTTCTTGTTGTTTAATTATATGTAAGAGATTCCCTCTGAGTGCACAAACTTATTTTTTTGTTGTTGCTAAAAGAAGACATAATTTAGTTTAAAAAGTGTCATTAATGTGGTAAGCAACATGAGCTTGGTGGTAACCGACACTTCACTTATTTTTACTCTGTTAATTTTAACCTTCTCGTTCCTTAATCAACATTTGTCTCTGTACTTGGTTATCACTTTTTCTTGGAAAACAATATTAAAATTTTACTAATTAGTTACTTATTTTTAACACCACATTAAACTAGGTAATGTTTTGCAGCTTTTCCCAGTGGTCCAGTCTGCTTTACCCATAATATAGATAAATACTGTTATATTTTTACCGTTTTAAGACAAAAACGCGCACACCGCGGTACGCGGAACACACGTTTAGGGTATTATTGTTTTTGTTATAATTCCGCAGCATTGCTCGCGTTTGAATCGACTAGGGCACTAGGTCACTAAATCGAACGGCTTCATCCTCTGAAGGCGACGCAGGACATCCTCGTTGTCGAGAAGCTGGATGGCCTCTATGTTGGGATGATCGTGCATTCTCTTCTCATGTTTAGATGCGAATGATGCAATTTCTGATGACACCAATGCTACATTCAAATCGCGCTGGAGGTAGGTATTTCTTATATACCAGGGTGCATTCACTATGGACCTTAGTACTTTGTTCTGGAATCTTTGAACCAGACTTGCATTTGTCTTGCAGGTACAACCCCACAGTTGGATTCCGTATGTCCATTTTGGTTTTAATACTTGCTTGTATATTAGCAACTGGTTTCTTAGTGATAGCGTTGATTTTCTGGCAATAAGCCAATATAGGTGTCTAAATTTGATATCAAGTTCCTTTTTTTGGAGTGAGCTCTCCATTTGAGTTTAGCATCCAGCGTCATACCAAGACATTTTGCGGTGTGGTGCGACTGCATTGCCATTTATGTGTACTTTCTTATAAGTAAAGTTTATGTATGCCGATTTATTTGTATTTAGTTTTAGTAGCCATCGTTTGGTCCAGTTTTTTATTAAATTTAAGGCCAATTGTAACTCATTTTCTGCAACAGTCAAGACCGCTGTGTCATCTGCCAATGTAGCTGTTAAAGTTTTTGGTACCTGAGGAAGGTCGAATGTGTAGAGTAAGTAGAGTGTTGGGCCAAGCACACTTCCTTGAGGAACTCCGGTTCGTATTTCATGTAGTGGCGAATTAGCATTTTCATATTTTACTCTAAAATATCGATCAGAAAGATACGATTTTTATAGTTGATGGTCGATAGTATTCGTTATTCTATGTACTTGGTCTATTGTTGCATGTTTATTCCGAAACCCAAATTGATGTGTTGGTATTAGGGATTTTTCTGCTATGACAGGTTTTAGTATTTTTAATAGTAATTTTTCAAGCAGTTTTGATAGTAAGGGTAATAATGAGATAGGCCTATATGATGTTACATCTGTGGGGGGTTTACCAGGTTTTGGTATCATTATTATTTCAGCAACTTTCCATATGCTTGGGAAGTATTTCTGTTTAAAAGCAGCATTAATTATGCTAATGTAATAGTTATAATAATTGTTTTTGGTTTTTCTTAACATCGTGTTGATTTAGATGAAAATACTTTTTCTATACTTAGTTATAGTAATAGTAATAGTTATAGTTTAGTAATCGCCCGTTTTGGTAGAAATTTCTTTATATTTAGTTTTTGTATTTCATAATACAGTTCTTTCATTCTTACACATTGTATATCACTCTGCTGATCACTTTGAATTACGCTAGGGACACTATTTAGCATGGTTGTTGGACTGTCTGATGTAAAAGATTCTTTCAGATGTTCAGCAAACAAATTAATTTTTTCTTGATTGCTCTTAGCCCAATTTCCATTATTATTTCGAATTGGAGGTGTATGTGTTTTTGGAACTTTAAGCTTTCTTGTTGCCTTTCATGGAGAATAATCAGTACTGGCATCGTCAGTAAGTCTTTTAAGTAATTTTAAATATTATTTTCTTTGTGGCTATCTGTTAATGCTCTTAATTCGGCTGTTATTTTATTTAATTTAGTTTTATCACTAGGAATTCTATTGGTTTGTCAATTCTTTCTTGCTTTCCATTTTCCTGCAATTTTGTCTCTAATGAATTTAGGATAAATATTAGATTTAGGTTTTGGTTTTTAATTGGTGTTGAGGCCCAGGTTGCGTTTTGTATGTCTTTTAAGAACTTTTCTACTTCATTGTCAATGTCTTCGTTTGTTTTCATAAGAGCATTAAGATGAATTTTATTATTTAATGTTTGTTGAAATAGATTCCAATTAGTGAGTTTATTAGTTAGTGATAAAAAGGGTTTTTTGTTACATACTTTGTTATTTAGAGTAATAATTACTGGTGGGTGATCTGAGTCCAGCCTTAACTCTTCTTCTATGTTTACGAAGTTAAGCGATATATTTTTCGTAATAAAAAAATCAAGCAGGTCCGGAATTTTACTTCTATCTGTTGGCCAGTAAGTTGGCTTCCCAGTGGAGAGCACCTCACAATTTAGGGCCTCTATTGAATGGTTCAGTTCTCTTCCTTTTGTATTTGTCAAGTGAGAACCCCAAGACATATGTTTTGCATTAAAGTCTTCTCCAAGTATAAATTTGTTGTAAAGATGTAGTAGAATTTCCTGATAATCTTCTCTTTTAACATTATGTCTTGGTGGTATGTACTTACGTTGCTCCTACAGATATTAAGTCATTAGCAGTTTGAACTTTTACCATTATTTTTAGTTGCTGCTTTTTAGACATTTTGATTTCTTTTTTGAATCGCTCCTTGGTTTAAATTGCTTTCAATGAAATTTAGACGTGCATATAATGTTTTTATTGTTTCTTCTTGTTGAAGTATTTTTTTCTAGTATTAGATCTAATTTACTGTCGGCCTTCTTATCGATTAATGTACTTACAGTTTTCTCTACAGTTTCACCACTCGCTTTTTCGGCATACGAGACGCCTGGCTTTATTTTATTTGAATTTACTATTTTCTTATTCCTGATGGCTTGTAGTTTCTTAATCACAATGTATCCTCGGTAGTTCCCTGGATGATTTTTTCCACAGTTGAAACATTTAGCCGGGATTTCTTTGGCTTTAGTGTATTCGCTGGTCCAGTGTTCATTTAACACATCTCGGATTTTTGTAGTTCCAACCTTGACATCTTTTGCACTGGGGCATTTGTTTTGGCTTTCTGTACTCTTCGATGTTGACACGCATTCCTAATATGTTTGTTATTTCATGGATTCTTTTTACATCCTCTGATGGTGCAAAATCCAAGATGTATAAAGATATTTAAATATAAACATTTTTTTTCAAAATTAACCAAGGGTTACAATTCACACATTTTTTTAAATCATTTAATGATTTATTAAGATTGTTATAATTTTATTTCATTTTTTTAACGTTTCAAGATAAAATAAAATCTTATTACATCTTTAATTAATTAAATAACATCTTTATAACTTTTTAGAAAAGAATGTATGAAACCTTCTTTAGAATTACAAACAAAAAGCGGTGCTATTTTAGCAGAAGACGACCCCATAAATATATTATTTCTGCTCGGTAGTACACAATGTGAAGAAATTATCGGAAATGTGCTTAAATGGAACATCCAACCGATTTTGGAACGATACAAAGAATCTTGTGTATCCTTAGGATTAAGTAAGTTAAAAAATTCTTTTTTACTTTAATCAAAATATGTTGATTTTAGATGAAAATTCGGATCTGTCGAAAATTTTACGTGAAACATCAACAATATTGAATTTATCCAATAAAAATTTAGAATCAGACTCGATTACACCGCTTTGTAAAGCTTTAAATAGACACGTATCTTTGGTTAATTTAGATTTATCAGGGAATTATGGCCTTAAAGAAGAAGAAATTAATTTGTTAAGCTCAGCTTTTTCGTCATTTAAAAATTTATCAGTTTTAAATTTAAGTAATACGAATTTAAATGAATCATCTCTTGGTGTTTTAGCACAAACATTTTTACAAACGGATTCGTCAACTTTGGAGAATTTAATTAGTTTAGATTTGAGTTATAATCCTATAGGGGACGAGGGATTACCACATTTAGCTGTAATAACACGCAATGTAAAATTAAAAAGTTTATTTTTAAAAGATGTAGATTTTACAAGTAAAATTTTTGATAACATCACAAATTCATCGATAGAACTTTACTTAGATTTTTTACAAAGTTTCGATTTAAGTTATAATAATTTAGATAAAAATGACGTGATTAAATTTGTATCTTGGATCCAACCGAGCGAAATTGAAACGTTAGATATTTCGAATAATTCGATTACAGAATCCGGTTTATTAATGGAAATTGTTTGTTCGTTTCAAACGGTTGATGTTGTTAAAATAAAAAATTTAAATTTGTCAAGATGTCGAACGACCGATTCGGAAATTTACGAACTTATAAACTTGCTTGAAAAAACACCAACTTTATTAAATACGTTAAATTTATCTTATAATGAAGAAATCACATCGATATCTTTAAGAAGATTCTTACAAGGAAATTTAAATTTAAAAAGCTTAATTTTAATTGGGTGTAATAATTTTAAGTATTTTGAAGATTCTTGGGAAGTTCTTAATAAAAATTTGATTTCGATTACTTTAAATGTCGATGTTAATGATGAAATTGAAAAATTGGTGAATATGTGGCGAAAAAGTCGGGTTGATGTTAAAATTAGTCGCGATCTTCCAAGTTTATTAAAATTAAGTACAGAGAGGTGATTTAATAAATTTTAATGTAAATATGTGTTTTTTAAAGTTTATTAGTACTTTATATGACACCATTGTACATCAATAAATTAAAATAAAAAGGAACTTTTAAGTCTTTGTTATCAAAATAAAATACATTTAAAGATTTTTTTGTAATGTAAATTTTTTTTATAGTTGTGCGTTGATTTTTCAAAAATAATCTATGGCACAATAAGTACACGTACATACATATTAAAAATATTTAATTAAAAAGTAAATTAAATAACTTTATGGCTCGGTTTTATAAATAGCTTTATAAAACCGAGCTTAGATCTTTAGTTTTTAATATCCACTAAAAGTTATTCTTTTTCTATTTATTATTATTGCATTTTTGTTTTATATATGTCACGTTTTATTAATTGCTTAGATTAGACATAAAAATAATCGCGATTTCATTCATCCTTGCGCTGCAATCATTTAGAGCACCGACATTTATCACGAATCAACAAACTAATTAATATAATTTTCTTTTAACAGTCTATTAACAGATTTACATACTAACAAGAATACGTTTAGGTTTTTTTAATCCGCTCGTTTTATTTAATAGATTTGAGTTTCTTATTGAAGAAAATATAAACCTTGTTAATCAGTCCGTTAAAACACGCGTTTGCAAATGTCGGTCAATTTTTGGAGTAGAAAACATGTTTTCTCATATCCATATAATAAACTCGTATAATCTTAGAAATAGGAAACATTAACGACGAGAATTATTGTTTTTTTTTTATCTAGATCACATTCGAAAAGTTTCTTACGAGTCTATGTACAAAAATATTTCACAATTATTAATTACAACAACATCGTAGTGTTTTTTTTTTCTTTATTTATTTATATTTTTTGAAAATATGTATCTATCGTTTTATAAAAATACTAACACAAAATTTAAATTGATTTCCTTTTTAAACATAAAAATTATTGCTTGTTCTAAATTGAAATAAATGTTGCTACTACACATTAACATTGATTCGTAAAACTTCAATAAACAGAATGAGTTAAGCTAAGAGAAAAAAGATATAATTTGTTTTAAATAAATATTTTTGTTGTGTCAGCTGCTGCAAGATAATTTTCATATAAGTAAAGGTAGATATAAAATTTAGTGAAAACTAATAGATAAAACTGGCAAAAAATGTTGTAAAACATGATGAGCAACAACAAAATTAATCGTGCCTTATTAAATTCATCACCATGAGTAAACCTCTCAGAAATGAACATGTTTGAGGTAATATTTTAATGATAGGGATTATAGAGTAAGGTTGTGGAAGAGAGACGAGTTAGTGACCTTGTTTGTTGGCTTACAATAACTTTGTTCGAATTAATTTATCAATAGCTTTCATCAAGAAGTCAATTTTGTACACATTATGAACTTCTTTCATCACCACAAAGACACTCGTATGATATCATGTGATTCCTGCTACTCAAGGTACTTCAATACACATTTTATGTGAAACAAGTTGACTTTAACTTTATTTTCTATTATTATTAACTCACATTATTTAGCGTTATAGTAAAAGGGAAAGTTCTTGTTAAAATTGACTTAATATATTTACAAAAGATATACATGAAGTGTAGATATAGAAATATAATGTAAATTAGAATCAAAGACCACCAAAGAACATCTCTTAAAACAACAAGATTAATCTTATATGTTGTTAAAATTTAATAATATATTCTTAAAGTCTCTGATGATGGCTTAAGCCGAAACCAGTTAACAACAAAAAAATAGAGGGACCACGAAAAGTATTGTTTTTATTCTAATTTACATAAAATAACTGGTCGAAATGGATCAAACCTCCTCATCTAGATATAGAAATGTCTGAAGTCGTTAGCAAATTAAAGAAAGAAATGAAACTAATTAAGCCTTTCAACACTGGGTGTTTTATAATCTGAATCGTAATCTACAATCGGTCGCAGTCGGTCATGTATTCGTTGGTTTGTTTAAAAAAAGGAATTCTAAGTATTTACGATAATTAATAAGGGATTTCAAAGAGAATCCGTTAATATTTTCTAGAGTATCTAATGATTTCTAACGTCACTTAGGACTTCTTATGCATTACAAGGCTTTCAAACAATACATGAATATCTATAACTTTTAATGAATTCCAGTAATACATAAGCTTTCCAAGGACATCCAGATATATCCACTAATTTGTCAGTGTTTCTAGAAGGTTTTTACAGATATCAAACAAGGCTCTGCGTTTCTTAGAATTTTTGTAGTTATTTTCAAAAAATTATGTTCAAAAGATTTATAAGAATATCTAAGAGTATTTTTTAGATATTAACAAATTTACAAAGCAATTTTAAGGATTTTTAGAGAAAATTTTCTGGGTTTTCTATTTTCAATCACCATAACGAAGAAAATTTGTAATTGGCGTAATTTCAATATAACAGAACAAATTCATGCCAGTTTCAGTGATAATGGGGCAAATATAGATAAATCCCTGCCGGAGGTATTTGCCACCATAATATGTACTGGGCTTTACTTATTCTGCCTGTCTATATTTTTGCTCTTAATGAGAAAAAATATTAACACAAATGTGGAAGAAATAATTGAACGATGAATAAAGCGATGTAAACAGTTGGAAAGAAAATCTATCCATTGACGAATCATTAATTCCATTCAAAGGAGAAGTTGAAATAGTAAAGCATTATTTAAAAAGGAAGCCAAATCCGTGGGGACTAAGAGTGTTCATGCTTTGTGGTGCATCTGGTATCATATATCGTTCCATTGTGTACTAAAGCTCTACTACTCTTCAAAGAATTTATCAAAATGGTATATCAACAAATTTTTAACTTATTTGTCTCAAATTGCATAAAAAAGATATCACCATAAGTGTTTTAGGTTAATATATCCTGGCAGTTTCCGAATGTTTCGTATAAAATGGTAGTCTTGATGTAGTAAATTCTGCTTGAATCATAAGATGATCTATGGTCACTTATTACTGACGTCTAAACATTACTGACATAAAACCAAGAGATTCTTCAGCACATATAAAAAAGAGCTACAATGTTTACCAAAACCTGTTCAACTGAATCTCATAGAATTATGTCACACCCATACATACAGTGTGTTTGATTTTAGCTGTCACAGCAGATATCTTGATTATTGCTGGAGATGTGACAAAATGTTATAGAAGGAAAGTTGCTCCATATTTAATACAGTAATACCTTACGTAAATTCGAAGATACGTAACTACGAATTTGTCCGTTATATTTTTTGTCGGGTATTTCCCTGTTTCGCTCAATAGCGGATTGAATCATAAAATTTTCTAGCTCCTTCAGTTTATGCGAGTTCTTCGTAGAGAGTTGATTAATCAGTTTTTTAGTTTTTCTTTCATATTAGTTATTATGTCAAAAGAATGAATGTCAAAGAATTCGTTTCTTCGAATTTTCCAAGAAAAAACGCAAAACCTTGACATTAGAAATAAAACATGAGATTTTGAAAAAGTTTTGAACAAGGCCTGAAAACATGTGAATTAGCAAACAAATACAATTTATCCTATACTACTGTGTATACAATAAAAAAATTCTCGACGCAGTTAAAAACGCTCAGCCGTTGATTTCTAATATAATTCGCATGGTTTGATAGCGGAAATGGAATCTTTACCTAAAGTATGGTGCGAAAAGCAAGTAAAAGTCAATAATTGTCCAGTTCACCAAGATACTATATGCAATCAAGCTAAATAGATTTTTGAAGAACTATATTCACAAGTTGGTGATGAAGCAAAAGATGAAACCTTTTTAGCCAGCAATGGTTGGTTTTGTCGATTTAAAAAAAGATACGATTGGCGCAATATTGCACAGAGTGGAGAAGAAGCAAGTGCAGATAAAGTTGCTGCATCTACTTTTCTTGGCAAATTAAAGAATATAATACAAGAAGACGGCTATAGTTCACAGACTATATTTAATGTAGACGAAATGAGCCTTTTCTGGAAAAAAAAGCCGCGAAGAACTTATATTGCACGTGATTAAAAAGGTGTTTTCAGAATTTAAAGCAGCAAAAGATCGATTAACGCTGCTAGCGATTGTAAATTGAAACCATTATTGGTGTATCGATCTGAAAACCCCAGAACCCTAAAAAATAAATCCAAATCAGGATTGCCAGTAATTTGGAAGTCAAACCGAAAAGCTTGGGTTACTACTTCTTTATTTGAAAACTGGTTTCGGAATCACTTTGTCCCGGAAGTTGAACGGTACTGTTCCTCTAAAAACATCGGATTTAAAGTGATATTAATTATTGATAACGCACCTGGTAATGCGTCAAAGTAATGCTTTTGCCCCCAAATACGACTAGTTTACTTCAACCTTTGGATCAAGGTGTTATAAAAAGATTTAAAGCTTATTATACTCGACGATCATTTAGACGTTTAAATAAATCTATGAATNTGAAATTTACTTTAGCGCCATAACGCTGAAGTACTTTTTTGCTATGTTGATCTTAGCAACCGTCGTTATGCAACAATGACTTACTTCTACCGCGAGTAAACACGACAACAAAGTTGTCATTTAATGACGTTTGAAGAAAAATACAATTTATCCTATACTACTGTGTATACAATAATAAAAGACAATTGCAAAATTCTCGACGCAGTTAAAAATGCTCAGCTGTCAACTTGTACTATAATTCGCATGGTTTGATAGCGGAAATGGAATCATTACTTAAAGTATGGTGCGAAAACCAAGTAAAAGTCAAGAATTGTCCAGTTGATCAAGATACTATATGCAATCAAGCCAAAAAGATTTTTGAAGAACTAAAATCACAAGTTGGTGATGAAGCAAAAGATGAAACCTTTTTAAAAACATGCGACTGGCGCAATATTACACAGAGTGGAGAAGCAGCAACTGCAGATAAAGTCGCTGCGTCTACTTTTCTTGGCAAATTAAAGAATATAATACAAGAAGGCGGCTATAGTTCACAGACTATCTTTAATGTAGACGAAACGGGCCTTTTCTGGAAGAAAATGCCGCGAAGAACTTATATTGCACGTAATGAAAAGGTGTTTCCAGGACTTAAAGCAGCAAAAGACCGATTAACGCTTATGCTCGGTGGAAACGCTGCTGGCGATTGTAAATTGAAACCATTATTGGTGTATTGATCCGAAAACCCCAGAGCCATAAAAAATAAATCCAAATCAGGATTGCCAGTAATTTGGAAGTCAAACCGAAAAGCTTGGGTTACTGCTTCTTTATTTGAAGACTGGTTTCGGAATCACTTTGTCCCGGAAGNCTAAACATTACTGACATAAAACCAAGAGATTCTTCAGCACATATAAAAAAGAGCTACAATGTTTACCAAAACCTGTTCAACTGAATCTCATAGAATTATGTCACACCCATACATACAGTGTGTTTGATTTTAGCTGTCACAGCAGATATCTTGATTATTGCTGGAGATGTGACAAAATGTTATAGAAGGAAAGTTGCTCCATATTTAATACAGTAATACCTTACGTAAATTCGAAGATACGTAACTACGAATTTGTCCGTTATATTTTTTGTCGGGTATTTCCCTGTTTCGCTCAATAGCGGATTGAATCATAAAATTTTCTAGCTCCTTCAGTTTATGCGAGTTCTTCGTAGAGAGTTGATTAATCAGTTTTTTAGTTTTTCTTTCATATTAGTTATTATGTCAAAAGAATGAATGTCAAAGAATTCGTTTCTTCGAATTTTCCAAGAAAAAACGCAAAACCTTGACATTAGAAATAAAACATGAGATTTTGAAAAAGTTTTGAACAAGGCCTGAAAACATGTGAATTAGCAAACAAATACAATTTATCCTATACTACTGTGTATACAATAAAAAAATTCTCGACGCAGTTAAAAACGCTCAGCCGTTGATTTCTAATATAATTCGCATGGTTTGATAGCGGAAATGGAATCTTTACCTAAAGTATGGTGCGAAAAGCAAGTAAAAGTCAATAATTGTCCAGTTCACCAAGATACTATATGCAATCAAGCTAAATAGATTTTTGAAGAACTATATTCACAAGTTGGTGATGAAGCAAAAGATGAAACCTTTTTAGCCAGCAATGGTTGGTTTTGTCGATTTAAAAAAAGATACGATTGGCGCAATATTGCACAGAGTGGAGAAGAAGCAAGTGCAGATAAAGTTGCTGCATCTACTTTTCTTGGCAAATTAAAGAATATAATACAAGAAGACGGCTATAGTTCACAGACTATATTTAATGTAGACGAAATGAGCCTTTTCTGGAAAAAAAAGCCGCGAAGAACTTATATTGCACGTGATTAAAAAGGTGTTTTCAGAATTTAAAGCAGCAAAAGATCGATTAACGCTGCTAGCGATTGTAAATTGAAACCATTATTGGTGTATCGATCTGAAAACCCCAGAACCCTAAAAAATAAATCCAAATCAGGATTGCCAGTAATTTGGAAGTCAAACCGAAAAGCTTGGGTTACTACTTCTTTATTTGAAAACTGGTTTCGGAATCACTTTGTCCCGGAAGTTGAACGGTACTGTTCCTCTAAAAACATCGGATTTAAAGTGATATTAATTATTGATAACGCACCTGGTAATGCGTCAAAGTAATGCCCCCAAATACGACTAGTTTACTTCAACCTTTGGATCAAGGTGTTATAAAAAGATTTAAAGCTTATTATACTCGACGATCATTTAGACGTTTAAATAAATCTATAAATCACGATGATAACTTATCCGTTAAGGAATTTTGGGATAAGTTTAATATTATTGGTGCTATTAGATTGATAAAAGAATCGTGAGACGAAGTTTCCTCAAATACGCTCAAGGGGATTTGGAAAAAACTTTGCCCGGACTTTTTCGCTGACTCACCAGAAACAGTGCCAGAAAACGATATAGCCGAAGTAGTACTAAATATTGTTACTTTAGGAAAACAAGTTCGATTTGGTTGTTGATAATGAAGATGTCATTGTGCTCTTGGAGTCGCATGATGAGGAACTTACTGTGCAAGATCTGATTGAAATGCAACAACAAAATGACGGCGAAGAAAGTGATGTTGAACCAGCACAACCAAGAAATACCCTCTCACCATTGTAAAATTAACAGAAGGGCTTAATTGCATACAAAATGGTATAAAGGTTTTAGAAGAAACAGATAATAATGAAGAACGCATTATGACAGTAAAGAGAAGAATAGAACAATCAATTGTCTGCTATCAAGAAATCCTACCTGAGCAGAAAAAGAATGTATGTCGCCAATCACCAGTTTTATAAAACCGTCCAATTTAAATGACTAAATCTAAATAAATTAGTCTACAAAACATAAATAAAATATAATTTTTTTCTGGTTTGTTTCATACTGTTATTAGAATGCAAAAATAAATTTGATTTAGAATATGTTTCTGGTTTACCTTTTGTTGTACATAAATTTTGCTTCAACCTATCCAGACACTCGACTTACGTAATCCTACCCGGTCCCACCTATTACGTAACTACGGGGTATTACTATATTTTATTATCCGCCATATTCGAAAATAGTATATTAAAAAACAAGTTTCGTAAGACACGTTTGAAATGCACGAATTCAAGTTGAAAAACGAGTGGCGAAGCCACAACTTTTTTAATGAATGAGTGCTTTAAGTCTTATGTAACGTATTTTTTTATTCTTGAACTGATTCCATAAAATGTTACTAAAATCTCATTACAGCATCGGATGCTGTAAGGAGTCTCATTACAGCACCCGTTTGAGTACTGTTATAGCTTTCATTACTGTCGCGAATTACATAATAGTATATTATTCAACAAGCGTATAATGGCGGCTGTTACCCACGAAGATGAAGTTGACACACGAACCAGCGAAGCGAGCAAGTGTTATAATCTGAGTGGGTAACATCCATTATACGCAAGCTGAATACTATACTTTATCTACAACTATTTAATTTTGAAAAAAAAAATCAAAAAAGGAAAATAAAAACTTGATAGACATTTCATACATAACACCAATATAAGAAAGCTGTCATTTCTGTGATATTTTATTTTTTGATTAGTAGGTCGTGTCAGAACTGTGGAATAATGGCTTCATTATTCAACACTTGTCAATCATGCGAGTAATGCGTGTCATTACCCGTCAAAAATCAAATGTATAACGAATAGATAATTCAATAATTGTAGATAATAGTATATTATTCAACAAGCGTATAATGGCGGCTGTTACCCACGAAGATGAAGTTGCAACACGAACGAGCGAAGCGAGCAAGTGTTGTAATCTGAGTGGGTAACATCCATTATACGCAAGTTGAATACTATACTTTATCTACAACTATTTAATTTTGAAAAAAAATCAAAAAAAGGAAAAAAAATAAACTTGATAGACATTTCAGACATAACCTCAATATAAGAAAGCTGTCATTTCTGTTAATATTTTATTTTTTGATTAGTAGGTCGTGTCAGAACTGTGGAATAATGGCTTTATTATTCAACACTTTGTCAGTCATGAGTAATGCGTATCATCACCTGTCAGAAATCAAATGTGTAACGAATAGATAATTCAATAGTTGTAGATAAAATAATTAAACATCCAAGTATCATGAACAATACTTTGGGCGGCAGACATCTTTGAAGTCATATCCGTCCGAAATTTTATCCGTGATATAAGAAATAATCTCGAGCGTCAAAGCTTCAAAGACGTCGGCCGCAACAAATATCAGAAACAATACTTAGGGCGGCCGACGTCTTCGAAGTCGGCCGAGCTTATTTCTTCCATAAACTTCAGCAGGGTAGACTTGATTATACGTTCCGAATCCCGAGTGATAGCATTAACAAGTTTATAGAAGAAATAATCAAGTAACTGTCGTGATGTCTTGTATATCACGAAAATGGGATTCGTAGCGGAAAACGCTCGGGATTCTGAGCATATTACAAAAAACTTTTAGATTGAAAGTTGTAGAAAATTTTATTCTCAACAACATTGCTCTCTTTCACTTTTGCTCTCAGTTGCATAAATATCGAGAAAAACACGAAAATATGAAAATTGGATGAATTCGTAGTTTTCCACGTTGTTAATAATAACTTGAGTTTCTGAGCATATTACAAATAATGTGATATATCATTATAACTTAATTGCTTTTATAGTTTTATAATACTTAATAAAATTGAGGACATTCCATTTAAAATTTCAAATATATTCGCTGTATTTAACACATTTGATGCTTACTTGCTTTTTTGAATATGGCAGATAATAGAATATTAAGTGTGGAGCAACTTTCCTTTTATAACATTTTGTCATATCTCCAACAGTAGTTGAAATACCTATTGTGACAACTAAAATCAAACACACTGCATATAGTAACAGACGAAAGTATCGATCATCAAGACATTGTAAATTAAACATTCTTGTTATTCATTATAAAGCACTTATATGTGAAAAAACACCTAAAGGTCAAAGTTATAACATCAAAAATAAATTATAAAACAACAAATGTGTTTTACACAAACAATTTTTCCTTAATAGTCAACTAATTTCACATGAAATAGGTGGGACATCAACTTTAAAAGACCTCGCCTATATACAATGTTTTAAAAAGTGAATTTCAAACAATTTCATAGAGGTTTACCCATCAATTCATTAAAATGCCATTACCTCATGCATAAATACTAAAAAAAAAAATCTTATCCTTAAAGTAAATCAAACATTCCTGAAGTTCTATTAAATCGATCCAATTCACTTTTTGGATCAGGAGCAAGAGAACTCCAATTAGTATTTGCACATCTTTTTACAACATCATTACAAAAAATCGATTCATTTATTGTACACAAATCCCCGAAAACATAAAATTTATTAACCAAACTATCAATCCAATCTTTCAATTCCTTCCCGATAACATTACTATTTTTAATAGACAATTGTTCTAATCTATCTTGTTCCCAATCAGTAACGGTATATTTTAACCATCGTACATCAACTTTCTTATAAACTCCACTTCCCGAATGTAATAATTTTGTCGTTTGATCATCTACAATTTCATTACCCTGATAATAATTTAACGGTGTAACAAGAAAGTTTGTTCTGGCAATTTCGTTTCGTTTATGAATCAGCATAACCGTCCAAATACCGGGTAAAAAAGGTTGTTTTAATGTTGATTTTTGGTGACTGTGAAGAACACCTTCATCTAATGTAATATAATTAACATCCACCGGTTTTCCCGTTGGATCGATCCATAAAAACGTAATATTAAAATCTTTTTCCGTATTAAAATCTGAAGTAAAATTATAAATGAGTAAGGGTTCGGAGTAAGGTCCAAAAATTCTATGAAAATTCCTTGAAATTTGTTCTTTTGGATCATAATCAGTACTAACATGAAAAGTTTTAAGCCTTTTTGTAACGTTAGTTTTCTTAATTCTTTTCATTAATTGTCTAGGTTTAAAACTTACTTCATAAGTAACCGATTTATTATCAGCTAAAGTTGCGTTAAATAATATTAGCGTTTTTTGATACTCATCATTTGAATGAAACCAAGTTATTTCAATGATATTATTTAATAAAATTGGACAAATTTTCACCGAAATTAATCTTACGATACTTTCAGCAACTGTGCGTAACGCATCATCTAAATCATTTTGATCTTTATGACTATATAAATTTTGCCAATAAGAATTTATATTAAGTACATTTGAAAAATTTTGTTTATACATCCACTCCTCTAATTTTAAAATGCTCGATTGACTTATAATGGGTTCGAATTTTCGCGCGAAAAATACCTGCCTAAACTCCGTGTTTAATATTCTCGTCCAATCTTCCGGTTTAATATCATTGGGGCTACAACCACACCAATCAACGATATGTTTATATTGACACTTACAACCTAAACGTCTTTTCCAATTCGTAACGTGTAAATTATTATCAATAAATGTATCACAAAATTGTGAATTTCTTAAAACTGTATGAAAAAATGATTCGGCCGGTAATAAAGTATATTTAAATACAAAAATTAAACCTTCTAATAATTTATCTTTTTCATTCCTAGTCAAATAACTAACAAACCTTCGTGATAAAGTCACCCAATCGCTCCCTCCATCTATTTGAACACCATACGGTAACTTTCTTTCTCCAACACGCCACATATGATAATCACATTCAACAAATGTTCTATCAAGACCTTGCTTTTGAATGAAACGTTGCACAACATGTCCGTGTGATTTTACAAAGTTGCGATCCCGATTTGCAGATAAAAAATCTGTTAGTTTTTGAACGGTTTTTACGGGATAATCAGATTCGCTAAGATTTATTACAAAGTCCCAATTCCAATCGGTGTGGAGATCAATTAATTCTTTCATCGTTGAGAGAAGCATTTGTAATAATGAGGCTCCGCCCCAAATTGTTGCAAAACGATTTCTTGTTAATCGAATGTTAGGAAATGTTTCTTCTAATGGGAGTAATTCGCGAAATAAATAATCTTGCCGCTAATTAAAATTAAAAAAAAATTAATAATTTAACAATAACGATAAACATTTTAATCTTACCACATCAACATGGATATAATAATAATGATTTCGATGGTACAAAGTTTTTAATAATCTTTTTACTTGTCTTAAAGCTCGTCCATTTAAAGTAAGAAGAAATACAATTTTTACCGACATATTTGTCATTGAATTTGAGACGTTAGCAATTTGTGGGATGAATTCTACAAGTTAAAAATGAAGTAATTATACGAAAAAAATTAAATAAAATAACGCACTTTTGATTCCAGTTTCGTAAATACTAATTTTATAAATTCCGCCGCAAATTGAGTGATTATCTCCGGGACATTTCATGTTGCATGAAGAATCCGGTAATTTTGCTGATGAAGGAGGCTCTTCAGCTCCACAAAAACACTCCACTCTAAATAAAAGTATTAATTTTTAGATTATATACATTTATTAATAATATGGTAACGCCATCTAGCTGGTTTAGTTAAGATAATGATTTAGGAGCAATTAAGTAGTTAATATACAGGATGATTTATTAGCTCGCCATAGCTAATCCTATTTCAGTCCTATTTCAATTATTTACGAAATTATAACACTTTAGAGTTTTTATATCATAATTAACTGCAACATTTTTTTTAAAACACATAAATATTACAAATAATATTGTTCAAAATAGCCTCCTTCTGCTAGAATACATGCTTCTCAATTATAGTTAGGCTTTTGTACTATTTTTGTATTCAATAAAAATACTACAAGTTTATAAAGCAATCACGAATTATTTTAACATGGTAGCAGAACGTGGTTCTCAAAAAAAAGAAAACGTTTAGAAAAACGGTAGAATCGATGAAAATAGCAAAAAAATTTTAATTGGAATCTACATACAAGAATGGTTATAAGAAATGACGAATGTAACGATACTGGTGTTCGATGGAGAAGATTATGAAGCTGGAAAAAAGAATAATTATGTATTTGAAAGTAAAAAAATGTGACGAAGCTGTTTCAAGAGAAAAACAGAGTTCCAATGGAGATGATTGAAATGAGAAAAATTTAAAAGCCATCAATATTATTTACAGCGTGATCATAAATAAACAACTGGAATTTGTGAGCGAAATAGAAGCGGCATATGGTATTATAAAGAAATTTGACGAGTTATATTCAAAAGAATCGACAGCGTTAGATAATTTGCAAAAATAAATTGGAAAAACTGAGAATGAAAGATTTTAAAGATATTCCAACATTTATTACTATAAATACCCGTCCACCTTATTTATATGAATTAAATGGTACGCCAGAAAGATATAATAGATCAATTATAGATCTATTAGATGTTTATTAGAAGTAGCAAAAATAGATCGCAAATTTTGGCGCAGCTGCATATCTTAAAAATACAACATCAGCAAATACTGTAGAAAAGAACACACCTTATGAAATAATATTTGGGAGAAAGCCTACTATTAAGTATTTACGTCTATATGGAAGCAACATTTTTGTTCGAAGACCAGAACGACAGCGACATGGGATGAAAAGGCTAATTTGGGAATTTTGTGGGGTTATACTGAAGTTGGGTATACAGTTTTAGTAAATAGCAGAATCATTGTAGATAGACATGTTGATGTTGTGGAGGAGAATGTTAAACGTATAGATTTGGGTACAGAGTGGTTCAAATTCGATGTCCGAATAGGCTATCTCAGAAACTATAAGAGTTAGAAAAAAAGCTGTAAGCTGCTTTTCATCGTATCTAGTCGGCATTTTCCTTTCTCTCTTTGATCTTCTCAATTCTTGAGGCGTTCTTTGTTCTTGTTTAATTATTTTATTTTCGAATTCAATTTCTGTAATTTCATCTTGTATTTCTGAGTCACTAGAATAATCACTTTCAAATTCATTGCCTGTCCTGTTTGTACAGGGTGATTCAAATTCGATGTCCGAATAGGCTAATTCGGAAACTATAAGAGTTAGAAAAAAAGTAGCTTACATGTCATGATTTCGTTTTTCGACAAACAGCTAATGCCAAAAACCTCAAAGCGCTATCGTCTTTTGTTTTTCCCCAAGAGGCCAAAATTGAAAACATTATAATTATGGACACTTTTTTACAGAGCATTTTTTTTTAATGGAAACAACCACTGATTATTCGCTTATTAAATTCGTTATTTTTTTCTGATTACAAACATATGGGGTTAGATAGATCTATTTCTTATTGTTTTAGAATAAATCTTAAAATGAACTTTTTTTTAGTGTCGTCAAAGAAATTAAATTTACAGTTTCCTGTAAATTACGGCACTATAACTAAAAATTAGTCTACTAAAAATGTATATAAAATTTACTTTATTTTCTAATATGTAACATTCTAACATGTTAAACTTTTCGTAATTTTCGTAATCCATCTTAAGAAAACAGGATTTTTAATTTGACACTTCAGAAAATTTTTGAATACAAACAAATATGACCGCCATCTATCAATAATTTATTAAGTCATTTAATAATAATATTAAATATTAATAAAAAATGTGAAAATATGTCATTTAATAATAATATTAAATATTAATAAAAAATGTGAAATAATGCAATCTATTCCAACTTTTGTGTAAAACAAATACAAATTAAATAATTCAACAAATGTATTTGTTTCAAATATCAGAAATATGTATTTTAATTTTTAGTTATAATTTACAGGAAACTGTAAATTTAATTTCTTTGACGATACTAAAAAAAAAGTTTATTTTTAGCATTATTCTAAAACAATAAGAAATAGATCTGTCAAAACCTACATTTTTTAATAAGAAAAAAATAACGAATTTAATAAGCGAATAATCAGTGGTTGTTTCCATTTAAAAAAACGAAAATTGTCATGATATCTCAAAATCTAAAACCGAATTTTTTTTTTTGACTACGTCATGAAATTCTCTGTAAAAAAGTGTCCATATAATGTCTTATTGTTACTTATAATACTCCACCTATAATAATAACCAAGATAATTGCAGTTGTTGGTTTTACGATATTTTCAATGTTGGCTTCTAGGGGAAAAACAAAAGACGATAGCGCTTTGAAGTTTTCGGCATTAGCAGTTTCTCGAAAAACGAGATCATGACATGTAAGCTACTTTTTTTCTAACTCTTATAGTTTCCGAATTAGCCTATTCGGACATCGAATTTGAATCACCCTGTACAAACAGGACAGGCAATGAATTTGAAAGTGATTATTCTAGTGACTCAGAAATACAAGATGAAATTACAGAAATTGAATTCGAAAATAAAATAATTAAACAAGAACAAAGAACGCCTCAAGAATTGAGAAGATCAAAGAGAGAAAGGAAAATGCCGACTAGATACGATGATAGTTATGTTTATGTGAACTTTTGCAATGTTGAAAATTCAAATAATTTTCAGGAAGCGATAAATAGGGAAATGGGATGTTTAAAGAAAAATAAAACTTGAAAATTGGTCAAAAAGCCAGAGAATAAATAAAGTTTAGATGTTAAATCGGTTTCAGAAATATTATGTAAATCAAGCTAAAGGATTTGAGGTTGGAACAGACAGAGTTTGTAAACTAGAAAAAGTATTATATGGTTTGAGAGAAAGTCCTCGTGCATAGTACAATTGTTTTGATGAATTTTTAAGGGAGATGAAATTTATAAGGAATAAATATGACGATTGTTTATGCAACACAAGAGACGAAGATGATATGATTTATTTAGTAGTGTTTGTTGACGATGTGTTAATATGTCGTAAAAATAAGAAAATGGTTCAATACATCAAAAGCTTATTGCTCAGTAAATTTAAAATGAAAGATATGGGTGAAGTGAAAAACTATCTTGGAATTAATATTGATTGTGATTGCACGAAAAATGTTATGACTCTTAGTAAAGACGAATATATTGAATCTTTAGCTGAAAAATATAAAATTAAAAGCTCAAAATTGTTTAAAACACCAATGGAAGTAAATTTAAAATTGGAATCTGCACAGGAGATATCTGATATCTTCTGTATATAAGATCCGCGACTAGACCAAACCTAAGCTATAGCGTTAATCACTTAAGTAGATTTCAAAATTGTTATAATGAAACTCATTTTAAATATGCCTTGAGAGCTTTGAAGTATTTATATTTGACAAAAGACAAAGTTAACTTACAATAGGAACGATACTTGATTGCTATGTAGATGCAGATTGGGCAGGAGACAATTTAGATAGAAAATCTACGTCAGACTATCTAATGAGATTGTTTGGAAATGTTGTACATTGGAAATCTAAAAAACAGGGTAATGTAACTAAGTCTTCAAGCTTTGCCGAATATGTAGCGTTATCAGAAGCGATAACCGAAATAAAACTGATAAAAGATATACTCGAATTTCTTAACATTGACTTCAAGGTACCTATTAAGATATACAAAGATAATTCAGGAACTTTGAGTATTGCTAAATATGGAAATTTTACTAAGAATTCTAAGTATATTAAAGTGCATTATCATTTTGTAAATGAATGTTGTATGAAAGGAATCATAGATATAAATAAAGTAGATTCAAATATGTAGAAACCTAGCAGAAATTTTTACAAAATCAATGAGCAAAGATAAATTTGTGAAACTAAGAGAAATGTTGAGTTTAGTAGTATAAGATTTATTGTTTAGTATTTTTAGTTGTTTATTTTATAGTGAATGTTTTATAAATGTAAGGAGGCGTGTTAGATTATATTATACATATATTAATAAAAGTCTCTAGATTATCAAAGAACCGCGGTTTGCCGCCATTTTGGCTCAAAGTCAAGCGGGAAATTTAAAAATATGTCGTTCTGTTGATAGAATTACACCAAATTTCCTTTCTTTTTTACTCGTAGTACTCTGAAGAGTCGAAAGCCCTTCTTACTGCTATTTTTGCAACTCCAAAGGCAACAAGACGGCATTATCTTTGTAAATAACTGGTGACATGTACTGACAAGGTGTCAAACCGCCATTTTGACTCGAATAGTACGTTGATAATCTAGGGACTTTAATATTAATAATATGGTAACGCCATCTAGCGGGTGGTTTAGTTAAGATAATGGCTTAACTTACCCATATTCAACTCCAGCATAAGGAAATCCAGATTGAAGACAAAGATATTTACAATATTCCGGACTATTTTTACTAACATTCCCAATAAAGTACCCAGATAAAATTCTAAAACTTTTCGAATCTTTAAAACATCCAAGTGAAGCCTCTTTATGTCCTTTGGGGTCACAAAAATTGGGCAAACGTTTAGGATAAAATATCCCCTGCTGTATAAGGCACGTAACGTTTGATATTTGCTGTTTACATTGTTGCGTCTTAGCTCTGTGTATTGAAGAGATTGCTTCCTTCGTCTTGATTTGGCAGGATGGTGTAAAATCTAATTCTTCAATGCGTAGCCTTGGCAAGGTGTGATTCGATCTTGTCACCTTGTTTTTTTGTGATTTAAGGTCTTCGTCGTCGACAAAATCGTCTCTAACGCGTCTTGCCGAGTTTGCTGGGTACAAATTTGAGCCGCTGTCTTGAGTGTCGCCCCTGGGGCTCCACCAAGACTTGGAGTTTTCATAGTTTAAAACGTTATAGATGAAATATAATTGGAAACTAAATAAAACAATACCAAAGCCCGCAAACCACCGAAAATTCCTCATCCACCAATTATAAACATTCCTCACAATAACCATTTCGTCGGAATTCTATCATTATTAATTGTTGTATCACCACTCGCATCACATTATCGCCAATTTTTCTTTTTAAACAATACCGTGAAACATTATGTGGTAATAAAACGTTATCATTTAAAGCTCTTATTTTTTTTATGATGCTGTCATCTGAACGTTTATTATACAAATGTCAAATTTATCATCAACTTTAAATAAAAATTAAATTTAAAGCTTATTGTTGAATTTTTTTAATTAAATATTAAGTAAAAAATAGATTTATTTAAAAATCGCTTATAATTAAAAAAAGAAAATAATTTAAATTATTTTAATTACAGAAACCTACATTATCTTCATCAAAATATTAAAAGTTTGTTTGAATAAAATTAATTAATTAATTTGAATTATCTATTAATTACTATCTAATTTTTAGTTATATTATTATAGGATTATTCTTCTAAGTTGTCTTTGAATTACAGAAATTTGTTATATTTGTTGTCAAATCATAATGTCAAAATTAGTTTTTTGAGGTTAGACTTCAAAAAACGCTAGTCATAAGTCATAACAGAAAATAGTAATAATAATAAAAATGGCTTCGAATAAAACCGTAGTAATTTTAGCACCAAATGGTCGACGTCAAACGGTTAAAGTTTCGCCCAATACCACAATTCTACAGGTTATATCACTTTTTTTTGCTTAACATAGGATTAAGAAGTTATCTTTTTATAGATTATAGAAGAAGTATGTACAAAACAAGGCTTAAAATCAGAGGAATTCGATTTAAGGCATCACAAGAATGTAATGGATATAAATGCAACCATGGGTTTTTCTGGTTTACCCAACAATGCACAGCTTGATTTAATCCCATCAACCAAACCTAGAGTTGAGACTGATGTTACGATTGGGTTACAACTTGAAAACGGAAATAGGTTATTAGGTACTTTTAAACCTAATACATCCATTTATGATGTACTATTAAAATTATCCCCGGAAGACTTAAATCCTGATAAAAATACAGTTATAATTTATATGAGAAGAGAACTTTATGGAATTGATTTGTTAAAAAAGACTGATTTAAAATCGTTGGGGTTAACAAGTGGAAGGGCAATGTTTAGATTGATACATAAGTGAGTTTTGAAAAATAAATAAAAGTTTAAAGATAATTGTATAAATTGCAGAAAACCTGAAGAATTAAAAGTGCAAGCAAATATATCTGCACCCATACCAGCTAAGCCTGTGGAAGAAAAACCTTATATGAGAAAATTTCAAGCAGTAGAATCTCCACCATCGAAACCATATCCCTCAAATCAAACAAATAAGCCAACTAATGTTCATGAAAATGTTGCTAAAAAACCTTGTGTTGAAGAAAATGTTCCTCCTCCCCAACAACAAAACTTAAAAAAAACTAATATGGTGGATTTAATAAAAAATGAAAAGAAAAAGCAAGACCAAAATGTAAACCAAAAATATAAAGAAACTACATTAAATCAACAAAAACCTAAAACAATAAATATTAAAGACAACAAAGAAGAAGAAGAATTCATGTTTGTAAGAAAATTTTCTTTAAATATTTCCAAATTTAATGATTCTTTAATTAGTTAGGTGATAGAAACGCAATGTTATTCTCATTGGAAACGGCTCAAAATGTTCGAACCGAAGATTTACCAGACGATTTTTTCGAGTTAACCATTGAAGATGCGAAGAAATTATTTCGCGACATCAAAAAACGGCGAATGGAACTCGAGAACAGTCCGTTGATGACGTCAGCTTTAAGAAACTTGGAAGAATCTAAACGACAACTCAACGTAATGAATCGTTATAAAAAAACAATAATTCGTGTACAATTTCCCGATCGAGCAGTTCTTCAAGGCACCTTTTTAATAACCGAAGATATTAAGTGTGTTATGGAATTTGTAAGAAGTTACTTGGAGAATAAAAATTTGGATTTTTATTTATGTAAGGAATTAATGTAGAAATAAAAATAAGTTATGTCCATTTTTCTTTTTGTAGATACAACTCCTCCAAAATCAGTGTTGAAAACTGAAAGTGTTTTGTTTGAAATTGGTTGTGTTCCTGGTGCTTTGTTGTATTTTGGAGTAAAATCTAATGATGCTAATGAGGGTCGTTCGCAGTATTTAAGGAAAGAATTGTGTGATAAGTTTACAACATCTTCTGTTGCTAGTATGGCAGCAGCTAAAATGAGGTTAATTATTTTTTTATATATCATTTTAAACATGAAACCATAATTATTAATTAGTGTTGGTATGTGAGGTAATATAAACAAGCCTTTTGTATAATACTATATTATTATACCAGCATATAATGAGAGCTATTATTTACTAATGCCTGGTTCACATTATTCCAGTCCAGTATTTGAGTCAATCAAGTCCAGTGCTGGACTGGATCATATTGTTCACATTATTCCAGTCTACTAATCCAGTTAGTCAATCCAGTCCAGTGGATTCTTAATCTTTAATAATTAATAATTCGTTTAGAATTCGCAATCCAGCATTGGTCTACACTATTCCAGTGGAGCTGGAATGAAAAAGTAGACCGTCGATCCAGTCACGAGTGGATTGCTTACTGGAATGGGTACATTCCAGTCCAACGCTGGAATGCTACTGGAGTAATGTGAACCAGGTATTAGGTTAAGTTCATGTCACGAGTGTAGCGAGTGGCATAATTAACCTGAGTGAATAATAGCTCATTATATGTGAGGAGAATACTATACTTTGTCCACAACTACTATTGAAATTGATTATTTTTTTAAATAAATTTTTGAATAAAGTTTAAACGTCAATGTGACATTAATTCAATGTTACCAACTGTAACCAACTTTACAACAATTTATCAAAATTAAATGTCAATTTTATGAAACGTCATGTTTTTTTTACGAAAATTAATTAATTTATGCTTGTTTATGCTCAAATCATATGAAAAAAGGAATTTGTTTACGTTTTTTTAATGTCAAACCTTTAGAAAGTCCTAAAACATTTAAATTAAATTGACGTTTTTTGAAATTTTGACGTTTCAAATAACTATTCAAGTCTATCAAGTTGATCCACATTGTTGTGCGTGGTTGTGCGTTAATTGTCTCAAAATAAATAATTCACTGCTAAGATTCTTTATATATCGACTCAGATAAGTGACCATACCAATAAATCTTAATAATGCTCCCTTATCATTCGGCACTGGAAATTTCTTTATGGCATCGACCTTTTCTTGACCAACCTTTAATGCTTTAAGCCATCACAAGACAATATATGACCATAAAATTTTACTGACAGTTTTAATTTTTTTTTGTTTAATTTACATTTGTTCTCACGTAGTTTTTTGAATAAATTTTCTAAATTGTTATTGTGATCTATACAAATGTCTGGAATATAGCCCATATCTTCGCCATTTGTGGTTTTAAAGAAAAATGTTTCAAATAAAAAAATTCTTAATGATTGTGGCGCATTTTTTGGCGATATTTACTTGTTTACATTGTTTTAGTTTTGTTGCTATGGCAACCAACATTGTTATTTTAAATGGGATGCATATGTTTTTCTTGTATATTTTGATAGAGGATAAATCCATCTACGCAATGAACATATCAAATCATATGGTTGTATAAGAAAAAAATCGAGATAAAATGCGTTCTCTGAAAATATTAAATCAGCAAATTACAGTCAAAGTAGGCGCCGAAATAATGCCGTTAACAGCTTTAAATGTCAAAAAAATGACAGTTTCAACAATTATGTATAATTAGCTGTCAACGGTGTTATTTTGTTAATCTACTACTAGATTCCGATAATTTGACTTGCAAAAACCCTTCTTTGTGTCTACTATTGAAAAAACTTTGACTTTACCCAACTCTGGCAATATTTCATCAACTGTGGTAAATTGGCAATGTGGTCTTTTCATTACTTTATTTAATGGAATCGGGTCCAAACATATTCTAAACGTCTTTTCCTTCTTTACTAATAAAATGTTACCTACCCAATCTGTATTATGATCTTCTTTAGTAATTATACCAAACTTCTTTCAAATCTTTTCTCAATGTTGTTGGAACTTTTCTTGGTGGTTGCCTTAGTGGTCTTGCCTCTTTCTCCAGCTCTATTTCTACATGCTCTGGTAGAGATCCATATCCTTTGAAAATATTTTCATACTGTTCTACTATATTTTGAACCTGTTGCTTTAATTTGAACAAATTATTACATTCAATTTTGACTTCATTACAATATTTCACTAAACCTAACTGTTTACTAGCTTTAGCTGACAATGACATAATTTTTTATCAGAAATACAATACAAGTGGTGAGACGATTCATTTAGTTTAATAGAATTAGTTTTTAATAATTTATTTAAATTTTTATATCCTACTATGCAAACGTTTGCAGTGGCGCCTACTACGGGGGGGCTGCGGGGCTTGTTTACAACTGTTGAACATAGTTCTATCATAGATTACATTTTTCTCTATTGCCAATTCCTTCTTTAGTCTTCAGAAAGATTAAATCTATTGTAAATCTTACATTATCATCCAACGCAGCAAGAAACGTTGTAACTTTCTTCTTTTTCTCACTATGGCGCCATTTGTCGATTTCGGAAACTGTTTCATAATCCTTCCAATTTTCTACAGAATAATCAAAGTTTTGCGATACAGTTTCGCCCTTGCTTACTTTTAATGATGAAGGCCATGGAATACTTGCTTGTTGTTGCAATGTTTTTTCGGATCGTGTTTGTTTTATTTCTTCGCTTAATATCCTCATAGTAATAACATCTGTTGCATTAAAAGTTTTACCAAATCGGTAGATAACGACATGTTTACTTATACATAAGGGCTACTAAATTAGGCATGAGACAAATCGGTTGATGTGGTTTTACTATTCTAGACATCTCCACCTAATGACTACAAAAACCCTTCCCCATGCTCAGCCACTAAAGGCTCGTTTACATTTGATTAACCCACATAGCTTAACTAATTGAGTTTTTATAAAAATTGGGTTAGATTTATGAATATTTTTTGCAGGAAAGAAGCGAGAAGATGGGATTTTCCCGATGAAGCAGATGATATATCAATAACACCAGATGATGTAAATGTCGGTGCGAGCACAAGTAATAATGGCAATTATGTGGATTATGATAAACCTTCAACGTCGCAAAATGAAACGGCTCCGAAATTACCGAAGTGGTTTAAAAATCAATAATGGATTTTGTAAAGTGGTGAATTCCAATTATAATGTGAAAACATCTACTTGATAATTAAAAAGATTTGTTTTAAATAAATTCTTTTATTCATTGTAAATAAAAAGTTCAAAATACATTAACAATAAAACTATATCAAAGCACCAATAAAAAATTAATTAATTCACATTATTTTAATGTGGTTTTTTGTACTATTCCAGCTTGTTCTAAAACTTGTCTTGCTGCATTGTTAATATGGCGGAAACGATCCGGACCTAGATGAATACCTCCATACCTTTAAAAAAATTAATTATTCTACCCTTAACTTTTTTTTAGTGGTCTTTACCATCTACTGACAACAACAATACCATTTATTACATCAAGAATTTGTAATAAATGTAACAAACGTCCACCTGCATGGCTCTCACCATCATCATCACAATCTTGTGTCAAAACTGATTCATTTTTTATTCTAAAAGCGCTTATATTATGAGTGGCTTGTGCAATTTTTTTATTCTCATATAACTGATTTAAAACATGTCTAAAAAAATGTTACATCATAATCATTTTGAAAAAAGAAGTCTTTTTTAATTACCGGATATCTTCTTGAGAATGTACCACACAAAAATGGCCTTGAAAAGTACTTTTTCTATCAGAAATGCACTCCCCATGAATGATGTCAAAGACTTTAAGTTCTTCAATCTCTTTAACAATTACTGTTTCCACCTCATTTTGGTCATTGTTCTCCTTGCACTTTTCTATTTGAACGTTTTCCCTTAAACACTCAATCCACTGATAAATAACGGGACCACCAATATTTTCCCTACAACACAACTTGCATGTTATAACTTTTTAAAATTATTCACCGGAACAAACAGATAAATGTCTTCAAAAGCATTTGCAATTTTTCTTTTTGTTTCACCATCCAATGTGGGAGCGCGTAAAACATATGTGGGGGGCGATTCTAACGGATACTTTTCTGATAAATTAATATATAATTGAACGTCTTTATTTATGGAAATGCTGAACGACTTATCTGATTCTTCCCGTTTCCATTCATCACCATAAATTGCTTCCAAAGCCTCAACTTCTTCTTTCTGTTGAATAACGCTGTCCATTCTCGTTTAAAGTTACTTTATAATGCATTTCAAGGTTGTACTTTAACAACTTTTACTTTAATCATTTTTTCTTTCAAATCCATATGTTTTAGTTTGAGGTTATGTTATATGTTGTTGTCAATCTCAAATAATAATTAACCTTTCAATACACGCGTTATTAGCGCCATCTTTTGTTGATTAGTTGTTTTATATGATAATATTTAAATAAATACAAAAATTCGTTTTTTTCAGATAATAACAACAATTTTAATATGATCAGATTTAAAAATAATACATCAATGTTATCAGTTCATTACTTATTTCTTTATTTTATTTGCAATTTCATAAATGTCAAGCAGGTATTTAACAGCGCCATCTACAATTACATTTTGAGGTTAAGGTAATGAAAAAGGCAAAAACTTTCCGAATTTGGAAATAACACGTGAATTTTAAGTTAATATAGTATAAAATAAAATAATTATTATAAAACGGTAGGTTTTTTAATAAGTACTGAGGATTAAATGATTCAATCAATTAGATTCTTAAAATGTGTATGCATAACCTTAAATTTAACTTTTTAGAATCAAATATTTGTGCTATGAAGTCGAAAAAGGTGGAACGAATGGAGAGGAAGGTGAAAAAAATGGCAAGTTTTGCTGAAATAACAAAATTAAACAGTAATTCAACAAAACCTAACAATAATAACAATGAGAATGCAGATAAAAATGTGTTGAACACGAAACGTCAAAGTTCAGAACCAAATTCTGCGCAAAAGAAACCTAAGTTAGAAGGAGATGATTATTTGCAATTGAAAAAAGCACTTAAAGAGCATAAAAAACAAGTGAAGCTTCGTCCAAGATTTTGGTTACGAGATGTAGGGAATTTTGCAAGTTTATCTGTTGATTTAGACAATAGGATCCCATTATTTATGTCTGATCTGCAACATTTAATAATGTATTCTCAAATTGTGCAACAATCACCTTATAACCCCGCTCGTTGGTGTCAACTTGATAGACCAGCTCGATTACAAAGCACTTGTGTGTTGGTTGTTGAAAATATTTCAATGTATGATTTTGTGTCAAATGAATCCTCATTCCAATATTTAAGCACAAAATTTAAGGATAAATTGGAAATAATTAATTCTAATGCTTATGAAAGGGATGTCATTCAAGACTTGTTAATGGTTCCCTTGACGGGTCATCAATTAAATATTTATTTAGGAAGATATAGTACCATAAAAATGGCTGCTAAAAAAAGCAGTGAAGTATTTGATATTGTTCAAAATATTTTTCATATCGAACGTAATAAAGAATCTACAGACTTTATAGAAGAAGATGAAAAAGTGGAACCCCCAAAATCTGATAAATTTCCAAGAACTGATTTGTTAATGTCAGGTTGGCAAATGGTTGAAGAAAATTTTCCTTTACCCATCATTGGTTTGATGGAACGTAAATATCAAGGTTATGTCACCAGTAAAGATGAATATAAAATGGTTACCAAAAATAGTCCCATGTTTGGCATTGATTGTGAAATGTGTAAAACAACAATAGGAGATTTAGAAGTTACAAGGGTTTCCTTAGTTGATGAAAAGCACAATGTTTTTTACGAAACATTTGTTAAACCTCACAATAGAATTACAGATTATTTAACTAGATTTTCTGGGATTACCCCTCAAATGATGAAAGGTGTTACTAAAAGATTATCAGACGTTCAAGAAGATTTAAGAAAACTTTTACCCCCTGATGCTATTTTAGTGGGACAAAGTTTAAATTCAGATCTTCACGCTTTAAGAATGTTTCATCCTTACATCATCGATACTAGCATTATTTACAATTTAACCGGTCAACGAGTAAGAAAATCAAAACTTCAACATTTAGCGAAACAATTTTTAAACGAACACATCCAAGAAAGTTCAAGCGGTCATTGCTCCATCGAGGACAGTGTGGCTTCTTTAAAATTAGTACAACATAAACTCACTCAAAACATTTATTATGGCGACGCGGTTATGAGCCGCACGCAATCTGATTTTGTCTCTTATCAAGATATGGCAAATTCTGGTTATGCTAAGAATCTACTTAGACAAATTGCCAGTTTTGATAAAACAGCCATGGTTTTTAGTACAAAAAAAACTTTGGATGTTTACGAACAATGGACGTTTAAAAATCCTGATAAACCTCATTCGAATATAAAATTGGTATCTGGAGAAAACGACGCGGATGTTATTGATAAAATGCTGTCTTCTATGAAGAGTAATAATTTAAATATAGGTCATATTCAGTGTGGAGATGAGGATAAAGCTAAAAGTTATTCATTGTTGGATGAAACTATTCGAAGAATTTGTGAAAACGCTGAATTTCCTAGTTTACATATTGTTATTTTTACTGGCTGTAAAAATCCGGCCCTTTCTAATGGATGTGCTTTTCTTGCTGTATCGTAGTTTATGTTTTTTTTTGTTATTATGTGTATACTTTTGATGGTTATCATTAAATGTATTTATGTATATTACTTTATTTTATTCCTCATACTATTATATGATACTATGATTTTAACTCATGAAGTCAAACAAGGACACTTTACAAGTTTCCTAAATTGCGCAATTCGAAAAAATTGTCTTATGTCAAAAATTTATTTCTCAAGAACTAAAAGTGATTTTTCAAAACGGCTTGTTGCATTAAAAAGAGGATACTTTAATTAATAATCGGTGATATTTCCACAAGGATCCTTCACGAAATTAATTTTGTAGCGGATTTTAAAAAGTTATCGATGAAAATTGCAACAACAATAATTTTATCAATACTTCAAATATTGTTTTCTCAAAAACTAAAAGTTATTTTTCAAAACGGGTTGGTTCATTAGAAAGGGGACACTTTTATCAACACTTTGGGAAATTTTCATACTCATATTCAAAGAACGGGATTTTATACGAATTTTTAAAACTTAATTGGCGAAAATTGCAAAATTCGAAAAAATTGTCGATCATTTCAAAAATTCATTTCTCAAGAACTAAAAGTGATTTTTCAAAACTGCTTTTTGCATTAAAAAGGGGATACTTTAATTAATAATTGGTGATATTTCCACAAAAATCCTTCAAGAAATTAATTTTGTAGCGAATTTTGAAAGCTATCGATGAAAATTGCAACATCGAAAATTTTATCAATACTTCAAATAATGTTTTCTCAAAAACTAAAAGTTATTTTTCAAAACGGGTTGGTTCATTGGAAAGAGGACACTTTTATTAACACTTTGGGAAATTTTCATACTCATATTCCAAGAAATGGATTTTATACGAATTTTTAAAACTTAATCGGCGAAAATTGCAAAATTCGAAAAAATTGTCGATCATTTCAAAAATTTATTTCTCAAGAACTAAAAGTGATTTTTCAAAACGGCTTTTTGCATTAAAAAGAGGATACTTTAATTAATAATTGGTGATATTTCCACAAGGATCCTTCAAGAAATTAATTTTATAGCGAATTTTGAAAATTATCGATGAAAATTGCAACATCGAAAATTTTATCAAAACTTCAAATATTGTTTTCTCAAAAACTAAAAGTTATTTTTCAAAACGGGTTGGTTCATTGGAAAGAGGACACTTTTATTAACACTTTGGGAAATTTTCATACTCATATTCCAAGAAATGGATTTTATACGAATTTTTAAAACTTAATCGGCGAAAATTGCAAAATTCGAAAAAATTGTCGATCATTTCAAAAATTTATTTCTCAAGAACTAAAAGTGATTTTTCAAAACGGCTTTTTGCATTAAAAAGAGGATACTTTAATTAATAATTGGTGATATTTCCACAAGGATCCTTCAAGAAATTAATTTTATAGCGAATTTTGAAAATTATCGATGAAAATTGCAACATCGAAAATTTTATCAAAACTTCAAATATTGTTTTCTCAAAAACTAAAAGTTATTTTTCAAAACGGGTTGGTTCATTGGAAAGAGGACACTTTTATTAACACTTTGGGAAATTTTCATACTCATATTCCAAGAAATGGATTTTATACGAATTTTTAAAACTTAATCGGCGAAAATTGCAAAATTCGAAAAAATTGTCGATCATTTCAAAAATTTATTTCTCAAGAACTAAAAGTGATTTTTCAAAACGGCTTTTTGCATTAAAAAGAGGATACTTTAATTAATAATTGGTGATATTTCCACGGGGATTCTTCAAGTAATTAATTTTATAGCGAATTTTCAAAGTTATCGATGAAAATTGCAACAACGATAATTTTATCAATACTTCAAATATTGTTTTCTCAAAAACTAAAAGTTATTTTTCAAAACGGGTTGATTCATTGGAAAGAAGACACTTTTATCAACACTTTGAGAAATTTTGAGAAACTGGATTTTATACGAATTTTTAAAACTTAATCGGCGAAAATTGCAAAAATTTTAAAAAATTCTCGATCATTTAAAAAATTTATTTCTCAAGAACTAAAAGCGATTTTTCAAAACGGGTTGTTGCATTAAAAAGAGGCTACTTTAATTAATAATTGGTGATATTTCCACAAAAATCCTTCAAAAAATGCAATTTTATAGCGAATTTTGAGACTTATTGATGAAAATTGTAACATAACATTTTATCAAAACTTCCAATATTGTTTTACTTTTTTTTTCCATTTATTAATTAATACTGGTCTTGGCACCCTCATTATGTTAAAGACAACAATGGCAATAAAAAGTAATGAATAAAAGAGTTATTATTACACAAACGATACCAGTTACGATAACATTACAAGATTGAAGGAAGAGTTTATTAAAGATTTTCGTATTTAAGAATACAAAAAAAGTGATGAACTTTTTAACATAATTTTTTCTTTAAACATGATTCTTCTCTCGTTTGTGCCCATAGTTTAAACTAGATTTACGTTAAGTTTTCTTTATTTATCCTCGTTTTCCTCACCATTACCGCTAATAAGAATTTTTTATTTTAATACCTAAATTAGTTTATGTAAGTAGTCGTTATTAGAGTATATGCGATAAGATAATTTATAATTATAATAATTAGTATTGTAGAGTCTATGTTCGAATATATGCCTTTAATATTGTATTTTTTCATATTCATTTTTCTTTAATTTATTTAAATAGATTATATTTATTTATTTTTTTCATGATTTGTTTCAATAGTTTGCTTTAAATAACTTTTATTTTATTTAATTTTTTTTTCTTTAATAGATGCGTGCGCCAATTCACGCCATCAAATCATTAAACAAGATACACCAAAAGACATTTCCACATTTAAAGATTGTTATTATTTCCTGCAGTAAAATGTTTAATAGTCCTACTTCATTTTAGTGCGTTTTTAAGATTCTTTCTAAGGAGAATTTTAAATAGTAACTAACTTTAAGTATTAATAATTGTTAGCTATCGACCCTGAAACATTAAACCCTTGAGCAAAGTAAAAGCATTTTATTCTTCGGAAAATGAGAGAGATGAAGAAAACCTTTTCAGATGCTATTTCTTTGATGCCATTTAGATACAGTGTGTTAATTAATTATCGTACCCGACGTCATCATTGCAAGTATGCAACCAAATACGCAAATCGCGTATTGCGCTACCTATACTGTGATATTGGTTGCATACTTGCAATGATGACGTCGGGTACGATGATTAATTAACACAGTGTATATATAGGTGACGTCCTTTGAGGGCGAGGCTAATTGATCGTCTTTTTTCTTATTATGACTATCACACTAATTTACATTTATTCTCTTTTTGAGAACCCAACATAGACAGTTGCCGATTTCATACATACGGTAACTATAGCTGATCGCATGGTTGCGCAAGAGTTGTATTGAGAAAGGTCAATCTACGTATTCTATGTGTAGGGTTCTTTATTAAGCATGTAGGGTTGTTTAGAGCCGATAGATATTGACTATACAAGATCGGATTTAGATGAAGAAAAGATTTTCAGGTTTTCTAGTGGTGTATTTCATATTTCACTATCTCAGAAGAGAACGAAGATATAGGCTTGTAAACTAGATAGAAAAACAAAGGTAAAAGTTTGTTGCTGTCGTTGCACGGGTAGTTAGAGCAAAATGTCAAAGCACACAGAAATATTTGAATGCAAGTTTCTATTCAACAAAGCGACACATTTAATATCTTCGCCATTAATTTAATGAGTCATACTATTTTATACAGAGGCTATTCCGTTATCTTGTTTGTTTTGGTTTATATTTGCACTAAACTCGTTCCTAACGAGATTGTACCATTTTTTTTTAAATCAATTCAACCTTAAAAGCATTACGTAACTTTTTTTTAAGAACCTAATGTAAATCCTTTTTATCTTGAACATTATCTCCATGTTTTTATTTGATATTATTTGATTATATTGAAATTATCTAAATAAAAATTAGTTAAATATTAGTAGATCATAAAAGATTATTGCAAATAACTGAGTGTTGATTAAAAATGAAACATCCTTTTTTTTTATAACTTAATATCATTCTTTATGTTGCAAAAGACACCGAGAAGATACTCTGACATCAATAAGAGTATATCAATAAAATGTCGAGAAATAACTATTTGGCTATTAAAAGCTCTGATTTAAATTAAAAGTTTTGATTTAAGAGTTCTGTAGTTCCGAACAGTTCTGAACTATATTATACGTATGTGCGGAAAGGTTCAGAACTGTTCAGAATTCTTGAACCAAAACAGGTCAACTATATGTCGCGTACCACTGGTAATACATGCCAGTCAATGATGTCAAAGACGAAGATGAAAGAGCTGATGCTAATCGTGATAATAACAAATCTGGAACATTAAACTCATTGTATTAAAGAACTTAAATCATGTTTAATTAAACTGCATGAAAAACTGTTATGGTATTGGACTGAATTGGAGAATATGGGTTGGGGATTGAGTTCTTGAAACCAAACTGAGGGCTTTAAGAAGATAGTCGATTTATCTTGGCAATTAAGAACGGAATTAAGAACTTTTCAAAAATCAAGATACAATATTGTAAAAAAAGGATCATTTATGTAAAGGTTGATAGCCGGGGAGGTTCTAAGGTGATTGACATATACAGCTATATGACTGGTACAGGATGCCTCCCAGCGCACATAAAATCCTTTTACATGGTTCTTTAACCATCAAATGTTCCAATATGTTAGCTTTTACAGGAGGCACAGGAGGCAAGGAATAAAGACATAAGGCGATTCATATATAAAAATCTGTGAAAACGTAGTTCACATGCTTTTGATCCGATTATGATTCTGTTATTACAGAAAGTTTTTTCTTTCCAGAAAGCCTCGTTGAAGGAGCTGAGTCCTGTTGCAAGGGAGCTGATCGCGGATTCAGTGAGAGGATATGGTTGATGAGCAGCATAGCGAAGCAGAGAAGGAATCGGAAGATGATTCTGTTAGAATAATTTAGTTGATAATGTTACAAATTGGCAAAAATAAAATTCCCGCTAAAGCCATAAAGTTGTTTAATTAATCAAGAAAGTCCATCAGGTTATGGGCCCAGATCGCGGGTTATAAAGATTGAAATACTCATATAATATAATATATAATAAGGAGATATAACAGAAAGATATCAAGATGGAAAGTAGAAAGCATATGGGTCAAATAAAGCTATTATCTAACAACAATTATCAGACATGGAAATTTCGAGTTGAGATGTTGTTAATTCGGGAAAATCTTTGGGAAGTTGTGACAAATGAACCACCAACTCCAAAAGAAGATATGTGGGACCTTACAGATAAAAAAGCTCGAGCAACAATTGGATTATTACTGGGTGATACCCAACTGAAGCTTATAAAACGGAAAACAACGGCGAAAGAAATGTGGTTGTCATTAAAAAACTTCGATGAAAAGTCTACATTAGGAGTGACAACCAGACTACTCAAAAGGTTATGTAAAAGTGAACTCTCAGAAGGTGGTGACATGGAAATTCACATAAGGGAAATGGAGGAACTACTGGAGCAATTAACAATTGCTGGACATATTTTTCCTGAAGAAATGATTGTTACATTTTATTTACAAAGTTTGTCAGCTAATTATGATCATCTTATAATTGCATTAGAAAACAGAACGGACACGTTGACAGCGGAATTTGTGAAACAAAGACTTCTGGAGGAGTATGAAAAACGAAAAAATCGGGCTTCAAAGACCATGAAGACACTGCATGATGCTTTTGCAAGAAAAAAGGACATATGAAGAAAGATTGTCGAAAGTACATAACTTTGTTGAAGAAACACAAAGCCGAGATAGCAGAAGATAAGAAAGGAAATGCAGACAATGAAAAGGAAGAATATTTGAGTTATATAGCGAAGAAAAATATCTAAAAAATTAGGAAGTTTAGGATTAATTTGATTTGAATATTATAAATAAGAGGTTTAGGATATAGATAAGATCCTGTTCAAAAATTGGCAAAAATAAAATTCCCGCTAAAGCCATATAGTTGTTTAATTAATCAAGAAAGTCCATCAGATTCTGATTTTGAATTTTTATAAAAATAATTCTTCATTTTACTAGAAAATAAATTAGCATCTATTTTATCTTTCCATTATAATTTATACCAATTTTTCCCGTTGTCAATTATAATCAAAAGTACACTTAAACTAAAACAGAAAGTAGCACAGAAACAAGTTAGAAGTGTTTCTGGAGAAGGTTGCAACATGGCATCCGAAACGTCAAACAGTTTTTCAAAAGACGTACTGTTTAACCCGAAAGTTTCTAGGTCTAGTGTTAGTTCTAATTATAGTGTTACTGTTAGTTCTAGTTTTAGTTTAATTAACACCGGCCGTGAAAGCCTTCGTACTTATAAAAGTACACTAATTCACTAACTAACCACTTGTACCTACAGCTTTGTTCTGCACACATTATGAAACAACTTAGGCATCCGCAACTTCTTAGTGTCTGATATAGAAAACCCAAAGTAATGTAAATACTTGTGTTTTAACGCATTTGTTATTATTTTGCCACTTTTATCGAGTACCTTCCGCAAATGTAACAAAAACATTTTGAATCCACGTGGCAAAGGATTTTAAAACAATTTAAACCCCAAAATCCAAAACCAATCTTGACAAACGGATTGAAGATTCTGATTCGGTGCATCAAATGACGTTGAGAATCCTTCTCTTCTGGTCTAGTCCAAAAGTTTATCAGAATTATAAAATTCGAATTATAAGTGTTTAAATTTAAAGAATTTTTTCTAACATGAATTCTTTTAGAAAAGGTTTTTGCAATACCCAACTCGTTGATTTATTTTTTTCTTTTATTTTATATTTTTTCGTAATCTTTAATAAAAATTCAATACCAAAACTTTCTAAAAGATCACGGCTACCCGATAAGACCCTCCTCGGTAATTAACCGTGTCTTTCTTAACACGCAAAATTTAATAATATACCCACGTAAAAAAACAGCAAAAATAGCCAAACAAAAACTTGACCCAATGAATAAATCGTAACAACTTTTTATCGTTCGTCACACTCAATTCATTTAACACCGACCGAGAAAAAAACCTTGACTTATCGTTTAAGATGTTGTGGACTATTAAATTTTGGTTCGTTAAAAAAAAAGAAAACAATGAATAATAAAAAGCGATTGATAACAAAAAGAACTTTTTGTTTTAATTGGATAAATTATAGATTTTTGTGTTTTTTTGGCGTCACGACGCTTTATGATTCATCGAAATCGGATCGAATCTGGACTTGCGCCCAAACGTCGTACCTCAAAACATCTCTCGTCCTACGCTGAACTTATTCAGTCCGATTCAGTCCACTTTGAGCTTTCGACCAAAACTGACGAATGCATGAAAATTTTTATGTGTGTTTTTAAATTTTCTTCATCACTTTTAAGCTCAATATTGGGAGTGAAAAGTTAATTTGGAAATTAAGGTGGTCTTTTTTAAAAGGTAAGATTATTGTAATAACGATTTTTTTTGCTGTCCCAATCCCGGGGGTTTCACTCAAAGGAGATTGTAGTGTCTTAGGGTGAAAATGTAGGTCACAAAATAATCGGAAGACAACTTAATAGTTTATTATTTTATTTGTTTATTAAATATGTGTATTTGTGAATGTACTGGATGTTTATTTGGTTTCGTTATTGTTTATAAACAATCCATATATGTGAATAATATTTATTAAGGTTATGATTAAAACTAAAAAAAAATTCGGAAAAACAATTATCATCACATTTATTTTCGTTTCAAGTATTTTTCTAAAACCTAAACGACATAAATGTTCTTATTCAAAACACAATAAATTATCAAAGTAAATACTGTGTGAATTAACTTAGAAATTTAAAAATACTTCATAGATAAAGTGGATTAACGCGATTTTGTACATAATCTATCATTTTTTTTATTTGTAAGAATCGTTTGTAAATAAATCCATTAAGATTTTAATTTAAAAAGTCATTCTTTGTGATTTATTCGTATATTATTAACTATTAGCTACCTATATATAAAAAAACTTAGTTATCAATAAAAAAATATCGTTTCCAAAAAAATCCTCCACAAAGGCCTTCTATTTTTTAGCTACATACTTGGTATGTTACAAAAACGTGGATTTTAAACAATTCCAAAAATTCATCATGAAACATAGTTTTGTTTGAAATTGTACATCAACAATTTCCGTTTGTTAAAAATGTTTTAATTATTATCGCAGTTTTGTCGATGAACAACTACTTGTTTACATAATTTATTGTTAAAAGATGTTTAACTATTTGTTTTTACGGTAGGTAGAAAGAAGAATGTGCGCGATAACGGACTTGCTTACACAGGCCCAAAGTATATATTAGCATTTTCTCGGCACGTTTTATTAATAGCTTTAAGAAGAAGCGCTTCGACTCTGCGCTTTATTTTAAGATCAGGAATTCGCTACAACCTCCTTTGAAAATCCAAAATCCAAATATAGACCGAAGTTAAAGAAATTTAATACACTTCCGTATTTTATATTGGGTGTCACACATCGCTTGTTACTACTTATTTACAAGGATGACACAAGTTTTTTTTATATAACTGAATTGATCATGTAAATACCTATAAATAAAGAGAAAATTTTTAACTTTGGGTTCTAATTAAATCGATAACATTTTATCTGCTGTTTTCCAATTCATTGCGATAACGTTCTTCGACTAATTAGTTGTTTCGCTGTCTTAGACGATGTTTACATCGTTGTATCGAAGACCACTGTCGCCAAATTAACTCGTGCTGTCTAGCCTTTGCAACAAAACAGCAATAATTGTGTCACTTAGACACCTCAAAAAATATAGTAGCAATGTACAGGGTGGGCAAATTTGGGTGTTATTATAGGCTATCTCAGAAACTATAAGAGATACGAAAAAAGTGGGTGCCATGTCCCGGTCTCTTTTTTCGAGACTAACCCAATCCCGCAAACACCAAATCTCTATCTTCTTTTGTTTTTAAGTTATAGCTAAAAAGTCAAATTTTCGTGATTTCAAAAAATGCTCATATTTCGTTTATTTTTGAAATTAGAGAAATGAGGTTGATACGTTCTTAAGACACTTTTTTAAGTAGAATATACTGCCGTTGAAAAATTTTAAAAATATTTGATGATTTTTGAGATACAACACAAAGTTGTATTTTTTTAAATACAAACTATACTTGATTATGATGTTAATGAAAAGAGCATATTTTTAGCTTTCCAATGATGTATCGCATGTATGGTGCATTTGCGGAAAATAAGCGTTAATTTTCAATTCCAAATAGTAAGTGCTAAAGTTCAAAATTTTGATTATAGTAGGCGGGTTCGGACAGTAATTACTACCTAATTGCTGTATGGTTTTGCACGAATATGACAGAAAGTTGGTCTTGTACCATTAAGCTAAGTGTCCACTTGCGAGAAATGCTCTCGAGAGAAGCTATCGAGAGTATATTTTCTGGTACACGCATCTGAGAGTAACTATCAGAGAGTCCCCACAAACTTTCGGAGAGTAAACACGTTGAGATTTGTACTCAAGTGGACACGCACAATTTATCTATCGTGAGAGTAACTGTCAAAAACCAAACAAGGTTCGAATTTTGCTGCGAGTAGCTGCGAGTTTTCTCAATATAACACGTTTAAAGATAACACCTAAAAGAAAATAGTCCCAAGAAGAAATATTTGAATTAATTGAAGTGTATGAAGAAAATTCAATTCTTTGGAATATCACATCTAATGAACATAGAAATCGGGAAGCGAAGGATGCAATTTTAACAAGTATTGGACAGAAATTTAAACGGGATTTGTACCATTAGTAATAGTAACTTCTGACAACATAATTTGGTGTTCTGACAGTAAAATTAAGTCTTCTGCTAAAAGTATTTGATTTTTAGTAGTAGTGTGTAGTCTTCTGTAAGAAGGATGTGCTTCATTTGCAATATCTAGTTTTTCACTAGCAATACTTAGTCTTTTGCCAGCAATATCTAGTCTTTTGCAGCAATATCTAGTCTTCTACCAACAGTATTTCGTCTTCTGGTAGTAGTGTGCAGTCTTCTGTAAGAAGAATCTGCTTCATTTGCAACATCTAGTCTTTCATTAGTAGTACTTAGTCTTCTGCCAGCAATATCTAGTCTCTTACAGCAATTGAGGCGTTTAAGTTTATATTTTCTAATAATTTTCCAAAATACTGCCAAGCCACTATTAAGCTATCACGTGTACGACAATAAACTTATAGTTTGCATTTATAAGTGCCATTAAAGCAATCGAGTTCACTTTTTTGTGAATCCAGTATGCCAAATAACTAACAATTTGACAACGAATGTTGATATTTGTTGACACCCAGCTCTAATCTACGCCAAATCCATGATTTGGCACCCAACAGCTTCTTTTTATTTTTTTCAGTTTGTTTTTTTTTTTGTTGAAATTTTATACAACGCTATTGCACTTGCAATTTTGTTTACATCCAAGTTTACAAACACCAATGAAAGAAAATAAATTTTACTTTCCATAGCACGGACACATTTCACTAGTGGACACGGTCCTGAGAGAACTGTCTGAGAGAAAGCTCTCGGAAGTTTTATAGAAGCTCTCGGAAAGCTAAAACAGTCTCAAGTGGACACAGAGTTGAGAGTAGATATCGAGAGTTACTCTCAGAAGTTTCTCTCAAGTGGACACCTAGCTTTATGCAGGATAAAGTTGGTTTTGTACCAACGAATAAAAACTTTGAATAGTTGATTTAAATTTCTCAGTGTCTTATCCCTGACTTTGTTCACCAATAAAAATGATTTAGTAGATAAAGTTTGTTTATTAAAAATACAAGAAACGTATTAATTAATGAATAATTAAATATGAACAACAACTTCAGGAAGTAAACAGTCACAGACTGTGTCATCTTCTTCTACTAAACTTACTGGTTGTAAGGTTAGAACAGTTGGGTATCAATGAATGAAATCTTCGGTAGTATAGAGGAAGATTAGGGATCATAAACTGAGCAGCGGACTTTCCATTGAAACGATGTTTATATGGGATATGGAGCCTTATCTATCATTTTCAAAGAATCATTTTTTAATTTTATCGCTTTATGTATTTAAAAATAATGAGGAATTTTTAAGCGGGAAACTCGTTTCGAAAAATTCATGAATGAAATGATCAGTAAACTCACGTTACTATAGTAACTAAGTGGCATTTAACGTTTTCCTCGCCTACTATAATTAAAATTTTGAATATTAATCTTTAATATTTTAGAATTAAAAAATAACGCTTATTTTCCCCAAATACACCATGCGTGCAATACATCATTGGAAAGCTAAAAATATGCTCTTTTCAGTAACACCATGTATTTAAAAAAATACAACTTTGTGTTGTATCTCAAAAATCATCAAATATTTTAAAAATTTTTCAACGGCAGTATATTCTACTTAAAAAAGTGTCTTAAGAATGTATCAACCTCATTCCTCTAATTTCAAAAATAAACGAAATATGAGCATTTTTTGAAATGACGAAAATTTGACTTTGTGGCTATAACTAAAAAACAAAAGAAGATAGAGGTTTGGTGTTTGCGGGATTGGGTTAGTCTCGAAAAAAGAGACCGGGACATGGCACCTACTTTTTTCGTATCTCTTATAGTTTCTGAGATAGCCTATAATAACACCCAAATTTGCCCACCCTGTACAATAATTAATACAAAAATATTATGCTTAAAAATTTTAAAATTTTTTAAGTAGACAAAGATTTAAGAACGCCACACATGATTTACTTTGGCAATAGACACTAAATGTCGACTCCTCCAGACAACTCCGTTGAATTTGTCTTCAGGTTTTAGTTATCCAAAAATGATCTAGCTTAGTGTCTGTTCGGCATTCCGTTTAACCAATTTTAGACATTAAGAAGATGCAGTAACGAGTAACACGCAGAGCACCCATACTAAGCCCCACACTCTTCAACTTGATCATGGATGAAATAATAACTGATATGGAGAGAGTTAGAAAGGATTATTAGTTGGGAAACGAAGAACTGAAAATACTTTGCTAAGGGGACAATGCTGTCTTGTTCTTGTTTTATGAAGATAACATATAAAGAATGTTGTACCAATTCGAAAAATAACAACAAAGTCAACATAAACATCCTGCTGTCTAAAACAAAATCGGTAACAATAGCAAATTGGCAGTATTCAATAAGACTTTGTCGGTTAGTTATAAATGTCTTTGCGTCAAAATAACGAGCAGCAGGAACCTCAAAAAAAAAGTTTTAGCTCAAACAACGAAAAGAGCTTTGATATCAGATTACCTGAAAGACATTATATTGCAAAACAAGTGTATTAGGGAATGTATACGCATATACATATAAGAGCTGTGTAAATGACAGAAGAGGCATCTTTGGGCACCATAAAAAACGAAGATATTAGAGAAATATTCGTAATCCAGGACGTTGTGAGATGGGCCCGCGAAAAAGACGGAAATGAAAAGACTAT